CGGCGTTAAAGGAGGCGTGGTGGGCGATCCCGCAGGAGACGGTCCGAGAGCTGATCGACTCAATTCCGCGACGTCTACAGGCGGTAATCAAGGCAAAAGGGTGACATACGAAATATTAGATATTTCCCAATTAAGAAATCAAAAAAGTAGACTGAATTTGCATTTGTATGTGTTTTTCAGCGTATCTCAAGATACGGTGTATGGCGATCAGATTTGGTGATTTTCGGGGGTGTGCACAGACACATGTCTACTTATTGGTAGCTAGTCTAGAATTTCCCGTTCACTGCAAAATCATCAAATCTGGCAGCAAATCGTAGTTTGGCAACAAAGCCCAACATTTTTTCCTCGGTCATCGAAAGCTGCACGATCATTCTAAAGTTCGCTAATCACAAAGGCAGGCCCATTAGCCGGTCGCGAAGATAAAGTTCCAGTGCATATACGAACGACTAACCGCATTGTCTGGGCCCTGGATCGCTACGAGGCGAATCGAATCGCTCCGGGGGTGTTCCGAGGTTGTTTGGCGTTGTTTGGAAGCACGGCCCTATGCTGGTAGCCCTGGAGACCGTGGAACCCATGAGCGTCAGAACACTGAAGGTATTGGTTGCCACTTGATAACTAGTCTCCAGCCAGCGGGCACAGGTTTGTCAAGAGCCTGTAGCCAGGCACCCGCATATTATTCGCGGAGCTACCCTCTATCACGGGTACCTGCCACCTCCAGCAGGCACTCACCGCCCAACAAAGGTACCAAGGTACCCACCACCGCCCCAGAACTTGTGTAACCCTGGATAAAATAAAAATCTTTTAATAGCTTTCAAGGTCAATCGAGAATAAAGCTATGAGGGGTATCATCTGGTACAGGTGGTCTACATGTAACTTATGGGCGTCCTGCTAACAAGCCAAACACCTTACACGGAGCGTGGAACACGATCAAGGCCTACCACTCACCTCTGGAACACAATCAAGTGCCCGAGGTAATAATAATAAGCACCAATAGGGCTCTGTGATTGCAGTTTGCATCCTGTAGATGAATCATAATGAGACTATAATTTTTCCCTGGGGGTTGCGAGTTCATATAGGAAGTATATATATGACCCCGAGGATTGAGAAACTACGAGCAAATATTTTTCATCTCATCAAGAAAAAGCCTAGATTCTAGAAGACTAATGATATAGGAACGGACACAGTGACGATGACTACCCAATGCGTTGAAGGCGAGCTTGATATCTTCGGACAACAACCAGGTTTAGCGACTTTATATACGCAAATCTCACTCTTCTACCCAACCGCAGCTTCTCCCGATCCCTCACCCATCATCGATACCTTATCCAAGGACCTCCGTCAGCTATACGAGAGCTTCCCATGGCTAGCAGGAGAGGTGGTGAACGAGGGTGCAAGAGAAGGGAACTCCGGCGTCTACAAGTTCAAACTCTCTCGCCCTCATCCGCTAGCTAAGCCATGGGAGGTGTCATTGCGGAAGAGCAGATGGTTCTCCAGGGGCTGGACGCTTCAAGAGCTTATCGCCCCAAAGCCGTTGATTTCTTTTCTAAAGACTGGAATTTGCTCGGCAGTAAAATGGTCAGAGACAAACAGCCATGGAAGAATCTAGCAGAAAAAGACTTCACTCAGGCCAGGCTGATCAAACAAGAAAGATTTAAGATCAAGCTCACGAACGTTGACAAACATCTGAATGGCAACCCGGATAGGGCAGAGCCCATCGCAAAAAAGTGTTTTGGATCAAATCAATGAGGCATAAAGTACTTTGTTACCGGATCTGAGTACCAGCCGGCTAACTTTAAAACATTCCGACCTCAGCCATCTATGACGATACGGTCCAACAGCTTTGCGTTCTCAGTTTCGGCATCAGTATTAGGAAGTACTGAGACCCATAGGTCAAAGCTCTGGCGTTGATGATCGTTTTCAGAGTCAGGTGTTATCAGCAAGCTTCCATCAGAAATCCCCTTTACCAATCCAGTCAAGTCGAATAAATCAACATCGGGACATTTTCCCCAAAAACGAGTCCGCAACGCCTCCACGCAGTACAGTAGCAACAGCATGAGATTCATAGCGAAGACTCCAATGATGAATCTCAAATCTCCGAGTTTCATAGCGGGAGCCGTAACTCGCATGCTCACAGGAGCACTCTCATTGCCGACAATCATCCGCGTAGAGACAAGTCCGATAAGGATATTGTCAACCAAAGACGCGACGTAATCCTCGATGGCACGCATCGTGGTGGTCTCAGATATGTTCCTTGATGCTTGCAGCTTGTCTACGTTAAGTCGGAGCGATCGACCAAGTTGAGATCCGCCAAAGCCGCCATCAACGTAAGACATGGCCCAGAGCCAGTATCTGATTTTTTCAATCACTGCGTCCGAGTAGTTTGGCCATGGAATATCTGATCCCGGTGTAACGCGAATTTCGCTACTAGTATAGTTGGCTTCGACATTAAATCTGCGCGGCGTGAACCGGATTTCACATTGTGTAGCGTTAAATTCCGAGAAGGACCATTTATCGTTGTCAGGTGTAGCAGGCGAAGCCATCGGCAAATAGATGACCTTTTCCAGTCTTGAATATGCTGCACCCCATGAGAAAATATCGTATGGTTTGCGGGCAGAGTAGATTGTCTCCCCTTCCACATGAACCTTTGCGCCGTTGGGATAGTATCCTTTTAACCAATATATGCTGTACAGGGAGCCAACATTATTCATGCGCTCTAGGCGATATGCGCTCGATCTGTTGTAATGGCAGGACACCACGGACTCGAATCCTTCGTCAACATAAAAGATGGCTTGAACAGTTGATCCGGCAGTGATAAGGTCGACCAATCCGGCAGCGGCACCCATCCCATAGCTACGACCTTTATAGACAAACCCTGTTTTGTCCAATTTTGCATGAATCGCGTCTTGCGGTTTGACAACTGAAGCTCCGCTGGCCGAGTTGAGCAGAAGTCCTCTCATAGCTGGCGCGTCATAAGAAAACAACCCCTTTTCTGTCTGCCATCTCGATGAATGTCGTTCCGCGTCCCAAAGCGAAGATACATTCGACGTTCGAAAACTTGGCACTTGAATATCGGATACGTTGTTGTAGCTCACAGAAATGGGCGTAATCGCACCTGACCATATTGCCGCAGGGAGCAATGCGATAGCCATGGATCCGAGCAAAACGGAAAGCCGTATGAATGGTAGGGACCAGGTAAAAGTCTGCGAGTTTACAGCAAATGCAAATTGCAGGGACCGAAGGGAAAGTCGGTTTTGGGAAGCATAACAGCTATATGATAGACGGAGAATAGCGCCTTGGCGATATTAGGCAATCTGATGGTAAGAATAACAAAAACACATACATAGTACGGCTATCTCCAGTAGACCAAGAAGGCTAGATATAACTTGGACCGCAATTGCAACTTCTGCTCGGTTCGCTTCCGCAAAATGGGCCACTCTCTCGGAGCCATGCCATTGCGTTAATACTAGACACAACATAGTGATTGCGACAGCAAAGACTGGCGTCAACGCGAGTAGGGGCAAATAATTTGTGGAGAGATTCTTCCGCCAATCTTGATGATTGCTAGGTTTCGACTGCTGGGACATGTTGACCTTGGAACTCAACGAGATTGAAAATTTGTGGTATTAATAGGAGAGATCACCAAAGACAGAATTAGTGAATAGTTTCCCCGCTTATATATTCACTGCTGGCATAAACTGGTTGGTTGCGTTTTACGACTGCTTAAAACAGACTGCACAGCCATGTATTCCCAGCCTCATTGCCAGCGGCACCAGCGGGCGCAGCTATTCATGGCACAGCAATGAAGGGAACTTAGGCAAGGGGCTGGTAAAGTTAGGCTATGCACCCCCAAGGATTAGCGGGGTATGTCTTGGCTCACTAGCGCGGTGTGCCATGAATTCCTGCGCCCACTGGTGGCGGCCAATGAGATAGGCGAGGCAGCGAGGTTCCAAGCACCGCCCCCAATGACCGCCGTGTATCCCTTCGTCCGTTTAGACGGGCGTATGAACCTCTCTCTCTCTCTCTCTCTCTCTCTCTCTCTCTCTTTCTCTTCTTTTCGTGCTCCAACTTATCTACACTCAATTATAGCTTGAGACCAATCTCAGTTTGATTCCCTCTTGCCTTCCAGATATCCGCAGTGTCCTTGTGGCCTCCTAGCCATTCGGGCTCCTATACCCCACACTATCCGACTCACTCACTCCAGTTTACCCAGTGCTCTCCCACCCAGCTCGCCCTGATCTGAGCCCGTTTCGGAGAGCCCGTTTGGAAGGAGGGAGCGTTCCGAAGCTCGACATTCCCGTACCGTTCCGCAGCTGGTACCGTTCCGTAGCCCGTACCGTTCCAAAGCTCACATTCCCGTACCGTTCCGCAGCCAGTACGCGTTCCAAAGCTCACGGTTTTGGAAGGTTACGAGGACCGTCCGCTCTCGCCCCGCTTTCAGCCCATTATCTGTAGCTCGTCAACGGCAGAGGGCGGGGAGCATCCCCTTTATAGTTGTGCGCTGCCTAGCCTAGCTGCCACTGGGGTGATGACCCAAACAAAGAGCTTTGGAATGATACAGAAAGGTGGAATAAGCTGTGTCTTGGAAGTATTTTTTTTCCAGCTTAGCGTAGGCTGGAAGGATGCCAAGACACATCTGGAGCTTCGTTTCAGGCTCTAGATGTGTCTTAGCACTCTTCTTCAGGTATAGGATGATAGTCAAAAATGAGGTGCTGTGATTAAAAGGAAATAAGACGGCATAGAAGAGACGGAGAGGAAATAAATCCACTGAAGGCGCCGCTGTCAACGAACCAGTCCATTTTTGCGCTAGATGTTGCCGAAAATAGATCCAAGCACCCTCGTATCATTCAGCTTAAGCGGCACTTACGTCACAATCAAATTCACATCTGGAGGTTTGTTTCAAGCTCCAGGGAAATCTTGTATGGTTGGCAGAAGATATCCCGCTTATCATAGTAGTAGTACAAAGGATCGTGTTTCCGGCGAGTGCTCGCTAGGTACTTTAGAGAGCTGGTCAATGTTCTGTTTAAATGGCAATTTCGCGGAATCTACAAGAAAATGTTGTGAACCCGTGCCGCATGGTTCTTGAAGTGCATATCAGTGCTCAAAGTCTCTTCGCAGAGCGGGTGAGGGCATTCCGGCTCTTTCGACCAGTCTTGGTGGCGTAAATGCTTCTCAACGTGATTCTTTAGAGCATCCTTTCGAGCAAACGCGAAGGTTCTAGACTGTGGCCCTAGGCTCTGATTGCCGAGACAGAACAGGCAGTGGGTGCCCGGACACACCAAAGGAAAGAGGTCGGGGTTAAAATCTTTCTCATCCTCCTCCGGTATTTCTTCTAGAGATTTATCTCGCAACGAAAGATGTCGACGGGGCGCAGGGCGGGGCAAATGCCGACCGCATAGGCTGATTAGGTTATCCATCGCTGCAATGCGCTGCCCGTAAATCACTTCCTCAGATACTTGCCGAACATCTCGATTCTGGAAGAGGAGCGCTGCCAGCCTTTCCCGTTCCCCGAATTGGAATATAGGCTTCGACTCGATATATTCATGCGCGATGTCGCGTCGCTGTTCATCGATATACCTAGTCCCGGCGGTCCGGAAATACTGTCGCCGGGCTTCTTCCTCGAGCGCCCGTTTCACCTTCATCCTCTCGCTGCGTAAATGGCTTCGCTCGCGCCGGTACGTATCGTAGAGCTCCGTGCCCGTTCCGTTCTTGATCTTCCCAAAAGTTTCAATGAGGTCTTTCCGAAGCCGGAGGCACGTCTTTTCGGTTTCTTGGATACCAGGGTCGCTGTCAACCGCAGAATGCTCGACATTGATAGAGTCGGCCGCAGAGGGATCCCGGGTTAAGCTCATATGCCCAGCCAGTTTGATCAGCGCGTCGTTCGAAGGCACTTCGAGGAACGCGGATACCGAATCGAGCTGGACAACACTATTACGATAATAGCGCTCAAAGAGACTTGCACGAGCATGGCCCATCACAAAGCTCCGCATATCTGAACCAGCTACGCCTAGAAACGATGTTAGCGAGGGAGGCCTCAAAAAGGTTAGAAGCACGCAGATGTAAGAAGATTGCCAGCGTAGGAGTAAGAGTGTGCCCTTACAATCAATCGCTTCACCGGCGCCTCTACGATAGCTGTATAGCCCGAGAGAATCTGCAAAACCAGCAGATTTACCGAGTCGCGCGTTCTGGTAATAGAGATCCATGTACTGAACCGATTTATTCGGTGATACGGTCACCTGTCCGCCGCGAAAAACAGATCGCCGGAAAATCGGAATGTCCTGCATTGACTCTTTCCAATGAAGCTGCACACTTTTCAGGTGAGGTGGGACAGAAAATGTATACAAGTCCTTTCGTTGCTTGATCTAGTCACTGTCAAAGGCCCTTGAGAAGCCGAAGCCGGACTCTCATAAGAAAGACTTGTTGAGAGGGGAGTTTTGGATCCCTAACCTTGAATATCTCAATATCGTTGTACTTGAGGCCTTCGTTTGTGTTGTAGTAGCCGCCCCCTTCGACGAGAGTCGACGGCCTTGCAGAGGTGCCGATCATGAAGAGAATAATCAAACTGTGCTGAACCCGCTCCCGCTCGTGTGCGTAGTATTCGTTCGATAGCGCGTAGTGGTGGTATAGGAGTAAGTATACATCGTCTACGTTCATGACAGGCTTCTCTTTCATACCCTCACTCAAACTGTACTCGCTCTTAAGGACGGTGCCGATGAACTAACCATACCTTAGCGATGCTGTTAGAGATGGTCTCTAGACGGAACCATAGTCTTACGTCTTTCATATCCGAAGCGATGACAAGGTCTAGGCTTTGGTATATCTTCCGAGCGTACATCATCCGCCAGTAACGCATCAGCACATAGAAGGAATTCAGCTTCGTCATAGCATGGTTGTCCAGATACCAGTGCATGAATCGCCGGATCTCGGCTACGCTGATGTTTCGCAGGCGGGCAAGAGCATCGGGGTCAAGGACTCGGAGCGAACAGTATCTGATCAAAGAGGGATAAACAGTTCGTCATAAACCTAGGAAATCCTAGCGAATACACACTTTGTCCACTTCTTCCACATATAGCCAACTCCTCTCTCGGTTGCGTCTGTGATAGGTCGCAATGCTGGGGTTAGATCGTCGGCATAGAGCGATTTATAGTACGCAGAGTCTCGTGGCGTATCTTGTTTGCCGCGGGGGCGCGACTTGTTTCCCCTTCCCATTACGATGGTCTCGGAGATCGATGTAGAGAACGGCGTCAGAAACTGGAGGTCTTTTCTGTAGCACTCAACGTTACTCCGTACCTGGGCAGTGTAAGCCATCGCTAGGGCATCTTCACCAAAGACACAACCTGGCCTTAATTGGACACCACCACGAGGCTCTCAGCTATTTCAAGCTCCAGCAAACCTGCATCTTTCTTTGTTGCAGGTGGCTGGCTGATTGGTTCATAATCTTCATATATGTCTGGGGAGAGGAGGATAGATGGCCGTGCTTCCCGGAATGCGGAATCAAGACAAGCCACCGCCTACCCCCCCACTGCCCCTCTCTCGCTAGTCCATACTAGCCAGCACGCATTACGCGTTATTAGAAGAACGGAATGGCGGAGTAGCGAAGGGTTCCTAACCTCCTCCCAAAGTCCCCATGTGAAAGACCGAAACCATCTCCATGTGTCTCATCTAGTCATCGATCGTAAAATAACCAATAAAAGCCGTTTGCTTACGTTGCTTCGGGTTGCTCTGGCATTGGAATCGCATTATCCACCCAGAGTCCTCGACGTCACAGTATTGATTCAAACGGCCAATATCAATCAATCCATAGTCCAGAGCCTTCCTTACCTGAGACACCATTATTGAGCCCGCAAGGCGCAACCCTGATCCTCATTTCCTCCTCGATCTCACTCCAACTTCCAAATCGTGCTCTACATAATACCACTTACGAGGTCCCCACTCCCCAGTCTTCTATCTCGGATCTCTAAGCCAGGGAATTTTCGGGGTGTAGAGTCTGAAACGTCCCCACCAAAATCCATCCTTCCAAAGTCCAACATCAACTCCGCCATTCTCTATCGAAGTACAGACAGATAGTCACACACATAAATCATGGCGTCAGCTGCGTCAGAACCCGTCGCGAAGGGCTCAACTCCAGCGCCAGAGAAAGATCTGGCCACTCCTGCCACCATGCCCGGGGACGATATACCGGTTGAGAATGCTGAGACGGCGCCGGCCGAGAAAGAACCAGACAATTCGTCGAAGCTGCGGACGTTGATGGGCCTGCTGCGCAGGTGCGTGAGAAACCCGTCGAAGCGCAAAATCACAGGCTAATCTCTTCCCGAAACAGGTTCGTTGGCGTGGCGGATCTTGCGTCCGTCCGATTCTCGCTTCCGGCACACCTTCTCGAACCCACCCCGAACTTAGGTATGCCGAACGAGACTGTGGCGAGATGGGATGCTGATTGAGGATGGGCAGAGTACTGGACATACTTGGATCGACCGGAGACGTTTATTGCGTCAGTGCATTCGATGGTTGGGAAGTCGCTGAACAGGTGCTGACGACGCATAGTATTGGAGATTCAAATGAACCGCTAGAACGCATGCTCGCCGCATTGCGGTTCTGGTTCACCAAAGACCTGGTACGAAACCCTCGAATCGATTGATGAGGCGGATGATACTAACGAGCGGTAGAAATATGTCAAAGGCAAACCCGTCAAACCATACAATTCCACACTAGGCGAATTCTTCCGAGTAAGCGCTCCAGCATCTTCGCTAGAATAACCCATACTCAACCACTACCAGTGCAACTGGGAAGTTGACGAGCTCGTCCCACCCGTCCTCCAAGCCGCCGCCCCCTCCCGCGGCTGTAGCATTGCGAGCACCAACTCGACCCGCAAACCCGAGAAGCCCATCCGCGTCTCCTTCCTGACCGAGCAGACCTCCCACCATCCCCCGGTATCCGCGTTCTACATCGAGTGTCCCGAAAAGGGGATCGTGGCGAATGGATACGATCAGATTAGCGCGAAGTTCACGGGGACGAGCGTGAAGGTGATGCCGGGGGACCATAATTACGGGATCTTCATCACGTTGAAGAACCATGGTGACGAGCAGTATCAGTTGACGCATCCGGCGGCGCATTTGGGAGGGTTGTTACGAGGTAGACCGCATATCTTACCCAGGGGAGGAAACGCCGAAACTGGTTACTGACGGGATTCATAGGGACCTTGACCATCAGCGTCGCGGACACCTGCTATATCACCTGCGCGAAGACGAAGATCAAGACGATCCTGCAATACTTGGAAGAAGGCTGGCTGGGGCGGACGCAAAACAAAGTGGAGGGCGTGATCTTCAAGTACGATCCGGACAACGACGACAAGACGCGGGTGAAGGACGTGTCCGAGAAAGACGTCCTCGGACGCATCGAGGGTTCCTGGACCGACAAAGTGTACTTCACCCTCGGCACGCAATCATTCGCCAAATCATCCGTACGTCGCCTTACCACTTCCTCATAAATACTAATATAGGCAATCGAACTAACACCCATCCAGGAAAAACACCTCCTCACCGACCTCGCCCCCCTCTTCCCCGCCCCCAAATCCGTTCCCCCCCTCCCCTCCCAACTCTCCAACGAATCCCGCCGCTTTTGGTCCTCCGTGACCAGCGCCCTCCTCAACAAGCAGTACGCACTCGCTACGAAACACAAGCACGAGATCGAAGACCGGCAGCGCGCCAAGGCGGCCGAGCGGAAGGAGTCGGGGAGGGAGTGGACGCCGCGGTTCTTTACGGGGGCGGTGACGCCGGTGGGGAGGCCGGAGTTGACGGGAGAGGGGAAGAGGGCGGTCGAGGGGTTGGTGAGAGGGGAGTGGGGGCTGGAGGAGAGTGAGGAGTTAGGGGCATGAGGGTATCATGAGGAAGGATGGTAATCGTTGGGGAGAATCGTCAGCGTGAGTCATGCGGCGTTGGGAGCGGGTAGGATTTGCGATTTTCCATCACGGTAATATTCGCGTTGCCTTTTTTTCTTTTGGATTTTTGTGATCCGGTGGATGCCCGAAAGGGCGCCTGACACATTGCATACATACATACACACATACTACACGATGGCATCGTCGTTGGAAGACGCATTTCGGTCGGCTGCACCGAGCCGGTGTCTGGGACCCGGGGGTTTCTTTTGCTAGAAGGAGGGACATGCCGATGGCTGGTATTAGCTCTATCTTCTGGCTGCTATATGACGCGGAATAGAATACGTCGAATGAATGCACGCGCTGTGGGTTCATTCGGCGATTAGACCTCCTCCCTGATTAGTTATTATGCACGCCTCGCAGCGTCATGATCTCCTGACCTCGTGAAACGTGAAAACCCGAAAATGACAGTGGGAGAAAGATTCGCCCGTCGTGCCCACCTATGTAGTTCGTGGATCGTGTGAAAACCATACCGTGCTAAGAAAATGCTAGACGAAGAACGCTATAAAAAGTTCCAAGCCAAATGCGGAAACAACTCAATCAACCGGGTATATAAAAACGCCCTCCCGTCCGAAATTAACAAAATAAGCCATGGGAAGGAGAAACTTGGACAAAGCAATGCCCTCACATCACCGAGCAGCCATCACTATACACGGGCGTCATCGTCTCCGCCGCACTCGCCCGCTCATTCTCCCGATGCTTCTGCATCGCCTCCTTCCGAAACCACTTCCGCAACCACGCGGCATGATCCCAGTCCAAATTCTCGGGACTCGTCTTCATGACCACGGGCTTCCGACACAGGGGGCAGTTGCGCTCGTTCCGCCGCTGCAGCATGACGACGCAGCGGATGCAGAAGACGTGGGTGCAGGGGAGGCGGATGGGGAGGTAGGCGATGCCGGCGCAGATGGGACAGAGATGGTCGTCGAGCTGGGGGATGAGGGAGAGGAGGGAGGTGGAGAGGACGAAGACGATGGAGCGGGAGAGGGAGTGGGTGAGGAGGGGGGAGGTGAGGGAGAGGGGGAGGAGGGGGACGGGGCGAGGGGAGAGGGCGGTGCGCTTGGAGAATTCTGGAGCGGTTAGTGGATGGATGAGGGGGGCGTCAAACAAGGGGTACATACTCTTCAATATCTTCGCCATCGCCAACCCGTTCAGATCCTGAAACCGCAGACTCCGCAACAACTCGAAATTAATCTCCAGAAACCGCTCCAGCGCCTTGTGGCTCTCCCGCACCGCGAAATCCTTCTCCAGATTACTCTTTCGCAGCTGCTCTAAAAACCGACCCCAGCTCTTCTGCGCTTGCTCGTAATTATGCGCCCCATGATCCTTCTCCCCCGTCGACACGAAAATCCGACTGTCCAGATACAACTGAAAGATCTTCCGCCACCGTCGCAGATCGTGCGTCGATCGCCCGTGCCACGTCGGCTTGGCGACCTTCTCGATCACCGCGCCCAGATCCGTGATCGCGCTAGTCAGCCTCCCTTTCTCGCTCTTCTGCAGCGCCGCGATGTTCGTGAGCTGGTGCTGCAGCGTGCGGAAGAACTCCGAGTCCGACGTTATCGGGATCGACACCATCCGGTAGGTGTGGCCTTCGCTAAACGCCGACGCCATCGAGTTGACGCGGCTGTCGGGGCTGATGCTGGACTGCGATGAGGAAGAGGAGGAATTGCGGCGGAGGTCCGATGGGTCGTCGGGGCGTTCGTCGGCGAATAGCTGTACGGAGGTAAGGGACTGGGCGAGCGCGAGTTTGTGGAGCTGGCGCTTCGTCACGGGGTCGAGGCGCGCATCAAGGGGCTCGCCGGTCACTTCGTCGACGGCGAAGAGGAGTCTGGGGACGAATTTCTTGGGCTCGACGCCGGAATCCGGGGAATCGGAGTCGCAGCCATCCAATGTATATTTCCAGATCCCCGGCTGAGCAGCCGACTCCGCGCTGTTCTCGACAGCATCACTCGCCGACGGCTGGGAGTTCAGTAGCAGTCTTAGTTTTACGACGTCTAGTCCGATGGATGCGAGTTCGCGCTGGATGCGCTTGATGCATTTTTTTAGGCGCTTGTAGGAGATGGCAGAGTCGATCCAGGTGGAGGGGAACTCCTCGTTCAGAAGCTGGTGGTAGGTGTGTGCGAATTTCATGGTGGTGAGTGGCGCCCCAGAAGGGCTTCGGATCCGCTGATGGAAATCAAAATAGCAACGGCGGTGAAATGGAGCCGTTTCACCGGGGCTGTACTCTCTTTCTAGTGGAGGAAGAAACCGGATGATTGATGGTTATAGATAATATGTAGGAGGGGAAGATACCACTCAGTTGGACTGGTGTAGTGACTCAGTAGTACTATGACGGGGTATTGAGAAGATTGATTATAGGACATCAACTTAGCATCTCTTATTGAATTCTTACGGAAGGATAGAAATTGAATATAGGTATGTATCACGATGGGGCTGATTGACTGACAAAAAGGAACCGACCTTAAAATCCGGTGAACGGCTGGTTCTTATTTCAGTGGCGAACCAGAGACGCAGGCGGCGGCACGCATCGGCCCAGACGGCATCTTTTTCATGCATCTGATCTGCCCACGCGGGTCGGGAACTGCTAAGAGAAGGAAAATCCAGGAATTCGGTCCTGGCATCGTCAGATTCTGCTGGAATTAATTGGTTAATATGGGCAATTCGGGGGAGAGTCGACAGGGAGTCGGGGACGTTGACATGAGATCATGTGACTTTCGATGAGGGGTAACTACAGTCAACCACCGCTATAATTACCTCAGCAAGCTCAGGCTATTTGTGGTCATGCCTGAGGCAACTAACCACACTATACCTAATCGGTCAATGCAGTTCTCGAACCAATAGCCTGAGGATCCTGTCAATGGTACACACTGACTGTTCGATAATTTTCATGTGTTTCTCACGATTTTGGAAACCTCACTTTTGCATATTCTTCAATAACAACACGAAGACTTATTATAATTGCCCTTAAATCCACTGGGCTGTGCAGCAAGGTATACTTTATCTAGAATTTGAATTTTTTCTACTCCCCAAGCTTGTGTCTTGCAAAAAACGCTGATATGTAAGAAGCCAGACTGCGTCAGAATCGTTAACCAACCACCGCAGTTCAAGCACCTCTGGAGACGTTGGGTTCAGTTGTACGCTGCGCCGAGAGGAGGTTCGATCTGACATCGTCCAAATTTCACTGGGTTGTCAAGAAATGATAGAGGATTCGATTGAACATGTCAATTTTACTGTGTGATAGCTCGTTGTGGAGGAAAACGAGGTTGAAGTGATTAAATTGCTCTCATACAAACGATCTTAACTCAGGCCAAAAATCAATGACAGGATCCTCAGGCTATTTGGTAGAGAACCATACCAATTAGGTATAGCGCGGTTCGTTGCCTCAGGCACTACCACAATGGCCTGAGCTTGCTGAGGTAACGCTATAACGATTACCGCTACAGCGATATTCGCGTTATAGCGATAAGATTCCCTGCACGGATTCTCAATCAATGCTGCCAAGAAAATTCATTTTAGCGATATCCGCGTTATAACGATTGGATTCGCCTGTACGGATTCAATCGTTATAGCGAAGGTTGACTGTATTGGCATGGCTAGTTAACTACCATTAGGAAACTCTAGTTAAGAAAGGACAAAAATTTAACCTTAGTCGAAGCCCATCTCTACATACTTAAGTACACGGTCATACTAACCGGATATTCCAGTTAACGGTCACATTCCATTTATCCACCACAAAGCGCTGCCCAGCAGCCAGTGTGGGAAGATCCTCCTTGAGGTGCTGCACAAATGTGAACACTTCAGAACAGTGCAGTCTCTACCCTTATTAGAATCAGCTGGGTAGTGAGACGGTTTGATCGCAGAAGTTACGAGAACCACTTTCATTTATTGCAAAGCTAAAGAAGAAGAGCTATCTACGACGCGTGCGCGATGTCCAAGACTTCGACAGTTGACTTAGTCACGTGACTATCATTCAGGAGACAGGCCACAGGCCTGGAACCATGACAGCTGCCAGCTCCCGGGAGATTTTTATTATCGTTAAATTATAGGACGTTTAGAATAGGTCTAGGCGCGGGACAAGTGAAGCCGAATAGAGCTCGATATATCGGACATTGACTCATTGAGTCTCAATGCGCAAATCGGAAGTCGAGTCGGTGACTAGCAGTGTCCGTAGTATTGTATGTGTAGTCAACGCGCTCCTAAGATAATAGTCAGCACACGACACGAAGCCTTGATCCTCAGTAGATAGCATCCATGAAAGCCAAACCTGGCATACTTACCTCGGGGGTCATCGCATTCCATTTGCGTTCACGAATTTTGTTCTTAACGACGAAGTATATCTTTGCGTTAAGAAACAGAACAATGCTCAGTACGTTGATTCCAATCAAGACTTGGTTACCTCGCTTGTATAACGGCTTGTCATCTTCACGATAGATGTTTGCCGAGATAATGCTGCAAATTTGAGCGCATACTGGAGCGATGTCGTTAGGTCTGGTGGTACTGGAAGCCGAAAGGAACATAGCTTACTATTGAATAGAGCGGCAGATACGCTGCGAGAGCCAACGTTATTCGAGTTTCTCGACACCCAAGCCCTATACAATGCCCAAAATCATTAACTCCGGTCACGAGAGTTCCCGCCTATCTAACAGAGGGTTACACTTACACGTTAATAGCATAGCCAGATGGACCACTTAGTAAAACGGTGAGTAGAGCATAGGTTGCCCATTGCTCTTTCATAAGACCTGGCCACACTCTGAGAGCAATAATGCAAGGAAGGGTCCATAAGGATTGTAGTATGACGACAAGCCCGCGTTCATTGATTTTTTCGCTTAGCCGGGTAATGAGGAGAAGAGTGATTATACCTCCCACCGCTGATGGAATGGTAAGAAGGTTGGTGTGGAACTAAAGGCATTAGCTGGTGGAACGCATGTTAGAGAGAATACTTACTGTACTAAACCCAAGATTTCGAAGACTTTGCGTGAGATAGTAAGTGGGTGGCCCCGATGGAACATTGCAGATGGCGCCGAGCACGTAAAGCTTGATATACAGTTAGCATCCGCTGGTGTCCCAGTTAAGAAGATACCTACCGGCCAGAGATCATAATCTTTCAGTGCAGCCCACAGTCGACTTGGGGTGATTGCCTGTCGATTATGCATGTCTCCTATTACCATAGATCAGTCTCGGCTCGCCTCGGGATATAGGTTTAAATCACCTTTGCTGGGATCGTCTCGTAGCACTCGGTTCACCACAATAGTAAGTTCGCGATCAGTAAACCATCCCTTAGGTCGAAACCACGTCTTTGTCTGGGCTGCAGAAGCTGGCATGAGGAAGAAGGACGTAATGCCAATGCCAAATGTCATCGACCCTTCGATTAAGAAGATCCACCTGAAATTGTGTCAATCATTGTCCAAGAATGAAACAAATGGAACTATACCTCCAGCCTGCAAGACCATGGTGGCCTTCGAGATGGAAGATTCCAAAGGCAAGGAGAGAAGCAATGATACCAGTGAGGCCTAGGGCTGTCCAGAAGTAGCTCAACCTAATGGGGAGCTCCCGGCCGGTGTAAAAGTAGGAGAGCCAAAGTATTAGGTCTGGGATGAAACCACCCTATATTTGATTCAATTAGTAGGGAAGCATTATGGGAATCAGCTAACATACTTCAAGCATTCCAAGCAGAGACCGAGTTGCAAGAAATCCGGATCTGCCTCGAAGTCCTGCTTGCGACATGGCGACTATGGACCATAAGACCATTTGGGTAGGAATCCAGCGGTCTGGACCGAACTTTTTTGAGATTAATTGAGATGGCAACTCGGCTAAGAGGAAAGATACTAGGAACACGGTATGTCCAAGATTGTAATCTAATATTTTAAATCAGATATCATTAGAAAGGCAAATGTCGGTCTACCTACCATTAGTATTAAGGTTAAGATCCTTTAAAAAAGTTCCCGAAACGGCTTGATTGATGTTTCCACGATCGATCTGTAGACTAAAGAACATGATGCATGCCCACAAGCATACTATTACAAATAATCGTCAGTCGAGTCTGTAGACACTAGATAGTGTACATACCATGCCAGTCGAGTTTCCTAATGATCTTCTTCTCCTCTTCTTTTGTCCATGTGGCATCCGCGTCGAAGACATGTCGACACTCATATTTTGCTTTCTCATAGACACCAATGTAGTAGTCTCGGATCTGGGGATCCGCAAAGGGATTGGCCGAAATGCTCGAGTCGACTTCTCCAGTGGCTACGATAGCCCCCTCTTTGGTTATAATGTTGCCTTTCGTTGTCACTAACTTTGCATCGTCCAAGACAACTTTTGTCACCGCAGGCCCCACGTCAAGCTGTTCGGAAGATAGGCCGGAGTCATCTTCCGACTTGTCCCTGGAGCGTTCGACTGCCATGGCGTTGTAGGGCAGGTAGGAATAGGAGGTTCGTTCCAATTCTTCTCAGTAGATGGACCGGGGGGCAAGAAAGGTCAAATATACTTCTCGAGATGTACAGTCTAGTCCCAATAACGACTGATGTAGCAACGGATGTAAGAATCAAATAGCATGACATCCATAATGAGTATGATGTGCTTGATACGCTTTCAGCATTGGAGATGCAGGTCAAAGCCCATCTCTTCTCTAGTAAGAATGAGGTGATTGATAGGGTCCCAGTAATCATTTTCGGAGATGCAGGCCAAGTCCTCCTCTTCCATGGCATCGATGGCCACGATATAAAAGTATTCGGTTGTAACGAACGCCGGAGTGATCTACTCATCTTCCCACGCATAGTAACTAGGAATCACATGGCGTCCATAGTGAGTGTGAGGTGATTCCAAGTCTTTCTGTAACAATTTTCGGAGACGCAGGCCAAGTCCTCCTCTTCCATAGCATGTATAATAAGAAATGATGCAGTACATAGTAACAACCGCAGGGGTAATGTGCTGGCTCTATCTTCCTACGCGTAGTAACCAGGAACAATATAACATCCAGGGTCATTATGATGCGATCGATCAGCTTACTGTAACCACGACCTAAGATGCAAGTAGAGGCTGTTCTTTGCTACCTCTGCGCGAGATAGAAACGTATCTGGACCCCGCGGAAATGTTGTTAACTCTAACGACGGCATGTACGGCTGGCTAACCGCATGAAGCACCGAATTGCTCCCTAACGCGTCTATCCGTAAATGACGCCATGTTAGCAAGGGTGAGTGTCTACTATCACACTTGACACTCGGACAAACGTCCTAGATAGATGGAGGAAGCTCTGAGCGAAGACCTTGATTTCATGTACTGTATACACTATCTCGGATACAAAGTTGTCGCAGGCCAAAGGATTAGATCTAGGAGCACTAAGCAGTGAAGCTCCAAAAACCGGAAGGCAATTTCGCTGGTCTGTATCAAATACGTCGTGGTCTCTCCGCCTGATGTACCCAACGCTGACAATCGTGCTGGCCAATCACATGCTGAGGAGAAATACCGTAATGAATACTTTATACAGCTCTGATACAAGAGAGTGAACCGCATCTTGAACAACAGAATTATTATTATCAGCACTGGAGAAATGACGATAGTGTTGAAGTTGAACAACTAAAGATAAGAATATCAGGTTGTAAATCGGTAGGGATACCGAATGATGGCAATATAGATCTACCATTAGCTCTTCTGGGAACCGAAAGTCACCTCCCCACGGCGATTTCCTAGACATTTCCTCAACAACTAAACTTGCACCAACTCCCTGATATGCGGTGAGACTCTGCTAGGTTGGGTGTACTATGTCATTATAATCCATCACATATGAGATCTTGGCCTTTCCACTCGCGGTAGACACGTTGAAGTCCTTCGAGCACCGCAACCATGGGTGCCGGGCAGTCATCGCAGAGCGACGCCGCCGCTGCGGTCGATGTAGAGGTGAAGACGAGTTATTACGAGCTGCTAGGCGTAGAGCGGGTAGCGACAGACGATGAGTACGCTCTCACTTCTCGCCCCCCACCGAAGCCATACATTAACCCACCTCAGAATCAAAAAAGCCTACCGCCGCAAAGCCCTCGAACTCCACCCCGACAAAAACCGCCACGACGAAGAAGCCGCCAACAAACGCTTTGCCGAAGTCCAATCCGCCTACGAAGTCCTCTCCGATCCGCACGAGCGCGCCTGGTACGATTCCCACGAGAGCAACATCCTCGGCGGCGGCGATGGCGGCGCCCACGAGGACGTCCACTTCGAGCAGGACGTCCGCTTCACCACCGCCGAGGAGATCCTCATGACCACCCGGAAGTTCAACCGCGGCGTCGACTTCTCCGACGCCCCCTCCGGCTTCTACGGGTTCCTGCGCGACTTCTTCGAGAAGCTTGCCACCGAAGAGGACGTCGCCGCCACGCAAACCGGGGACGTCGAGATCCCCGAATACCCTCCCTTCGGCCACCGCGAGGACGACTACGACGACATCGTCCGCCCCTTCTACGCTATCTGGAGCGGCTTCTCGACCGCCAAGTCGTTCGCCTGGCGCGACAAATACCGCCTATCGGAAGCGCCCGACCGACGGTACCGGCGCGCGATGGAGAAAGAAAATAAGCGCCTCCGTGACGAGGCGAGCTGGGAGTTCAACGATGCGGTGCGCACGCTCGTGGCGTTCGTGAAGCGGCGCGACCCACGGTATCGGCCGAACGCGCAAACAGAGGAGGAGCGGCAAGCGGCACTGCGGGCGGCGGCAGCGGCGCAGGCGAGGCGGTCGAAGGCGGCGCACGAGGCGAAGATCCGGGCTGGGGGGGAGGCAGTGCCGGAGTGGGCGCGGGCGCGTGAGAGGGACGAGGCGGAGGAGAGCGAGGAAGGGACGGAAGAGGAGGAGGAGTTTGAGTGTGTGGTGTGTAAGAAGCGGTTTAAGAGCGAGCGGCAGGTGGAAGCGCATGAGAAGAGTAAGAAACATTTGAAGGCAGTCCAGGCGTTGAGGAGGAAGATGAGGGCGGAGGGGTTGGATTTGGGGTTGGATGGGGTAGGGAAGAGGACGTTTACGCCGATGGAGGAGGAGAGGGAGGAGGGGGGTGGGGATGGGCTGGCGGAGGTGGATGCACAGGAGGAAGATGTAGACCTCTCAGAGAAGGAACTCGAGCATAAAGATATCGACGAAGCCATGGATTCCCTCGACATCGACACAAAACCGCCCCCCGCTCCCGCCTCCGATACCGACGAAGACTCCTCCTCCTCCGAAACCGACCTCCGCGACCGCTCCGACTCATCAATCACCTCTCTTGACCCCTCCATCAACCCCTCCCTCAACCCCATCCCTAAACCCCTCCCTACCCCCAAACTCGGTAAAGCCGCCCAAAAGCGCGCCAAACGCGCCGCCGCAGCTGCCACCACCGACGCCGAGGAACTGAAGTTCCAGTGCGCGGTCTGCAACGCAGCGTTTCCTTCGAAGACGCAGATGTTTCAGCATATCAAGGATTTAGGTCATGCGGCGCTGAAGCCGGGTGGGGGGAAGGGGGGGAGGAAGAAGAGGTGATGGGGAGGGGGAGGGGGAATGGAAGGTGAAGGAGGGACGGGATATATATAGGAGGATGGGGTTGTTGTTGGGAACAGTTTGGATTGGGTTATAACAGATAGATATCAGGATTGAGCATGGCGATGGCGTTGGGGTTTTGAGAATCGCATTTTGATGGTCTAGAGGACAGGGTATGGAACAAAAATTAAGCATAGACTTTCCTCGACTGTGTTTGCGATGAAAATTTCGATCCTCAGCATGTTCATTGCCAGCCATATAAGGTGTTTGAGGACTTGAGAGCATCGGGGATAACACTAACCAATCCACAACACATCGCAGAAGTTGCGACACCGCGAAAATGATGACCGCTTCATTGAGATCTAATTCTCCCTTCCTCATGCCTGGTATCTCCCGTCCGCGGCGAGAGTAGAAAAAATGCTATCTAAACATCCATACCTCGAGGCTTCATTGCTATCGAATTCCTTCTCCAGCTTCCAAGCGCGTCTACTGACTCCCTCGAGAAGAGCGAAGCATGCGTCGGTCCTCGACCACCAACTGCCTAAGCGCTAGACCAATCGTTCACGACATAGAACCAACCCACAATCGCCTCCGACGCTTCCAACACCCCCACCCCCTACCACCCATCATCCCCTGGCTCCTCCCCCCCCCACAGAAACATCTTTTTCGCCCCCAACCTCCCCCTCGCATCATCCCCATAATCCACATAACTGACACGCTTCTCCACCGCCGCATCCGACCTATACCCACCGTTAGCTCTCGTCTACGCAAACATCGCGCGAACCGTGGCTTGCGTCTCTTCGGACATGGTGCTCAGCGCCGCGTTGGCGTCCATGCCGGTGGCGGCGACGAGCTTCTTGGCGGCGGCGACGACGCGCACCGCGGTGGCACCTTGGAGGGTTTCGGCTTCGAGGGCTTGCGTGATGAAGGTGAAGCATTTGGGGGCTTGGGTGTAGACGGCAGGGGTTTGTCTAGAGGGGGGAGGTTAGTATGGGGTTTGTAGGGGGTGATGATAGACGAGAAGGGAAGGGAAGACGAACCTGTCAATTAACTCAGCTAGGAATCCATATCCGTACGGCGCCGCTTCCTCGTCGTTCACAATCGGCAACGTATCGATCCATCGCGCCGCCACCTCCTCCGCATTCGTGACCTTCGACCCATTGAAATGCAAGATCTTCGCGATCGCCGCCGACGCGTTCTCCGTCGCATACACCTCATCCTCGCCGCGTGCGTCTGCCCGCTGCACCACCCCGAACAGTAGCGGCATCGCACCCGCCACGAACTCCGCCCACTGCGGGCCGCCCTTCTGCGCGGCAACGCCGACGCCGTACGCAGCGGCCTGGCGGTTCGCGGGGAACTCGTCCTGCACGCCGTTGACGAGCGGCTCCATGATGAGGCGGCTGTAAGCGAAGGACTGGGGCCCGCAGAACTCGAGGACGTCGTCGAAGATGCAGATGGCCCATTGGCGCTGGGTGGGGTCGGGGTTGCGGACGAAGGCCTCGTAGAAGGAGAGGAGGCGCTCCCAGTGCGGGAGGAACGCGGTGCTCATGTTCTTGAAGATAGTGTGGAACGCCTTGTTCATGTCGGACAGCAGCGTCTGGTCGTCCTCGACGGCAGCGAGGAATTCCTCCGACTCCTCGTCGCCTTCTTCACGCTCCTGCGCTTCTTCAAGGCGTCCCTGCACACGCTCGGCGAACTCCTCCAGCACGCCTTGCACATTCTTGACGAACTCGCCCATGTGCGCGTCGGTGAGGCATCCGCGGCCGAGGATCTCGACGGATTCGTAGAAGCATTCGTACATGTTGGCGAGGGATTCGATGGTGGGTTCTGTGGCGACGACTTCGAGGATCTTTTGGATCGTCGGTTCCCACAGCTCGATGAGCAACGAGGATTCGCCGCCGTGGGCCTTCTTGTACGAGTTGAGGAGGGCCGGGACGCATTTGGCGGCGGCGGTGCGGACGGGGTCGTGGAAGAAGAAAGACAGGCCGGGAAGGGCGATCTTGTCCATGATGTCCTTCACGTACGGCTCGAACGCCGCTTCGAGGACTTGAGCGTAGATGACGATCAGCTCGATAGCCATGTACTTATCGTCGAGAGTGCTGGTTTTGATGCCGATGAATTTGCCTTTGAGGGGGATGATCTCCCAGTTGTCGTCCTGCTCGACGGTCGCGACCTTGTCCTCATCCTCGAGGAGTTGAATATCCGCCTTGGCACTGGCCAGTTCAACCAAAGGTGGCATCACAGCGCCCATGTATGGAAGGAAGTCCGCCCCAAGAACACGGCACATCCTGCCCCAGCAGTGAAGCAGATACGACGCTTGAGGATCGTCGGGCTCGGTGACGTTTTGCTGAATGGCTCCCAAGAGGTTGACCAAAGCTACCGCGTCCTGTCCCATGCGCTCCTTTCCAACCGCCAATGCGATCAGGGTTGCGCACTCCATGGCTTTCGCTCTTAGTAGGCGATATTCCTTGTCCTGCTCGTTCTTTAGCACGTTGAACAATAGCGGCATTAGGGTATCATAATATCGTCCAAAGGCCTGTTCCGCGGAATCCGCGACCGTGGCAATGGTGGAGAGCGCCTGTTCCTGGACAAAGCGTTTCGGGCTTTGCAAGAGCTGCAACAGATGGCTAAGGAGATTGTCGAGGTAGGGCTCGAGGACCGACTTCTCCGCCTCCTCGCAGAAGTTGACCAACGCAGCCGCAGCGTGCGCTTGCACGCGTGGCTCCGGGGCTTCGAGGACGGGGATAATGCTGGGAAGCACGACTCGGTGGTATTGCTCCTGCATCGTCCCGGCGAAATCGGTGCTCATTTGGCCCAACGCATTGCATCCTGCCCACCGCACGCGAGGGTGCGCGTCTTCGAGAGCGGGAACCACGAGGTTGAGGACCTTATCCAATTCGCCGATCATCAGATCCCGGCATCCTTCTGAGATGGCCGAAATCGCCATTAGGGCGGCATGTCGATCTTTCCACGCGGCGGAGTTCATCATTCGTGGAAGCCAGTTGAATGTCGGTGGAAGAAGCGCTGCGCCACCGAGCCGGTTTGCGAGCCGATCCATGGTCTGTTCTCCAGCAACGTGGTTCAGGTCGTTGTCGTCCGCTTCAAGGTCTTCACAAGCGTTCCACTCCTCGGCGTCGTCATCATCCTGTCCAACATCGGTCATAAGAGACAAGCACTGCGTGACCATCTCCGAGGTGTAGTTCGGGTCCTTCTTGCACATCTGCGGCGCATTATCGGCAAAGGTAGCCATGAGCTCCAAGGCATTTTGTCGGGCTGAATCATCCAAGTCCGTCTCCTGAATGACGGACACAGCAAACGTGACAAGGTTGCTGAACAAAGGCTTGAACATCTTCGGAGCGGTTTCGGCGAGTTCAATCAAGGACAGGAGGCCTCTCGACAGCTGGTCGGAGTGTTCATTATTTTGGAGAGGAGGGAGGATATTGAGGATTTCGGGAATGAGGGAATAATATTTTTGTTGGCTCTTCCTGTTGATTGATCGGAAGAATCCTGAGAAGGCGTCGATGGCGGATAGCCGGACCTTGGTCTGTTAGACGACACGCACTCCATGGTATCCGATGCCAACTTACCCCAACATCTTGATCCCTGAACCCCGTTGTAAATGACTCTAGGACAACTTCTTCATGTTGCTTCTCGATAATCTGCGGTGTCATGGAGAACACCCGGAAAGCAATTTCGCGGACCTCTGGGTTCGGCGACTGGCTGGCTTGGAACAAGGCCTCAAGTAGTTCTGCCCATACTTCGCCTGTCCACCAAAATTAGCGACCACCAATAGCGACAGAGATTTGCAAGCAGGGCGTTTTACCTTCGTCGGAGTACATGCGAGCCACTTCGGCCACGGCATCGCCGATTTTGTTCCGGAGTTCTCTGTTCTCTGCCAACCGGAGCCCTTCCAGCATCTTGGCCTTGATCGCCTGTCGATGGGCCGGAGACAGTAAAATAAACGTCTCCTTGAAATTACCGCTCTCATCTTTCTTCGTCCGTGTCGCGATCCGTCGGAACAGGACCGCAGCAAAGGTTCTCACCTAAAGCGCAATGGCATATTAGTCCCCAATTCGTATGTATGTCGTGCCGGTTGTCACAGAAGATCTGCTCACTGGATAATCGCCTGCTTCGGCACTCTGCTCGACCAGGCCCATCAGAAGCACTTCCGGCCTCTGAGCCGCCCAGTCGTCGTTCAGTTGCTTCTCCGCTTCGGTTCGGAGGACATTGTCGGGGGATTGCAGCGCCACAAGCAGCTGAGCGAGAGCCGCTTGCACTTCTGGAGGGAGTAGAGACATTATGGCCTAGAGATACGCCCAGAATCTTATATGTCTCTGGTCATGAAAGTGTACGCAGCGCAGAGGGCGTGTGGCTGCGATCAACCCGGACAGAGGGCTGGGGCGAGTTTTGGATTCCGGGGCGTTGGTGGTGGGATATCAGGAGGGGTAGGTGTCTATGGGTCTCCGACACAAGCAACAAGACCGGTAGCGTCTGTCACAGTGTCTAAATAGTGCGGACAAGACAGTGAGGAAGAAGTCGGGAACGATAGATGTTTAGTTAAGCCAGGGAAATTTTTGGTGGGGGTGTCATGGTTTTGTTAGTGATGGGCATTTGACATTTGACGTGAAAGATTGTTAGAGGAGCAAGGATGAACCGCTTAAGGCCTCAGGCAAATCCACGGAGGCAGGGAATTTCCTGTTGGCAGAGAGATCACTGGTAAATTCAGTTACCCCTTGAATTCAACCAGATATGTTCACTGAATTACAGGCCCCTGTTGTACTGTATAAATAATAGATTACTACTGCTATTCCTTCCTTTTGTTTGCTCTCCCTGTGGTGAGAAGAATCTCAGCTATCCCTTCATTAATGAAGGACAAAATTTGGCTAGCGTACTGGTACAGTAGATACCTCAGGCGACAAGGCACAAAGGGATGATTTGTGGCGTTTCTGTAATTAGCGATGCAACAGCTCGGCTGGGCTGTAAGGCCGAAAGGCATAAAGTCTGTGGTTGCCCTTTGAAACCAGGCAGAAAGTAAACAATGCCATGATACCTGTGCACTGACGACGATGGTGGACAAGATCACCATCATTCATCTTGTGAGATAGGTACCATGCAGTATATACATCGGAAGACTCATTATGGGCATATTTTATTTGTTGAATTAAAGAGTGTTGAATTATGCGACGAGTTTCCCATGCGACACCATGTCCGCCGCCTTCTCCACCCGGTTCGGCGGAGGACGGTGGTTCAATCACGGCCTATATTCACGAAGAATCAACAACGGGAAATGTTGAGTTCACCAAAGAGGTCCGAGAACAGTTTCACAAAGCAAAACCACGCAGACCACCTCCAGGAGTGCGGAAAAGCATTCTTGTTAATGCGGGTCCTCAAGAGGTGAATGACGATCCCCGGCAACGACATCTTGAGCTCCCCACAGGCAACAGCCATGCCCGACGCACTTCACTCATCCCCAAAAATCGTGGAGGACGAAGAACTTCAATTTTAGCCCAGCCAGCTCAGAAAATCCCCGGAACTTCACGGCTAGGTCCGCTGCCCGTCATTCCCGCTGCCAACTCATCACGTCAACGAAGGCCGACTCTGCTGCCAGACCACTTGGAGCAAGACGAGATGGCGGATCCGAAGGCACAACCGTCCCTTCGAAACCATATTCCGCTCAAGAAAGCCCCGCGCAGGCGAACCATATACGTCCCTTCGGAAGACACCACCATCATGACAATCCACCCCGGCGCCCCGTCTCGCGCATATTCGAACACGAGACCGTCATCGGCGGATCTCGGACTTGGGCTTCTCACGTTGGCAGAAGAAGAGCCCGCGAAGATGGAGAGCACCGAGGTGAAGTCGTCTCGGGGTTCGCGCAAGTCACTGGCTGCGGCACCGAGGAGGATCCCACTTTGTGCGACCAAGCGCCAACTGCAGGCCCCAACCATATATGAAGACGTCGAGGGGATGGGAGATGGGAAAGAAAATGTACCGCCGGGGCGAGTGTCTACAAAGCAAATGGAATTGGAGCACAAAAAAGTTAGGAAGCCGCTGCATACGACCGGTGCAAATCTTGAAAGAAAGCAACTCAACGCAGGTCGGACACACCCTCAGAGTCCGCTGGATACACCTATCGAGAAATTCTTCCCGGCATTGGACACTCCTCCACGCGATTCGCAACCGAAACCGAAACCGACCTCGAATCAGAACCCTATCGCAACGCGTCCGAAGCCTGTCATCGAACGACTTTTGGATCGCGCAGCCACCGTCAAGAGGCAATCCCCTGTTGCGACAAATAATCGTAAAAATAGCCCAAACACCTCTCCGCGTCTAGCATCAAACGGCGGAGTGCCTAAAAAGTCTGCCAAAGCGTCCTCGGTCCACAAAGCGAGCCAGCAGGCGCAACAATTCCCAGTTATCACGGACGACCTCAATCGACCCGAGCTGTATGAGGAGCACTGGCTGGCCCAACAAGAGACATCTCTAACGCAGCTCCTAAATGGGATCTTCAAATCACTGGAGCCGAAATCTTATCTCGATATTGAGAAACACAGTACTATGCGACGCCGTTTACTGGACATCTATCAATCGCACGACTTGTCCATCGCGTACAAGCGGATCCAAGCCTCCTTACGCTATGGAGCACTCTGTATCCCCAAAGATACCATCACCCGCGAAGTCCGGTTGAAAGAGGACATCGGCATGCAGAAGAAGTTTCTCACGCTCTGGATCGACTCCTATGACCATGAATTGCTCAAGCCGGCATTAGAGGCGATCGTGGGAAGGGAGATACCGCAAGATGCGCGCTTGTCAGGGACACCACCGCAGGCGTCGCTATCTCCTGAGCGTGCTGGTAGGCGACAGAGGAAGCTCCTCGGGGCGTTCTTTAATGCGTTCTTTATCCACAACGAAGACGCACCGAAAGCGAAGAGCAGTGCTGGGACCATTGGTGGAATTGCGCGGTCGCTTGGGAGAGATGCGGAAGATGCTGGGTCCTCCGTCGGCTCGTGGCGAAGGACGGTCCTCCGAAGCTTGATGCTGATCCTTATTCTCGACAAAGCTAAGGGAGCGGAAGTGGCTCCCAAGTGCTTGTTTCAGAAGACTTCAACGCACAAGTCGTCTATGGAAGTGTTGGTCGCACTCGGTCGACTGCTTTTGCCGTCCGTGGGAGATATCGTTAAGACGCTCGGCCATTTGAACTACTCGCTGCAGACGATTCAGAGTCCTCTTCAAGAGTACGACTACCACGTCGAGAATATGGCAACCGATCTCCGGGACGGGGTGATGTTGACACGACTTGTTGAGGCGCTCCTCTATTCCCCATCCAAACGTGTCCTCGAGAGGGAGATGGCCGGTGAGGCCACTATTACGTTCACCTTACCCGACGGCGACCTCCTCACCAGCAACATCGATGATCCAACTGGCAACAACTGGATCCTGTCTCAGCACCTCAAAGTCCCTGCCACGTCCCGCACGCACAAAATGTACAACGTCGACATCGCGTTATGCGCCGCCGCCAACGCAACGGGTTCCATGGGACACCTGAGCCAAGACATCTCAGCAAGCGATATCGTCGACGGCCATCGCGAGAAGACGCTCAGCCTCCTCTGGGCCCTCGTGAGTGAGTACGGCCAAGACCTGCTTGTCGACTGGACGGAAGTGCAAGCGGAGATCCAACGAGCCAAGCAGCGCATCCACCCTGCCGACTTCTCCGCGCTTGACATCCAAGACGACTCTGCCATCGAGCGGCTCAACAGCGTCGCCAAATCGCAGGCTCTGCTCCGCACCTGGGCGACGCTCATCTGCCACCTTCACGGAATCCACATCACCAACCTCACCACCTCCTTCGCCTCCAGCCACGCCTTCTCCGCCATCATCGACGAATACTCCGCCTTCCTCCCCACTACCACCCCCTCACCATCACTCTCCACCTCCTCCACACCCCTCCCAACCAAACTCGCCCCCCTCGCCATCTCCGCCTCCTTCCTCCGCCTCCTCTCCCCCCCCACCGCCCCAATCATCCCCTCCCCCACCCTCACCCTCCAAATCCTCCTCTTCCTCTCCTCCCGCCTCCTCCCCCTCGCCCGCCGCCACCGCGCCGCCACCACCATCCAACGCGCGCTCCGCACCCACCTCCTCCGCCGCTCCCTTCTCTCCGCCCTTCACCGCCGCGTCGTGTGCGCTACGCTCGCCCGCGAGTGCGCGCTGGTAGTGCGTGCGCGGGAAGAGGTGATCGACGCCGCGAGGAGGATTCAGAGGGCTTGGAGGGGGTGTTTGGAGAGGAGGGTGGAGCGGTTGGTGGGGGATGTGGTGGGGGTGCAGAGTGTGGTGAGGGGGTGGTTGGTGAGGAGGAGGGTGGAGAGGGTGGGGAGGGCGGCGAGGGGGAGGTTTGGGGCGTTGGTGGGGTTGGGGGTGGGGGTTGGGGTGGGGGATTTGTGGGTGGAGGCGGTGGAAGGGGGGGAGGAGGGAAGGGGGAGAGCGGGCTGGTGAGGTGGGTTGGAGGACAGAGAGTCGGGCGTTGTTTTCGGAGTGGTTGTTTATTGTTAATGATGATGGATCAAGAGGGTGCAGAGCGAGTCGAGGAGGAGAAGCGAGAGGATGCCGTTGTCTCTCTACGACTTTTTTAACGAACCGGTTTCTTGTATATATTAGCGGCGTATTGTTTGGCACGCGGTTCATGTTCATTGGCAAATAGTGGTGTTATTCAAACATTATTTGGGTAAAGAATCTGCCCTCGACCAAAGAGGCAACATCACCAGTGAATCGAACGTTTAGCGAGGCTGAAGTAGACTGAGGTAGGAAATAGGTATATGCGTCAAGGAGGTGTCGGGCAAGTGAGGAAGCAGTTGTCTGGAGATCACCGTCGATGATCAACATGATTGTTAAGCAGGTGACTTTGATTACGACGAACAAGGAGTTGCAGGCGACGGTGAAGGAACACTGCTTAAGGTCACTGGTAGATCATAGATTGAAAAGAGACGGCCATGCCGAAATGGGCGTGCTGCCTACATCGTCGAAGAACTGGTAGATAATCTAGTGTCGTATATCGTGTGTATTGGGATACGGCCCTATATCGCCTGACCGATTGATATAATGCACCACCTCATCCCACGCCGGCCAACCCCCCCACCCCTCCACACCCTCCACCGTCTCCCTCGCCATCAACACCGCCTCGTCCGGAACACCACGACCAAACCGCTCAGAGATCCGCAGCACCTTCACATAGTCGTTCCTATGATCCATCATCTGCACGGCCGGCCGCTCCAACCACACGCGGATTGCGACGAGCAGGGTGCGAAAGCGCCGACGCCCACCGACGGAGTTGGATGTGATTTCGGATAGTGCGGTGTGGTGCTCGGCCATCCAGTAGACGATGGACAGGAGGCCTTCGTGGTCGGCGAAGGACGCGAGGGTGCGGATGAGGCGGTGTAGGTCGGCGGGGTCGGGGATGGTGTAGAGGCGGGAGAGAGTCGGGGTGGGGGATCGGGGCGAAACGGGTCGCTGCGACGGATTTGGATTTGGGCTGGTTCGCGGCTGCGGTTGCCCGACGGCGCGGTAGAATAATTCGCGGATGTAGAACGAGCCATGGTCGAGGATCCACTGGGCCGTCTCGATGATGGCGGGATGTTGTTCGCTCATTCGTTCGTGGGCGTCGTGGGTTTCCAGCCATCGCAACAAGTCATGACTCGGAATGATCGCTGCTTGGAGTATGTTGCAAATGCTGGAGAAGCCGGGCAGGTCGAGAGGCTCTTGTTCGACGGCGATGGTCTGAGCAGCGTGCCGTGCGAGTGCGACCCGGTATATCTTATCAAGGGACCGCGGATGGTCGCGGATGCCGACCGGATCTTTCGTGTTGTTGCCTTTTTCGAGGCAGCGAAGGACCATGGCGTACACGAACTTCTTCGAGTGGGGATAGTAAGCTGATAAATGAAGAGCGTGGACAACTGGGTGCTGCGATCGAAGGCGTAAAGGAGGACATATGTTCGAGACCGAAGGGCCGTGAATGACGTCCGATATTCCCTTCACCGCAGGCACTCGGCAGAGAGCAGCAATAACGCATTTGATGGCAGGTAAGGGCACTTCCTTCCAATGCATTTGATGCTCGGGTCTGGATGACCAAATGATTTCGTTGATTCTTGAGCCGTCGAAGAGTAACTCAAGGAGGCTTTGAAGCCGCGTAGCGTCCGTAACGTTGACGAGAATGAACTGGGCGCACTTCTTTGAAACCCTGACCTTGGCGATCATCTCGCCGACAAGTTCGTTGGAAGAGGGAGGCGGTGCCGAAACATAGGTCCACTCGTGAGTGGACGCAGGTTCGGGGGAAAGTTCTATGCCGTCGCCGGGTAACGGTATGGACTGCGACGACATCGCCGGGTCTCTGAAATCGGCGGTATTGGACTTTTCGATCTTCGCGTTTTCCTGCGCGACAATCTTCCGAAGCATGGCCTCGTACACGTCGGATCCGGTCACTGACAAACTCGGAGCATACGTCCCGCTGGACTTGAATGCCAAGAACGAAGCCCACGCTTCGTTCAATGTCCTCGTCGCGGTGATTCGCGCGGCCCAAATGCCGGTCTGCACGGCGATGGAATGGTCGGGTTCCGGTAGCTTCCTGTCTGTGTTCGGCAACTTCGCTCGAACCTGCATAGTAGGGGTGTTGTCCGTATCCCAGCCCGCGAAGAGATGGGCGAGCATTCCCCATTCGCCCGTATCGCACCCGGCCTCTTTCATACGGAGCAAAGCGGCCCCGGCTCGGGACGTGCCATACGCCGCATTCTTGTATTCATCTAGTCCAGTCCGGTCTTCTTTCCAAGGCGGCCAGCTCCCTTTCTTCATTGCAGCCCAATCGCGTTCTCTTTCGGTCTTCGGTCTCCGTAGCAAGACTGCGATCACGGCTTTGTAGCCTTCTGAAGTGACGATCAGAGGCGGAGCAAACCCTGCCATCCTCTCAAGGATGGTGAATTGTGCATTTTCAGCTGCAAAAGAATCACGGAGTGGGTGAGTCGTCGGCGTGATTGCCAGGGCATTCAGAACCTTATTACACAAGAACGTTGCTGTCTGAAGGGCTTGAGCAACAGGTGGACCGTGGACTTGAGGCGTGGAAATTTGCTGCAGAAAATCCAAGTGCCGACAAAGGAGTCCAGCGATGTCGGAAAGAAGAGTGGTATGCACTTGACGCGCATGACGCAGAAGCCTTCCAATAATGAGAAGCATGTGATATTTCCCCAAAATCTCCGTGGCTCGATTCTGCCGAGACAATGTGCGAGTGGCGCTAGGATCGGACTTATGCAACGCATGGGCGTCATCGAAAGCCGCCGACACATACTGCAAGATATCCCAGATGCAGTCGGGGTGAAGTTTGCGACGTCGAAGCACCGCTAACAGGACGAATACCGGAACCCGAGTCCGACTTGGGCCAGACGCTTCGAGAGGGGGTCTCGTCATGCCTTCGATTATTTCACGCCCTGGACGTCTTGACAGCAAAATCGTCGCCCAGTTGAACAGATCAGTGGCATCGTGCCCCTCCAAGGCAAGACAAGGTAAGTCCGCCTTCGATAGGTAGGACGCAATTTGCTCGTGATGCGGCCATATCGCCGTTCTGAAGTCCACCGCCAGAAGGTCGCGCCTTGGAACCACTTGGCTCATCGCTTGAATGTACGATGCCAACACCCACTTTCTACTCGCGGGTCTGTCTCTAGAGCGCAAAGTATCGTAGCGATGCACGACGTCGGCCTTTTCGGAAAATTTTGTTGGGGCAGGCAGAATGTACTTGGGAAGGATGTGTTGTTCCTGCAAAATGACAAGTGCTCTACTGAGATAGTCCAAGTCACCACCCTTGTCCTCAATTCTCCGCGGATTCAAGAGATTCGCTAAAGGTTCGGCAACGGCATGCGAGACTATCGGTGTATACGATCCAGGCTCGCCTGAGCTTTCAAGATCTTCTAACGGTTCGGCAACAGCATGCGAGACTATCGGAGTATACGATTCGCGCTCATTTGAGCTTTCGAGATCCCCTGAATGTTCGGCAACGCTATACGATACTATCGGAGTATCCGATTGGCGCTTGTTTGAAGCTTCGGGATCTGTGGCCGGAATACGACTTTCGAGTTTTGCGACGGGGGTAGCGCTATTGAGCTCATGCTTTGAGTGGCCAATGGAGTTGGGAGTAAACGGCGCTTCATCTCCTATGATTTCGAGCCTCTTGTACTGGCGCCCGAGAGTAACATGTCGGCTAGGATCCGTAACCGGCGCTTCATTTCTCACGATCTCAACCGTCTTGTACCGGTGCAGGCTAATAATTCGGTGACCGCGATTCATGGCCTTATCCGCCCCATGTCGGTGATAGCTAGCAATCCGTTTCCTGGGATACGGGCCACCCGCTGCATCCGTCACTGTTTCCGTTGGTTGGTCAACCTCGTTTTGCAACGAGACTGAGGCCTCTGCCCGTGCAGAGTAGCTCCGACAGACATTTTTCTACGCGTCGTTAGCATTTCCATTTTCGTTTCGTTCAATCATAGGATAGACTAACCCAAGGCCGGGACGTCGGAACTGAGCGGGAATTGCGGGAAAACGCGACGTGAGACCGATAGAGGGCGGTCGCGCAACCTCGACAAAGCATGCAACGCGATACTCTCACGGAGGATGAGCCCAGCCGCTGTTCATATCGACAGGGCAAAAAGACGGCACCGGAACACCAATGAAAGGAAGAGGATTAATATCACTCAGCGGAAGAGAATATGACACATGTAGAAGCGAATTGGACGATTAATGCAGGAGCTCGAAGGTTGGTTGAGCAGGAGGAGGAAAGTTTCCATATTGGTAATTGGAGACGAATCACGTGCAGGGCTCTTCGACCCCAGACATACACGTGACAGGGGTCGATGAAATATCCCAAGGCACCAAGGCATTAATGAAGCCAAATCAGGCATTAAGGAACAAAGGCATCCATACAAGGCAACAAGGAGATGACAACCCGGAAGAACACTTTCTCCGCCCCTCCCTAATGCCCGAAGTTTTGCAAGAGCGACTGACTGAGCAGCGACCAACGACTCTCGCGACTCTCGGCGTGAAACTCATTCGCCGTGAACTCTGCACTTGATTGTCCATATCTCCCTATACCTCGTCCCCGGCTTTTCTCTGCTGCCCCTGATCTCTTCCTCGCTCTTTACTAGACGTGGTACGTGGCCTGGGTTGCGCTCATTCCCACTAATCCCTCCCACCGTACCTGGTCTACCCTCAACACGTCGAATCTCGAAAGGGTACAAGGCCAGTTTGACGATCCCTTGCCAGGGCGACGGCGCAACAGCGCGTCCCTCCACCATCAACTCCATCACCTCACGCGCCGCTGAGGGACTTCCCAGGCGCAACGCGACCATGTCGACGGTGAACGGCACTTTATCTCCACCCGCACCCGAGCAACCGCCCGAGTCGACCATCGCTTCCAAACGGAAACGCGACGATAGCGAAGGGAACGCGCACGTTAATGGTGTCGCCGCATCAGAGCACACGATTCCAGACCATGAACCATCAATAGATTCACAGCTCGCTGCCGATATACACTCTATTCTGAAAAGGTGAGAACAATATGCACCACCTTTCCATATTCATGACTTTCTTATTGTTTCCAATCCTCTGCTTGGGTCTCAGCGCTGACCCGATTCATCTCCAGCTTCGACCCTGAACCTTCAATACTTAATCATGTCCTTACAAAACCTGACGATCATCGACTTTCCAATGGAGAGCCTTCGTCTAAACGCGCGAAAGTCGATGAGATCTCTACACGATCGACCATCTCACAAAAGCTCGAGAAACAACACTACAAAACACTAGCTGAACTATCTCAAGACGTCGACGATGTTCTCGACCAAGTGCTTGCCCCCATTGCGGCTAAGCAATACTCATCCGAGAACAAAAAGCGTGTATCCCGGCAACTCTCCGATGATGAATCGAAGCTATTCGCTAGGGCGACTGCATTCAAAGGGGAGTTGGAGCGCATTGTATCGAGACAGGAAGCGGATCTAGCATCGACCCCGAAGGTCCCCACCAAAGGAGAGGATAGTGCTCGAGCTGCGGATAGGCCTACGTCGGTGCAAGGCGAACCACGAACGGTCCTCACTCTTTTCGCGAATGCACCGGTTCCTCGACAGCTCTTCTCGAGTTTCCAATCTAAAAAGCAGATCTCCGCCTCCGACGCAGCTAGTTCGGAATTCGAGAACGGGGTTGGGATCGAAATGCCCATTCACGAACGCGATCTCCCCAATGTCCTGTCAACAGTCAAGGTGGTCCCTCGCAAGGGCAAAGATTCCGATATCAAGGCGCCGACATTCGGCGAATCATTCCGTCCGCCTCAAAATACCTTGCCGCTTACCCCTCCGAAACCCGTTAAACACCTCAGCACCCGCGGTTCCAGCGTCAGCTTCGTATCCCAAGATGCGTTATCACGGATGTCCCGCCGAGGAAGCTATAACTGGGTCAGGGAGTCGCTCTCCGTCGGACAGTGGCTCGGGTATAACGGAGTGGACAGCACTCAAGAACCAACGTCTCCGGAAGCAAAGCGGAAGCAGCGAGATCGTGCGTTGAGCACCGGAGAGGCCAATCCGCCTTTATCGCAAGAAGCAGTGGCATCTTTGCAGCAAGCGCGAGAGGCGGCATTGTTCCGGAGCGTGTATTCGAGCTTTGCGCCAAGCCGGGATGATTCGACGGCAATTGTCCCATCCGAAGTCAAGGGTGACATCTGGTGGCAGAAGATCGGCAAACCACGATTTGAGCCGGATGAAGAAGTGTTTGAATTCAGCGAAACGAATGGAGAAGTGGCCGCACCTGACGCCGATGATGAAATTGACGAAAGTCGGATCAAGGAGGCATTGGAGGAGTATGACCCTGTGGAGGACCACGAGTACATTGAGAGGAAACTGGGCATGCATTCAAAAGAGGAGAAAGAGGTGGATGAGGTCTTGGCCGAGATTTCGGAGCTGCTGGAGACACTCTACTCGTTCCAGCGTATCCGACATGCTTCACTGGCTTCCAATACCCGAACCCCGGTCAATCACAACAGCTCCCTCACAAGTCTTACCGGAAGCCCCAGTGCGCCGACAGCTGGCGAGATGGCTATCTATGAGACTCTCAAGATGCAGTTGTCTCTCATGATTGGTTCTCTTCCTCCATATGCAGTTGCGAAGCTGAACGGGGATCAGCTTGACGAGCTCAACATTTCTCGAACCGTTCTGTTCGAAGCTCCAAATCACCGGGGCGTCATGGAGGAACCGGCCCCGCCAAGAAATCCGAAGGTGCCTGCATACAACGCCGCTCCGGTTGGTACGCCGGTGAATCGGGGACCCGTGTCGAGTCATTATACGCCTCTTCCCCAAACATATGGCCGGACCGCCGTCGCGCCAAACACACATGCGAGACCCGCTGCGAACTCGTATTATCCACAGCAGGCTTCCAATGCTACGCGAACACCGCTATCTCAGTTCCAACGGTCTGCCAGCAATCCGCAGGCTTATCAGACACCGGGCACTTTCACTCAACCTCGACCCGCCGCATATGGACAAAACTACCCTCCATCGAATGTCCGTCCAAACTATGGTCCAACCGGGGTGCAGAACTACACTCCAGCAGCGGCACAGCGACCGCCGGTGAACCAATACTACCAAAACACCCCGGTCCAAAACCGTCCATATAACGCCCAGGTGCAGCCAGCGCCCTATATCCAGCGCCCCTCGAGCGCAGCGTCCATGAACGCGTCCGCGAGCCAGTCCCCCTACGTGCGGAACGCCTCCCCTCTTAAACCGGCGCCCGTCCCGACCGTCCAACCAACCTACCCTCAACCACATCCCGGCTACGCGACGCCGACGCCGACTTCCACCGGGCCCTTGAGCCACCTGTCTCCCCGCCCTGTCAACCTCGCCAGCCCCAATCAACCACGACCCAACAGCGCCGTCTCCCACCAACGCCACGTGTCCTCCTCGTCGCAATCACCCCGCATGCCGCTGCCGTCTACGCTACCCGCCGACGCGACCAAAGCGCCGGAACATCTCGCGGTGCAGAAAAACCACTATCAGCAGGCGGCGAAGGTCATGCCGCAGCAACAGCAGGATATGCTCGCGACGGCGAACACGAACCCGAGCGTGGGGCATGCGTCGCCAGCTAGAGAGACCGCGACGCCGACGGTGAAGCAGGGGAGCCACACGCCGCAGCCGCAATCGCAGAAGGTGGCGGTGGGTGGGGACGCGACGGTAGGTGCGGCGCAGGTGAATGGCACCTCGGGGCCAGCGGCCAAGTGAAGATGGGAGATCGACAGACCGACAAGATAAGATGGGTTAGAAGCATTGCTACTTGGTAGAGGGGGTATGCTGGAGTGGGCATCCAGATCAAATCGGAGTTTCGGAGAAAAAGGTGATGGGATTTCGGGCATCGTCGGCGTCTGTCTGAGTCCCTGTACGTAAGGAACGCGTGCATCGGGTGTATGATTTCAGGTTTTGTGCGAGGCAGACGCGGATAATGTATGCTGGACAGAATGGGGGCATCGTGCTTGGACTTCGATGGAAGTCGACATGTAACACTACCTTACCGGAAGAAAAGAGCAGCATGCTATTGCTCATGGAGCTTTAGCGAACACCGAAAATCGCGTTCTAGGCCTTTAATATCACTGCAATATCCTGCATTCATGGAATAGTCAACAGATCCAGTTTCTCTGACTATCCAAAATCGATCTCATCGACAAATCAGGAAACGACCATTTCATAGATTCTAAGTCACGTGATATTCAATCCCGAACCTCACTCGGTCACTCTAAGCTCTCGCGATCAGCTCCCACCTCCAATTGAACCACCAACAATTGCGCCTCCATCCGGAAATATTCCTTCTCCATTCGACCTCCCTCTCCTCCACACCCTTCTTCGGTCCCTTCCCCACCATGCCTCAGGACATGCCGCCGGTGGGCGGCTACGGCGCCGTCCAATACCGCCGCAACCTCCCCACACGAGGATTCCGACCCGCGTGGTATCTCGTCGGGATGGGCCTGGTGATGACGTTCGGGTTTTATAAGTACGGCGTAGGCGTGCGGGAGCATAAGTGAGTTTGACACATGCGATACCTCGACTCGGGCAGGCAACTCGCTCGGATATGTGGAGGCGTTGGTTTCCGAGAATTTATCGGAGCCACGAGCATTGGAGATGGTCGCTGACGATGGGGTATAGTGAGCTTGCACGAGAGAAGATGTGGAGTCGGATCTACTTGACGCCGTTATTGCAGGCGGAGGAAGATCGGGATCAGGTGCGGAGGCATTGGGCGGATTTGGCGCGCGAGCAGGAGTTGTTGGGACGGCAGACCAAGGCGTATCACAGCGATCGGTACGTGCTATGGAAAACCAATCTCGATTGGTACACGATAATCAAGGCTAACTAACTGTTTGTAGATTCGTCCGGCCGACGTTCGCGGTCACGCCCGAGAAACCGTTGAAAGATTGAGGGAATATTGATGGGGAGGGATGGGCGGTTGGGATTGTACATACGACGATATCATGGGAGGCGTATCACTGGGTTTACGGAGGGTTCCGCCAGATGGGATGCCGTGTAGATTCGAAATTGGCTTCTCGCTTGGACGAGCTATGGTATATCTGCCTCTGCGCGTTTCGCATCGCTGGTTCTCAGGAGCGGCTTCTACGACTGTCCAGAGCACGATGAGTGACCGCTGCGGTGGGATGGAGTAGGACGCGCTGCCCTTCGCTATATCTGCCTCGTGCTGGCCAGCCGTGGTCCATGTTAAGCATATGTAGCACCGCTGTATGGAGTAGAGTCGTATCCCCAACATGGCTCAATCCAATCCGAACGTCTGCCAGGTCCATGCCTCGTCGGCGTGACATCGCCTTTCACATCCATATTCCCCTTTTCAACACCGATCTAGCTGCTAAAGTGGTCACGTAAGAGCAAGTTGAATGCCTTCAAGAGAAATCGGCTCATGAAGCCGTCTGGGATTGTAGGTTTATGATCTAGAAAAATCAGCTCCATCCTCCCCTCGACGTCCACACCAATACGCACCTCCGACTTCACCGACTCCGCCTTGTTCTGTATCTCCGATATCTGCCCTTCAACCCGCTTTCTATAAAAAACCGTCAGCTCCCGCCAAAATTCACGCGCCGAGGAAATATCATGGCACCATACATCTCTTTCTCAATGAACTCTAGCCGCCCGTTCACGCTCATGGTCGCTTCGGACTTCTCCTGCTTCATCAGAACCGGGCCGATCATCTTGTAGATGTTGGCCGTGCCGGAGAGCAGCTCGAACTCCTTCTTCACGCTCTGGTTTTCCTGCTGCTGGGACTCGAGCTTTTGTCGCGCTTCCACGGCGGACTGGAGGTCTGCGGGTAATGATTAGCTCCGATAGTGATGCAGAATCGCGAGGCATGGAGCGGGCAAATACCGGACTGGAAACTTTGATATTTCTCGGTAAGGTCTTGGATGACCTTCTTCGGGTTACTCATGGTGTCGAAGTATTATATAAGGAACGTGTTTGGCCGAGGATGGGTATAAATTCAGATCTCGTTCTTAGAGGTTGGATTGATTTGACAAATTCCTAGAATTTCACGGAGGAGAGCCAGAAGAGATTGCACAGTGTTTGAGCAATGATCGTAATATGAAGTCTGTAATTACGGAATAATATGAAGACTGTTGGGTGTTGCCCCACGAAAAGTGGTTGCCTCACGATTCATTGATGTCCTTGGCCCTCCCCGCCCGATAGCGATTTGTTACAGGTATCAACAATTAACCTCTCTGATCTACATGCACTTCCTTTTCCCTACAGCACATATCATCTGCGGCTCTATTTTCGTCTGATTAGCGGACATCGCCTGGACCCAATCTGAACTGTTTACCTCTCTGAAAAGCGCACTAAGAGACGCCCGCGACGCTGCTCTTCGATCACCAGTCAAGCCCGAGCCTGCGTCAACTCCAAGATGAGCAACACCGACTTTGTCGGTCGAGCAATTGACGTTGTTAAGAAGGCGATCGATCAGGATACAGCTGGAGAATATGAGAAAGCATATCAACTATACTACCAAGCGCGTGAGTGACAGCCTGCAACTGCTCTGAATGACGTATGCTGATCGAGACCACAGTGGAACTGTTTATGCTTGCGCTGAAATGTTCGTCCTGATACCGATTCCGTCGCTATACCATATGCTAACAAGTCGTAGGGGAGAAGAATGCCAAGTCGAAGGACATGATCCGAGCGAAGGCCGCCGAGTACATGGACCGCGCCGAGAAGCTGAAGAACCACCTCGCCGAAAAGGACGATCGGAAAAAGCCGAGTGCAGTGGGCGCAAACGGGAAGGTAGCCTCCGGTAGTGGCAAAGGCAAGGAAGACGAAGAGGAGCTGGACGCCGACTCCAAGAAGCTGCGCGGTGCCCTCGCCGGTGCGATACTGTTGGAGCGACCGGATGTCCACTGGGAAGATGTCGCGGGTCTGGATCAAGCGAAGGAGGCCCTCAAGGAGGCGGTCATATTACCGATAAAGTTCGAGCATCTGTTCGTTGGGAAGCGGAAACCATGGAAAGGCATATTACTTTACGGTCCGCCAGGTACCGGTAAGAGTTACCTAGCGAAGGCGGTAGCTACGGAGGCACAGAGCACGTTCTTCAGCGTCAGCAGTAGTGACTTGGTGTCCAAATGGATGGGCGAGAGCGAGAGGTACGCTGGCGGAACCTTCAACGTCTGGTCGAATACGGGCTGACTTTTGGGATAGGCTGGTGAAGCAGCTCTTCGCCATGGCGCGCGAAAACAAACCCTCAATCATCTTCATCGACGAAATTGACGCGCTCTGTGGACCCCGTGGTGAAGGCGAATCAGAAGCCTCACGACGTATCAAGACGGAGTTACTGGTGCAGATGGACGGCGTGGGGAAAGACTCGTCGGGCGTCCTCATTCTCGGTGCGACAAATATCCCATGGCAACTGGACGCCGCCATTCGACGACGATTCCAACGGAGAATACACATCAGTCTTCCGGATCTCGGTGCACGACAACGAATGTTCCAACTGGCGGTGGGAAACACTCCAGGGGAAAACTCGCTGAATTACCGGAAAATGGCGCAGATGACCGAAGGATACTCAGGGAGCGACATTAGTATTGCGGTGCAGGATGCTCTGATGTATCCCGTTCGGAAGATTCAAACCGCGACGCACTGGAAGAAGGTACGTGTCCCCTCGAAACGGCAACGCAACTGCTTACCATGACCAGGTACACGTCGACGACGAGGAGAAGTACACCCCGTGCTCTCCCGGCGACCCCAAAGCGCTGGAGATGGATTGGACGCAAGTGGATGCCAGTAAACTTCTGGAACCGCAGCTGGACACGAAGGACTTTGAGCGAGCGATTCGAGCGGCCAGACCCAGTGTCAGTTCTGAGGACCTGGACAGGAACTCGGCGTGGACAAAAGAGTTTGGAAGCGAGGGGTCATTGTAATTCCCAGGTTTATGGTCTATAGGGACTTGAGGTCGCTTGATTGGCAAGGCGTTGGCGTCGTAAGCTTGTGTATACTGGACGGTTACGACATGATCAATAAATGGTATTATGGTGTGGCTTGCAGTCTTATTTAATTCTATACACCCAAATGACTTTCGGGAATGATGCCGTTGTTCTTGACATTAACCTCCCAATCCCGACTGTAGTTGCTGAGAACCTGACGTAAGGGAGCATCCGTTTGCTCCCTCACGCCATATTCCCGTTCATTCCGCAACTCTTGATCTATTTACATCGGTATCCTCTTGATTTAAAAGGCTTCTGCGAGTAGTTATGATTTCGTTCAAAGCCGTGTTCAATTATCTCCGTCGATAGAATTTATAATCATGAGAGTCCCTGCCATCAGCGTCGCGTTTTCGTTGCTGTTCGTCAGCATTCATGCCTTCAGTTTCCCTTCATTTCTCGGGGCCCAGAAGCCCATAAAGACAAGCAAAAGAGTCGCCGTCATCGGTACAATTGCTAGAGTTCTTAAAATGTTGCGCGTTTAACACGTATATAGGAGGTGGAGCAGCCGGCTCCTCAGCCGCATACCACATCCAGCGCTTCGCCCAACGCGCCGGCCTCGACGTCGACATCACCATCTTCGAGCGCAACCACTACCTCGGTGGCCGCTCCACCACCGTCCACGCGTACGATGACCCGCGTTTCCCCATCGAACTCGGGGCCAGTATCTTCGTCGAGCAGAACCAGATCCTCGTCGACGCCTGCACGGAGTTCAACCTCAGCACCAGCGGCGCCGGCGACGAGCGGCCGCGCGACGATCGGCCCACGCTGGGCGTGTGGGACGGCGCGAAGTTTGTCTACACGCAATACGGCACGATTTGGGATCTGCCGAGATTGCTATGGCGATACGGGTATGCGCCGATCAAGACGCGGAAGCTGGTGCAGAAGACGGTGAATCGGTTCTTGAAGATGTATGAGGAGCCTTTTTTTCCGTGGAGCTCGCTGTCCGACGTGGCGTTGCTGCTGGGCTTGACGCAGGCGACCGCCGCGACGGGTATCGAGTTTCTGGAGAAGAATGGGGTGGGTGGTCTGTTTGCCAAGGAGATTGTGCAGGCGAGGTTTGAGACCAGCGTCCATAGCTCTTCGTTCTATAATGGCTAATGCATGGTAGCACGCGAGTCAACTACGCTCAAGAGCTTAATGAGATACACGGACTTGAGACCATGGTCTCGATGGCTCCTGAGGGTGCCATGGCCGTGGAAGGGGGCAACTGGCAGATGTTCGCCCATATGGCCAAGACGGCATCGTCAGATGTGCGCCTTAACGTCACAGTCTCGGCCATTGAACGTAGGGAGAAAAGTGGCTTTGGGATTACCTCAAGTCCAACCATATCGTCACTAGGAGACACGGTAGACTCGTATGGGGTCAAGTCAGCGACCGAGAGCTTCGATACGGTCATCCTGGCAGCGCCTTATCAATTTGCCAATGTTTCCATACTTCCAGCGCCTGAGAGCATCCCGTCGGAGATACCATGGGTAAAGCTTCATGTTACGCTTTTCACTTCTCCTCGCCTTCTCCACGGCCGAGCGTTCGGAATAGACTCCGACGCCGAAGTCCCTACCACCATTCTCACCACCGTACCCTCTGACCCTTCTACTCATTCAAAACCCGCATTCTTCAGCATCAGCACCCTTCGGGCTGTCAACAATACTGCCTTCTCCCCGCCGCGTACAGAGTACATGTACAAGATCTTCTCCCACGAATCAGTTAACCCTGCTTTCCTCGCAGAGATCTTCGACCTTCCCACACCTGCAGCTGGCCACGAACTTAGCAGGGATGACATCAGCTGGATGTACCGGAAGGTTTGGCATTCATACCCCTACGGGCTCCCCAGGGTTACATTCGAAGAGTTGAAGCTAGATGAGGGACTGTGGTACACGTCCGGGATGGAGAGTTTTATCAGCACCATGGAGACGAATGCACTGATGGGCAAGAACATAGCACGATTGCTAATTGATGAGTGGACGGGGTCTGGGCAGAAGAAAGGAGAGGTGGAGCAGAAACCCTTGAAGGAAATCTTATGACTGATTGTTCGAAATACCATTAGCATATATTAAATATATCGCTACTTTCATTCTCGAATTTGCACACGATAATCCAGACAGAATTTGTAAGTGCATCGCTTCAACGCTGTCAGAATGCTAAAGTGATTTCGTAGCTCATCAGTCATCAGAATTACCATTAACACACGGACAGCTCAATCCTCCCCCTTTTTCCAAAACCGAAACCGACCTTTTGGTCTCTCCTTCTGCTCCACCGGGGGGCTATGCCACGGATACGGCATGTCCATAGCCGCCTCGTTCAGCCTCCGAGCCTCAGCCTCGTCGAATGGGACCGTCCAATTGCGCATAGGGATCTCTCCGAGCTTCGTACTGTTTGAAGCGAACGAGTAGTAGCTCGGCGTTAACTTATCCTGTCTTCTCGTGGGTACCGGAGCAACGCGTCCATGTTGCGTAGTGCGACCTGGCGACGCTGCTGGAAAAGCAGTAGGGTATGAGTGAGCATGTACAGGCGGCGGTCGATGTCCACGCACTGGTTTCGGAGAGGGTGTCGTGGGAGTCATGGTTGGCAATGATGTTGGTGATGCCACAGCCGTCGTCTCCCCGGATTTCATGCCCGACGAACTCGTCGAAGATGATCTCGTCCGCCGACCTCGCGGCCGTACCATGACCAGACGCGATTCTGCAGAGCCGTGTTGAACTCGCTGCACACTAGCTTGGTCGTCTTTCTGCCGACTCGTTTGCCGCATCCGCTTTTCGGCCGCGTCATCCCCACGTCTAGACGGGTTCGATTCGGCCGACTTTGCATCGCCGTGACTCTGGCAAGGCCCATGATGTACCCGACGCCTACATCTACCGCAGAAAGGCTGCGGTTGGAGCAATGTGAGGTCCGAGCGGGATATTCGGTGGTACAGCTTCCCTAAAGCATCAATGGTCTCCGCTCGAGACTCATCGGAGAGCTTGGTTAGGCTACGGTAATCCAGCTTCGCATCTTTCCGACCGCTGCCGAGGAACGAGGAGATGATGCCGACTAGTCCGGTATTAAGTTTCAACAGCGTGTGCATGAGTGATGTATGTGCGATTTCTGGGCCATTGTTGTGAGCAGTCCATCATATACAACCGAACATAGGGGTCGTACCATCGCCTTGAGCATATCGCAGCCCACTCCGCCTCCTGTTCCGATCATAGGCCTCATAGACATGAACTGGCCCCTCCTGCAACGACTTCTGCAACTTGAGCTCTTCCCCTCCCAATTCATTGTCTCTTTTCTCGGTAGCCTTGCTCTTCTTCCTTCTCCGCCTTAGCCGAACCCGCTTTAGTATATCCAACCCATTTGTGAACGCTGCGATGATGGACAGCACTGATGAATCTGTACTCGCCATCCTAGGCTATTCCAGCTCATCTGGAGTTTCGTCGAGGACGGCCTCGAGACGAACGTGAGTCACATTGAGGAGACAGGAGGAGGCAGGAAGAGAACTGGAAGCGAGGTCGTATGCAAGCTTCCGTCATCTATCGTGCCTTGAACCGTCGAATTGGCCGGGTTCGGTTCAACATCTGCAGAGCAGCCCGAGGATGGGAGCTCTATGCAGGATTAGCCTGCATTCGAGCGGCAAGTCGCAGTGCTGGGAAGCACAATGCAAGGGCCGATTGGAGTTGGTGATAGGCATCAATCCCCCGCTAACCGCCCAAATTGCATGGGTTGCCAGTCACATTGTTTAACTGGATGCCCCGCGCTGACAGGATATTCAGACTGGAGTCACACATCGATAGATACGAAAACGCGGTTCGATGAATGCACTGAAGTCTAGTAATTTATATTACAAAGATTCGAAGGTCATCGACAGACCCATCAGTGATATATATAGACCAGACTCTCATAAACAAGGAACTCTGAGCCGTAGATTGAAGAACAACTAAGGGAAATAATGGATATCATGTGCCTTCTAGTAACACCTCTGACCGCGATTCAGTCAATGACCCGTCCAATAAAGAACTCTAGCCCAGCAAGCCCCTTTTCACCACGCTCATGTGAAATATACAGCCCATGCCCACCGCTAGGCTCCACTAACACCTGCGCTCCGGTTTCCAGAAATTCTGTAGTGGAAATGAACTGGAAGCTAACAGTGACTGACGTATCACGGCTTCCACTGCCTCTAGGCTCACCTGTATCCCCTTCTTCGTCCTCAAAACCAAAGTTCCATCCATCATCTACTCCATCTTTGCCCTCCGCTATATTCCCCAGGCGACCCCCATCTTCGTTTGACGGGTTGTGATCAACCTCCATGACCTTTGCGCTAGCTCTAACGCTGCCAACATAAACCAGCACCATTGAACCTATTTGAAGCTCGCTGACTCCTGTACGTGAGCTGACTTGGCCACTGTTGTCGAATTGAGCTTGGAAGCGGCGCCGTGCTCTCAATTGACGCATGGCACCGGCATTCACCATAACCATGCCTTTGCGGACTCTGCCTGCATCCTCACCATCGAGTGAGATGACGCCGATAGTTCCGACTGTGCCTGTCTGAAGAGTCTGCACTGGAAGCCGAAGGTTCCGAATACTTACGACCCTGAAAGGACGCCAAGTGGTCTTCGCCAACGATGTTCCACGGCGCTGTGGCAGTGGCTCGATGCTCTTCTTGTCAAGAGCGCCAGGGTAAGACCGTGAGGTGACTAGGTGCGTTCCAGGAGACAGATACTGCGCATGAATGCTCTTGGTCTGATGGTGTGCACGATGTCCAAGCGATCCGGGCGTGCTGTCAGGTTCGCTGCTGTTGTCATCTCCAGACTCGGCATCACTTTCGGATATAGAAACGCTGCCTTTTGTCATATACGGACCGAGCAACAGCGTCTCTCCGACACTGATGCTGCCATGATTGAGAAGTCCGCTCAATATTTTAAGGGATCCTGACGAGGCACTGATCGGAAGTGGGCCAGGAGAGGCGATCGCTCGCCATGGATAGATATCCTCCACCCTAAATAGAGTATTCAAGGAGTCAGTGCGGTCTCCTACGGTATCAATTTGGTGATCAGCCGTGATTGGAGTTGGGAGCTCATGTAGTACGGCGTGCAGTGCCTTGATACCTCGTCCATTGACCGCACTTGATAGGACAATAGGGACAATTGATGTAGGATCTTGTGCGAGAGGAGCCAATTTGGATCGGATCGGTTCAAGATCGGAAGCAGCAATTGTAGCTAGATCAGGTGGTGCAGCTGTTTCTGCACTTTGTATCATCTCCGGCTTGCGTCCAGCAGCTTTGATTGCGGTCAAAATCGTCGACAATGTTTGGCGTAGGCCCGATTTCGAGGCAACGTCCAGTTTGGTGATGATCACTACCAGTGGCAGCCCGATGCGGAGGCAGAGGTCTAGATGTGCACGAGAGAGATCAACACCTGCTGCACCAGGGCCTAGTATTTCTTGAGAAGCAGGTGTGGCCCCAATCAAGCCAGAGGTATCTTCCGCATTATCCGCAGGGATACAAACCAGCGTCCAGTGTGGTTGCCAGCCGATGAGTCCCCTCAGAAGGGTCCGACGGTACCGTGGATGGCCTGCAGAGTCAGAGAGCAGCAAGAGTCTCCCCGAATGCGAGGCAGCATGAACGTCAACCCAAGACTCGACATGGTCAACAGAGCGATTGATGATGTGTGATTGTCCAGTCGCAGGATCGTCACGGTACCCAATGAGTTCTTGGGTCAGAGAGCTGGTCATCCCAGACTCAATCTCATGACGATGCTTAAGGAGGCTGAGTCGGCTCTTTCCCCGTCCGTTGTCTAGAGTTCCCGTCGTGAGAGTCCCGAGTAGGCTGGATTTTCCAGAAGGAGTAGCACCGACAAAACATACTCGCACTTGCGTTGCCAGGGACTGCTGTCCAACCGGACTAGATATGCTGACTTCATCTCGCGTAGGCCCTAGCCCCGGGGCAATAGGATAAATGTCTGGTCCAATACCACCAGTGTCATGCTCTTTTCGACTAGAATTGATCCCAGCATCATATAATTTAGGTTTAACGAATGCTTCGGCAACCCAAAGTTGACCGGATTTCAGCACCCTTGTTGGCTGCTCAGCCCCCGTATCGTCATCCTCATACCACTGGCATTCACCAACAGGAAGTTTCCGCAGAACGTCGACAATGCATCCCAGCGATGCAGCCATGGCTCGAAGGTTGTCTAAACTCTCTTGCATCTCGTCGTCCGCGAGTCCAACTAGGGTTCCGTCGTCCGCGACCCCAATTTCATACAACGCACCCCTGCTTTCCTCAAGGCCAGGCAGAAGTCGGCCAACTTGGACAGGTCGGGATGTCAATCCGGAGGATTCATTTGGAAATGCAGGGATAATAGATTCATGACGTCCGCCTCCCTGGCTGGGGGCTGATTGCTGGAGTCGCCAGAGAAGCTGAGTGGTCAGCTGCTCAAGGCGGTGCTGGCGCGTCTGGTTAGAAGAAGCCAGAGATGGTGTCTTGGTGACAATAGAATCTGATACAGAACGGTTGCTGCCCGGGCCATGGCTAGGGGAGGACACCATTGTCTCTGCATCTCCTGGAGTCTTCCCGGGACGACTAGAGCGGTTGGAACCCGCTAGTTTCCATTTGGTCGAGGCGGAGCGGAAGGATCGGCGTGGACGAAGGAGTAAATGCAATTTGTACTCTGTTGGACCCTCCTGGGGCTCGGCTTCCAGCTTGGTGACTGATGCTCCATGGCCGCCAGATTCGAGCAGACTGAGTGGGCTGTTGTCCAATCCCAAGGCCGGTGCTGTAGAAGTTCCTGGTATAGCACTCTGTTTCGGAGTCACTGCTGTAGGTGTCGACCACGGCGAGGAAACCCGTGGAGGGTCGGGGTCGAAGGTAAATATTGACGCCATATCTAGAGACGTGCCAACCAGGTATCTCCGACTGGTGTGACATTCAAGTCAGAAGTAGGGTTTTCAACACTATCAATGTAATCGCGGTAACAGTGATATGTCTATTGATCGTGTGTTGGTATGAGCAAGGCGTGTTCGAAATAACTGGGACAGTAATTGGATCATCTTGCTGGTTTATGGAGGGTATCTCCCTGCTTAATGCTGAGCCCTCGACTGAGGTAAAACGAGCTTCTTAGAGCCCGGTGATTATTGATTGAAAGCCATGATTACAATGTCATCATGAGAATAGGCTGAGCATCACAACTTTGCTGGATAGTTTATGTCTGGATGTGGACACCGACCGAGGAATTGAGTCTGATGGAGTGATGATGTCGAGTTCGTGAGTCAGCACTCAGCACTCAGTCATAGCCATAGGGAAGCTTAGATTGCTTCCTGCACCCGCTCGGGGGCCAACCTCGGTCGGCCTACGTGGGGACAGTCGTAGGGAAGTAAGCACGTGATGTGGATTGTCAAGATCTGATACGGTGATACCTTTGATATTGCTGCCTTCATGCCTAAGTCTGGAGGCTGAGGGTCCTTCTGGGGACGAAATTGAGTTACGTTTCTTGGCATTCCCCCAACCATTACCACCATCACTACCATCACAGGCAGGCCCAATTCGCTCAAAAACAGCGTAATATCAAAAAGTATACTCTTTCCTTAACTAGGCGACTACTAGAGGTCTATTTTGGTGAATTCTCCGCTGCGTTCTGGTTGTAATTCAATTTCGTCCCCTGTCCCTGGGGTGTCTGGGTGTGGGTACTGGTACTCATCTAAGGCATCGATATCAGGATGTTGGCAGTCTGGGCACGTGATCATCCTCTATGAACGCAGCTTCTGTATTAAAATTTAAAACAAGAGCTTGAACTTCTGGTCAAAGGATCAATCGTCTACCTGCATGTTCCTTGTTAACAATTCAGCTCTGCAATCTAATATAATATAACAATCCGTATTTCTCAATGCATGGAAAAGTCGTCAATAATCGACCCCTTACCATCTCCATTGGTTCACGTCCACAGCAACTCAAGCGAGCCAGTGACCAGCATTCCAGCAATCTTACTTTGGGTCACGTCCCGGGTTACACAAATTGCGCGGACGCGCTAGAAGGAAGACAAATGAAGGTCGAAGCTTCGATGATTGACCGAGCGATGGGTCGATGGTGGATCAGGATGAAACTCATCGTGTGCCAACGCAATATATATTAAACGGCTGTCAGTTCCTTCTTGTCGTTCTTGATATGTGGGCAAATATCATGCAATGGACGCGAGGACTACAGGGCAGACGTCGCGTCGCCATGTGAGGTATGGATCGATGCGCCACGGACCGTTTTAATATGCCACGATGGCTAGGACCACTAGATGCATGTCTGATAGCTGCCTCTTCAGACTGCGATGTCAGTCAACGAAAAAGAGGAGGAACAGCTTCAAGTTCCAACACTACCACATGCCTGTACCTAGGATCCCACTTGTATATCACTCCACCAACATTCAGCTTCCCATTATAGCAGCCCTGAGGACGTGACAGTCTCCAACCAGCACTGGAACCAAAGTTACCTCGAAGCATCTCGCGCCGAAGAAACTATTGTATCTCATGCGTCATGGTTTGTGATTCGCATGACCTGTCGGCTATGACCTGTGGGCTGTGAGCCACCTGCTGGAGGAATTTATGACTTCCACCAATCACCGATCCCGATCCGTGCAACATCTGCACGGCTACTCGGCCCCCGAACAATTGTTTGTTCAACAACAAATCACAATTTCTACAAAAAGTTACCAGGACGGACACTAGCGTGGATGGTCGAGCCCCGATATCTAACCTCGCTCTTCCGATTGTCTGGGTCCCTCGGAGTTGGTCGTGACTCGTGGTGTGGTGGGCCGTGGACGGTGTTGCCAACAAGTGACTTGACAGTCGACAGCTCGTTACGGTGAGCTGGCGGCCCATCCCTGGCAGTGTCCAGTAAGCAGTAAGGCTGAAGGCACGGCCAAACTCCTGGATGAAGTTGGACACATAGCCTGCTTCTATTTCGGCTGTTCCTCATGGATGGTCGGAATTCCGGGGGGTACACGCCTTCGGAAGACGCAGTCGAATGGATAATGTGCCAGCGGCGAAGAGCCGACCGCCGAAAGGGTTTCCGGGCAACCTTAGGCGACCTTTTCCTGATTCCATCATCAAACCCCATGAACGCTGCAATACCTAATATCGGATGCATGCTAGGGACAACTAGACAGCTAGAACCCCTCCCGTAGCCGCGGTCCTTCCCTGTACTCCAGGCTTTCCTTGCATCCAGGTGCGGCAAATGACCTATCAAGAGCCAATGCGACCAAATTGCCAACATCTTAGAAGATCGCCCATCACTAACTTAGGCAGCGGTACTAGTTAGGTATAATTTCATTTGATGTTTGACTAAATCCAACATCAAAGGTCGGTGTCTTCTATTCTCTGACTCCGCCGCATCTCTATGATTCCGAGCATATGACTCGTGTCTGCGCGGCGCACGCTGACATCCACAAATGTATCCGAGGCATCCGATGATTCCTTTTGTTCAAGAAATATCAACTATAGTACATGGCTTGTGGCTGTCATATCATACCAAAACGCCGGAAAAATGCAGCTCCTGTTCGTAGGTACATCCCCCATAGAATATCAAGAAGCCGACCCAATCATCTCTCGGCTGTATACCGCTCTAGCTCATTGATAGCACGTATCCCCAAACCAAACGCGCTCAGACGCCGAGCCCATGTCATGTTCTTTCCTTAAATGTCCATCGCAAATACCATCCAAATGCAGGCCAATAAACTCAAATAAGTGTCATGATGGTTGTCGTAGAGCAAACAGGTGGATGGTGGAGATCATGATACCTCTGCGGTTGGCGCAAGTGTATTTGCCGCCGTTCTGCTGTGCCGCAGGACATATGCATCGCTCCGAATCCAGCAGCACCGCGCCGCAGGGCTCTCGCAACATTTCCAACTCCTCGGAAATCTCAGCGCTGTCGAAATTTCGATTTATCGAATCGAGGGTCCCCTCCTCAGTCCTCGTCGATCTCCGACCCGCTTTTTTGCCTCCGCTTGCATTTCTCGTTGGCCATGTGCCCGTTCCGAGCGGTCGTCCTCGTAAACTCCGCGCCGCATCGCGGGCAATTCGATTTCGATGCTGTGCCGGATTTTTCTCGCTGATGGCGGAGGAGGTTGCTGAAGGTGGAAAATTGGCGCCCATTGCAGCCGTGGTCCCAGCACTGCGGTTTGGGACGTGAGTGGAGGATGCGGACGGGCTCGTCACTGCTCGCCGCTGAAGAAGTGGTGTGCTCGCCTGTGCTCGCCATGTAGGATGCCGGGATGGAGGTTTGGGTTCCTGGATGGATCACGCTGTGGGGGGAATAGAATGATGGTGCGGTCGGAAGGGCTTCATAGCCCGATGGATAGTTTGCTGCTGCGTATCCATTTGAAGATCTATCTTTTGTTAGCAAAATCCATTTAGGTCTCGCATAAATGACTTACCCAGCCATTGCTGTCCCGTAAGAAGTCGGCTCGGGAACTTGACTGGCAAGGTTAGAATATGCGGGATGCGGAGAAACAGCAGGATGAACAGGTTGCGCATAGCCCAAAGTTGAGTAACCGGCCGGTGGAGAGGGGTGGGCGGTTTGGTAAGGGCTTGTTATTGCAGAGTGATAAGATTGGGACCGTTCTCTCGTTGACATAGTTCTTGGGTCTGGAGAGCCTGGGTTGCTAGCAGTCATGGGGGGAGTAGCTGCGTATGCAGATGTAATGGGAGCGGACGCATGGCTTGCTGAAGATAATGTCCGATTCTGGTCTGCTGCCGAGTAGTGTCCACTAAGATAGTCTGCTTAGTGTTAGCATCTACACACCAGCTCTCGGCTCCCCCAATGCGAATCACTTACGATGAGATTGGTAGTTTGATGTGTATGGATCCATTTGGTCGAAGCTTGTTGGAAGAATAAAGCCCAATGCGCTGTGAGAGGTTAGCACAACCCCTAATTTCTTTAAAGAGGTACACTGACCTCATCGCTTGTGCATCCGCAGACTGTTGAGTCAAGAGATCCTGTGCCGCAACAGACCGAACCCCGAAATGGTGAACAAGTGGGTCCGAGGGAAGCGTAGAAGCGTCAACGTTTGAGGTCTCCGAGCATGAAGAAGTGAAAATCCCTTCGTCGAAGTTTGCAAACGGAGTCGTCGATTCTAAAGAGCACTGTTCTAGTGCAGAATGGCCGGTCTGATTCCTCGATGGGATGGAACGGAAAGATTCGGTGGCGGACGAGTCGTTGGCCGCGTTCCAAAGTGCTTCCCTGACTCTTTCTGATATCAATCTGGTCTGATGTGGCCGCGTTCGCGCTACTCGCCGAACTCTAGCTTGACCACCTTGCGCGCCTCGAGCAACCAGGGTCGGTAGTATTGATGTGTGGTTTCCTCCTGATGAACTGATTGAGAGTGAGCTTGCAAATTGTTTAGACGGCCGCGACGTCATTATGGAAAAAGTTGATAACGGGAAACGACGCATTTAGGGACTTGAAGACTCGAAGGACTTGGAATTTGGAGGGTGGAGGGAGAGTGGGGAGAGGTGGATGATGTGGGGAATGGAGGGAAGAAGGGAGGGAGAGGAAGAAAGCGTTTCCTTACGCTATGATGTTATTTGATAACGAGCAGGGAGAGGTGGAGGGGTAACGACACCGTTATACAGACAGGGTATGCTAGATTGGGATATCGTGCAGTCGACTCTTTGAGACAAGGAAAAGAAGATAATAACTGAGACTTGGAGCAAGATTAAGGTGAACAGATATCGTCTGTGTCGTGGCTACACTATGCCCGGCGACGGGAAGCTAGGCATGATATAAAATTTCGAGGAGCCAACAGTGATTCGACATTCTGGGTGCCATTTGGCCTTTGGGACTCCAGAGAGGACTTGTGAGCCCAGGAACAGCCCACATCCTCATTCCTGGGAAGTGAGGCTTGGTGCTTTTGGGGGGTGCTTTGAAGGATCGACCCCCTGGTCGTGACCGGTCTGTCAGTGGTCCTGGCGGCCGTTATTTTTTAGCAGTTCGAAGTGTTGAGCACAGATACTCACTATCCCAAGGATAGATTTAGTTTCATCCGCCTGCGGGTGGGCCCTGCATTGGCAGTTGTGAATTCAAGATTGTCCAGGCTAGCGGGTTGATGTTGGTTACAAGGCTATGTTGCAACGCGAAGAATGGTGACAGTCGAAAATATGTTAGGCTTTGGTGGACGGGAGCCCAGGGATTTCACTGCAAGGACAGGTGCTTGTTCTTCAAGGACTTGAACTTTTGAAGACATTGCCATATCCGTGACTATACTCAAACGGGAAATTGTCCCCATAAGGGAGAAGGAAGTAGGTCTGATATGGCCCAGCGCGGAGATCGTGAGAAATTGGACCATTCATGTCACTCATCGTGACAGTTGTCCCGTTCCGCTCCGCTAAATTGTGTATCCATGTTGTTCATAATGGCAGTGCCGACCTTGTTGGACAGGTCGATGAAAAGCCAGGATGAGTGGATGACGCCAAACCGAGTCGAACACCGTGCCGCAAACCGAGCCACGATACGCATCAACCGCCATCTCCCTGTCCATCTCCTTGCCCGTAAGGCCGCGGGCCGCAGAGAGAAGCGAGACGATCAGAAGAGGTGTGCGTGCAGTTGTGCACTGTGTTTTTGTGCAGGCCGGCGAGTGAGTTGGAGTGGAGATTGGATACACCGGGATACTACGTACTGTACTGTAGGACTAAGATCGGGTGGAAGTGGATGCGCAGTCCATGGCCGCGGGTGGAGTTAGCCGGTAGTGGAGGGAGAATCGGTATATTAGCGCATTTTGAAATCCTCCTCTCACGGCGAAGGATTGCAACGCCACCAACACATTACTAGTATTAGTAGAATGTTTCATTTATCATGACTTGTTCAGTCCTTAATGATGGTGACGTTTATGAGAAATCAGAAATGTATTCCGTTCATAATTATGGGCGATTATTGGAGCCTTGCAGCCGATACGCTAAGGCTGCGGGAACGGTTACCTACATGTATCAACTAGTCACGCCGACATCAGATATCAGAAAGATAAACGGCCAACAATACTTTGTATAGACAACACACTACGGTAATGGTTATCAGGCTATGTGACTGCCGATTCTTCTTCAACCTGTCCTATTCCAGGTTCCAACAATGATCTGCTGCATGCCAAGTACCAACCGTCAGACAAGCATATCCCCGGCTACAAGACACACCAGATCATCCCGCTCCAAGGGGCTGCGCCACGCCTTTGAAGTCGTACATGCCCGATTTAGAACTACTACCGCAGGACCGCTGCTATCGCCCGCAATTAATGCTGAATGCTTGTCTGAACTACTTTATGATGCATCTCGAAACGTGGTCCGTCCCGCAGTTTCTTATTTTGGGAATATTAGCGTGGAATTGGCGAACGGCTGCTTAAGTGCTTAATGACCTACAGCGCCGTTATCAACCGTAGGTCCGCAGCCCTAAGGAGGTCAGCGTGGTGCCCCTGTCACCGTTTCAATGCGGACGCTGCAAATGCAGCATAATCTTCCGAGATTGGGCATGTGGAGGATTTTCGACTATCATGCTTTTCCGAATTCAGACGAGTGTATCCGAATTCCAAACACCAGAGGCAGAGACACACCCTCTTGTGTGAGCCCACCTTGTCGGGAGTTCCCTGCCCACCCATCATCGTAGTGCGAGGTCCAGTGGACGTCAAGTGGAAACGAGGTCAGGATATTCGACCTTTGGGCCTTGACACTTCATCACCCGAGTGGAATGTGGATCACGAATGATGATCCTTTGAATTTGAATTTGATATTGATTCCAGATTCCCCCCCTCCAAACTAACCCCTAATAGGCTAAGTTAACTAGTCCATAACTAACTAGTTACTCCAATCTCTATAGTTACTCCATAAACGATGAAATATGAATAGCTAATCTACCTCTAGATCAAACGTTCTTGGCAGATTCGCAGGAGATCGCTCGTGTACATGGTATCTGTACCTGTGGGCGATCAATGCTACTTTTTGTTTGACCAATAATATTTGGACCAGATGGTACCACTCAGTAACCAACAAAAAAAGTTGAGTCTAGTTGGCTGCTTTCAGATTTAATTGCCCGAGTCGACGCCGGATATGCGAGACGTCATTCCACCATGGCTAATCTTGAAGCAATATCAATACAGACGGCAGCGAACCCTAATAAGATCTTGTCAGGAGATACACTGGTCGTTGAAACAAAGCAACAACATCAATTGTTGGACCCCGTTCGTCGATGGCGAATCGAAGATCGTCGCTTATATTGATCGTACCTCCTTACGTCACTTGCGTGATAGGGCAAGCCGCCTCCTCCGAAGTGGTTCAAGCGGAAATGCCGAAACAGAGCCTCATCCTTTGTCTAGGGACCGATTCCGTCCACCTGACATTTCCGCTGACCACCATTGGGAGTACGGAATTAGAAGCTGAAAGGCCCCGAGCCGAAACCTCCTGCGGTCCTGCGAAATGGGGGCATGGGATGACCTGATCCGTGGAGTTGGGTGGGATTCAATAAATGTCCGATTCTGGTATGCGTCATATGTATACCGACATATCAATCAGTGACTAGATTAATTGCTCAGCTGTCCGTAGAGGGATGGAATAGAGTTGGATATCTGAACCTGGGATAGTTGAATAGCTGGAGCTTCTGCCCAGTCACAACGCTCTCCAAGTCTCATCCCAACGAGTCACCCCCCCTACCCGTTCCTGAACCCCACTCGGGAGCCTCCCAAGTCCCAGCATCATGAATCATCCCATGCAGATGCAAGTGTGGCTCGCAGAATGAGGTCTGGGGAGTGGGGACACAGTAGCCGAGCACAGCAGCGTACACCCTATGTACCAGTCCGGTCGACCAGCCCATTGACCCGTTCACATCGGTATATCGGCATTTGAGATGGTTCAGCTTGTTCCATGTTCCTCGAACATAGTGACCTGTTTCGACCTTCTCCTTCATCCTTGGACAACCTCCGCTGTTTGATGCTAAAATAAAAAGAGATAGCCATATCCTAGCCTCGTGCATCGTGACCTGCGACACTTCTATTCTTCACCCCTAGCCAATGTACGAGTCGAAATAGCCGCAGGCGTACTGTCCGCAGTAGATCACGCTAGGTAGGTACGTATGTATTCGGGACACTGAACGCCAATTAGAGGGAAATTGTCGAATTGCAGGGAATATTATATCTGGCCCCAGCCTTTCCTTTTAAGGATCTGTTCAAGGGTGTGGAAGGCTGTGGCGCCACTATATTCGTGGGGCAAGGGGGCCCATTATCCCTGGTTCCATGTCCACAATTTGATAGGTAGATGATGGATGTTGGAAATCTGGAATACTTCTCGCAATAGCCGACAACGGCTAATGTGGTGGTCTCATCAATCAACATCAATACTCGATGGTCACCTAGTTGCAGATATTGGTTCCAGACGTACGGAAAGAGGACCAACGTCGAAACTTAGAATACGATACTTGTTCATACCTCCTGCATATAGCCCGTCTGTGCAGCGTTCTAGACAAAACGCAATATAATAATGCACATCAAATCCTTTCGCGTTTCATCCTCCAGGCGATTCCAATTCAGAAGGTTGTGACGATTCGAACCCCGCCGTCCCTGAGACGAATTGAGACGGGTCACCCAACACATTCGCTCAAAAATGCACAGCACCAAGGAATTTCAAATTATCGAACGGCGACGATCTTCATCTTTCGAGGAACATGGGCCATCTTAGACTTCATTTCTTGCCGCGAAACGGGATGGGTCCTGACGGAAGTACGAGCAAAGTGAACTAATTCATGATAAGAAAGGTCGGGGCTGGAGATGCTGCTCAGGGGCTGGGGTCGGATGCGGATCAACATTTCTCCGTTATGAACCGGAAAAGACGGAGGGACGAACCCCCAAGGCCCCAAGGCCCCAACCACCAACCAGCCTGGGTCAACCTATTACTAAGGACGGAGTTAATACCACGCTTAACACCATCCATTTCTTAGTTCTCGTCCATATGACTGGAAATATCTGGACGCTGAAATGGTTTGCAATAGGGTTTGATGATGCCATGCTAATTGCTGTATCTGTCAAGCGTGACTGTGAGCCGTAACTGCAACTTGCAAAAGGCACCACTCCAAGTTTTAGCTTCCAATTCCGCCGCCTAGATGCCTTGCTGACTGTGTTCCGTCTCCCTCCTTAGAACTCCTCGGAGTCGCCGAGCGGAAACGAGGCATCACTGCTTCGCAAGTCTTTCAGGAGTCGTTTTTAATGGCATCGAGAGCCGTTTGAAACGTTGCAACTAGCTGATCCGTCGGTTCCAACCCCACCGACACTCTCACGAGATCGACGTCCACACCAAACGACGCGGCCTATGATGCGTTCGCTGTCAGACACCAGATCTATACCGGAAAATGGGTAGTGGCGGTTTATGGCGATGCATGCAACAGGCGAGGTAAGACAAAGTGGCTCGCGGGGTGAAAAGGAAAGCGTTGTAGGCGCAAACGATAGAGAAAGTCTCACTTACCCAGTCAAGTTCAGTGAAATGTGCCAGAATCACGTACGGTGAGCTGACAGAATGTTAGCCGTTACATATTCTCAACCCAGGGCTGAACTTTCGGTCTCCGCCGCGGGACGGCAGAGCCGCCACTGTAGATCACTGGGTGGAAGGGGAGACAAACCTTAAGGTGAAGTTGGTCCCCAAGCTGGGACCTTTGGCCGTGTCCAGGTTGTCAAAGAAAGTCTTCGCATCGCTCTGTGAGTAGAAAGTTGCGGAGAGTAGGCCGCCGTACCCGCCATTTGGTGTGCGGATGCGGTCGTAAAGTTCTCTTGTGGACCCATTCTTGGGATAATAGACTTCCTTCACTGCGAGTAAATCGTCAGATGAAATTATAAGAGTCATGGGCATTGTGGCAGCTGGGGATTGGAGGTGCAATAAAGTCTGATCGTGACAAATCTAGATGCAAATTACAAACTCACCTTTCGGACTCGATAGAAGGACTTCGTTGATAGCGTCCGCGTTTGTATTGACCCGCTCAATCCTGGAGACAAAGTCTCGGCTATTGCGCTCCATGAATAGCGCATCTTCGGCCCAGTAGTTGTCCTCATAGTCTTGGTTCCAAACCTTCTTGATCTCGGAATATGACTCGCCATTAGGATTCAGGATTGCACTAACCAACCAATCAGTATTTAGAATAACTCAGACGGGAATCGAATTATCGTACCTCCCACCCATGACATTACTGTCGCCGCTGAAGATTTTGGTCAAGCTGCTGACCACGACGTCGGCATATGGCAGCACCCTCACGTTTAGGAAGTTTCCGACCGTTTCGTCAACGACCACATAAAAGCCATATTTGTCAGCCAGCGAGCGAATCCTCTGAAGATCTGGCGTTTTCAGTAGCGGATTGCCGGGACACTCGCAGAAGAGAGCAAGATATTTTTCACCCTTCTCGAGGCGCTGTTCCAGATCATCCAGTTCTTCGGCGGATCCAAAACCGTAGAACAGGCACCCGGGCCCGAACTTCTGTAAAATCTTCAACGTATCGATGTACGGAAACCTAATCGGAGGTTAGTGAGATTGGTGACCCTCCATGAGGCGAAAGATGAGGCGAACCCATATTCGATGCTCTTCAATTGCTTTCCTTTAGCGATCGCCAGGGAGCGAAACGTCTGGAAGATTGCATTCATTCCACAAGGATACAAATAAACATCATCTTCTGACAGCCCAGGCATCCGTTGGATTGAGGATTCTTCTTTTTCCCTCCGCATCGCTTCTGCCAGATCCACATCTTCGGTGAGACCTCCTGCAATTCTCCGTCGAATGGCAGTCTTCGCATTGTCTGCGAAGGCCATCTCCAGATTTCTCCCGAACCGTTCTTCCACATACTGGGTTGGATCCTGAGTCTCGGGAATACCAGTGACTGCGTTTTCCGGGCCGGTCCGCTCGATCGATGTCCGCCGTTGATACCGCCTGGGACCTCTACATAGTCTTGCACTCTCTTCCGCTTGGGTTTTGCTGATCAATAGCCCGTTCTGAAATGACGAGTGAGCGTACTCTGCTCGTCGACTCGAGACACCTTCGCCCGTGTGCTGCCAGAATGACTTTGCAGTAGGAAAGTGTTCTTCTGGGAAAATGACCGCTGAAATTCGGGGTAGGATGAACTTTCCCGCCGTGGCTTGCTCTATGAATTCTTTCGTCGGAACCAGGTCGACAATCCGGAGTTCTTTCGAGTCCAGCTTTACCCCCTGGGTGTTGAAGAATTCAATACACCGGGCTGCACAGGATGACCTTGGAAAGAGCATCGCCGTCTCTCCCGGCAAACCATACTTGAGGACAATCGCTGCTGCAAGCGCCTGTATCGACTTGTGTACGAAGAATCTAGGGGAGTGTTAGATGTCAAGGACTATGCCAGCCTCCGTACGCCCCTTGGTTCCTGGTGTGTCTAGTAGCAGCTTACCTTGGGTAGCCGGATTGCATTTTACTGAGAACCCAGTCCTGCCCTTCCTCGTATCCCACATTTGCCCTCCATGTTGGCAACGACACGCTGACGGCCTAAATACCGAAGTCAGTCAGCGTACACCTCGTAGTCTGGAATCCATCGCTCACATGCGCCGTTAGCGGAGGTATAGTTTCACCAACGCCAATATCCTCTTCAGTCATTGTGGAAGCCATGTATCTTGGTGTGATCGCGTCTCACCAAGCGCTGACGTTACAAGACGATCAAGATATATAGAAGAGATGGATATTAATTACAGATGCGGAGAAGATGATCTGCAGTGCTTACTAGAAATTGTTGGAAACACCGTGGGGGTTGCAGAGTTGTAGTGTTGTTCGTTCGTAGCGTCACCGTCACATTCGCCGGTGCAAACCCCGACGTCGGAAGTTTGCGTCATACAATAGTTAGGGACTACCAGACACGCCAGACTAGGCCCGCCAACCCCCCGCTAAGCTTCTGCACCCATCCCTGTCACTGGACCCTGGATTTTGGATTGGGGAAAATTTCATACACGCGACTTGAGGACGAAGACTTCATTGTCCAACTTCAACAGCGCTATTATTGCGACCTTACGGCTACGAAATCATTCACTACTTACCCTGGGGGACCGGTATTAGCTATAATCTGTTGGACTTCATCAAACGTCGACATGGCATCCGCAGCCGTGAAGCGCCGGAAGATATCCCATCCGACACCCAAGGATGCAGATCTTCCTTCTTCCAACGGAGTGAGAGAACCTGAAAATGACTTTTCGGATGAAGAGTTGGACGAAGAAGAAGAACTTGAATCCGGAAGTGACTCCGCGGATAGTGCCCCTGCTGATGACAGGAATGGTCCCAAGGCCAAGGCAAACGGGCGTCGCCGTGCTGAAAAAAGGGATGACACTATGATGGGAGAAATGTACACCGGGGCAATCTTCAAATCCAACTTGTTCAAGCTTCAATGCGACGATCTCCTGGACCAGGCCAGACCCAGAGCTGGACCCAGGGAAGCCAGTATCGACAAGGTCGTCAGGACCCTGAGAAAATTCATCGAGACGATTCCAGATACTGAGCCACGATCTGTATCGGAAGCGGAAAAAGCATTGCTGAAGCAGCACAAGACAGCTGTACCCTTTCCTGATCCGCGCCCCCCAAAAGACGCGAACTACAAGCTGCAATATCTCAAGCCTTCGTCCATTACTGTGAGCGGCAGTTACCAGACCAAAAGGTTTAACAGGGTTGGGGAAGAGCTAGGCGTCGACTTGGTTGTGTGCATGCCATCAGCTCTGTTTCAAGAGAAAGATTATTTGAACTACCGGTACTTCTACAAGCGTGCCTACTATCTTGCGCAGATCGCATCGGCCCTGCTGAGCTCCTCGGCGCACAAGTTCGACGTCTCCTACAGCTATCTCAATGGAAACCGCTTGCATCCAATCCTCGCTATTCGGTTTGCAAAAGGTGGGAGCGAAGATGGGCTTGCAAAAACGAAGTCTTTCATTCAAATCATTCCGAGCTGCCAGCCGAATCAATTCCCTCGCGAGAAGATTGCGCCACACAAGAACTGCGTTCGACCTCGAGGAGAAGAAGGGCATGCCAATCCCGAGAAGCTCCCGCCAACCCCCTTTTATAATGCCTCGCTCCTCGCCGATGCTAGCCCGCTCGTTCTATCGAAGCTTATTGAGGGTGCTTCAAACCACTGCGATGGATTTCAAGACGCCTGTCTATTTGGGCGAATTTGGCTGAGGCAAAGAGGACTTGGTGGAAGCATTGCTAATGGTGGATTCGGCAATTTTGAATGGGCCTCGACCATGGCGACGCTTTTGCGACACCGCAGCAATGTCCTCTCCCCTGGGTTCAGCAGCTACCAGCTCTTCAAAGCCACATTACAATTTCTGGCCAACAACGACCTTCGCTCTCAGCCGTTTGTTTCTCACAATCCGAAGAGCTTTGGCACTTGGACACAGGGAGATTGTCCTGTGTTTATTGAAGCCGAGAGTGGAGTCAATCTGCTTTATAAGGTTCGGTCCTGGTCATACGAATCGCTGAGGCAAGCTGCAAGGTCATCCGTGACAGCACTCGGGGACACGGTTTTCGACCAGTTTGAGTCTACATTCATTCAACGAGCCGATTCTTCGTTCCTCCGGTATGACTTCCGTCTTACAGTCCCTCAACATGACCTTCTAGTCAAGGGCAGCCTCGAGACATTGGAAGAGCGATGTAGTCGATTGCACAAGACATTGCTCAAGGGTCTTTCAGATCGCGTTGGCCTGATCACCTTCAAACTCCCCGAATTCCAGGTCTGGAAATGCGATGCAAACCCACGCTCGGATGAAAAGGCAAGGATCCAGATCGGGTTCGTCGTCCATCCGCAGCACGCCTTCAGGCTTGTGGAGCACGGCCCGTCGGCCGAAGAAAAGGCGAAAGCAGACGCTTTCCGGAAATTCTGGGGCAACAAAGCTGAGCTCAGGCGGTTCAAGGATGGCAGTATCCTGGAGAGCGTGGTGTGGGAGCAGAAGCCGGGCGTTTCTGTCTTTGAACAAATCGTCCTGTACCTGCTTGAACAACATTTTGGTGAAGCGGTTGCGCAAGCAAGTCATCTAGAGGGAGACCAAACGGGGAAGCTTCTGCCTGGAGGCGGGCAAGATGTAACCGCTCCGACAGCCCCTTTCCAAGGGCTTCTCTCCGCATTCACGACTTTGACGAATGACCTGCGATCCATGGACGGTTTGCCACTGCAGATCCGTCATATCCAAGCAACCGATCCTCAATTGCGTTACTCTTCCATCCATCCTCCATCGTCGACCACGAGTCCTGCCACCATGACACTAGAATTCGAAGGCTCTGGACGCTGGCCGGATTCCCTCCAAGCAATTCAATACACGAAGGTTGCCTTCCTCCTCAAGCTCTCCGACCTCCTCTCCGAGCACTCTTCCTCCTACCATGCCCAAGTCGGCATTGAGAACCGCATGCACCCGATCGAAAACCAAGCCTACCTTGACATCACCACCCCCTCCCACCACATCCTCCGCCTCCGCATCCACCACGACCGTGAAACCGCCCTCCTCAACCGCACCCTCACCCAACCCCCCCACCTCACCACCCCGGCTTCCCGCGACGAAGCCGCCTTCGCCCTCTCCGCCTACAAATCCACCTTCCCCCGCCCCGCCGCCCACACCCAAGCCCTCGCCACCGCCGCCACCCGATTCCCGGCCCTTAGCCCCGCCATCCGCCTCCTGAAGCGCTGGTTCGCCTCGCATCTCCTCCTCCCGCATTTTGCACCCGAGACCATCGAGCTGCTCGCCCTGCGTGTGTTCCTGCATCCCGAGCCGTTCGGCGTCCCGGGCACGCCGACCGCTGCCTTCCTGCGCACGCTCGCGGCGATTGCGAGGTGGGATTGGCGCGGAGAGCCGTGGTGCGTGGATTTTGGGAGGGCGAATATCGAGAAAAATGGGGGGGCGGGAGAGGGCGGGATGAGTAAGAGCGAGTATGCGGAGGTGGTCACGAGGCTGCGCGCGTGGCGGAAAGTTGACCCCGGGATGACGAGGGTGGCGCTGTGCGTGGCTAGTAGTATTGAGACGGACGGGGCGGCGTGGACGGAGCGGGGGATGCCGCCGGTGGTGATTGCGGGGAGGATGACGGCGTTAGCGAGAGCGGCGGTGGAGGAGGTGAAGCGTTGGGAGAGGGAGGAGGGATTGATGAGTTTGGGGACGTTGTTTGATTCCGGAGTTGAGGATTTTGATTTTGTGGTGGAGTTGGACGCGAAGGCGATTGCCCGGGCGAGAAATCCGCATGAAGAGAATGCGCGGTTCAAGAATTTGGCGGGGGGGAAGGCGAAGGATGCGATGGCTGGATTTGAGCCGGTCAAGTGGTTTGTGCAAGATTTGGAGCGGCTCTATGGCGACATCATGGTTCTGTTCTGGGATTCGGATGGAGGAAACAAGATTGCTGGGTTATGGAACCCGAGTGCAGAACGGCGACCGTGGAAGGTGAAGATTGGGTATTCGACGATGCCGATCGAAGCCGGCCAGGATCCAAAAGAAGGGGGTGACGGAAAGTTCACAGCGCTCATCAACAAGAGAGCGATCCTGGGCGAGATCGCAAGGCTAGGGGGTGATATGGTGAGCAAGGTTGCGGAGTCGGCAAAGTAGTGGTTAATTGAGGGGAATAATTCATTTGATCATCAGATCTATGTATCAACAAACGCCTTCGCTATGCCGAATATGCAACCAGCCGTGATATCTGCTCTCTACAGCTATACGAAATGCCTACCCTGGCCGTAGGTCGACCACCTCGTACTCCAACCCGCTCGCCTCACAAACGTGGCCCGGTCTTGACGCATCGGTGTAGATATTTGATTCCTCATGTGGATGAAAGATGCCCGGACGCGTGCAATTCAGGATCGACTTCAACCCCGGCGGATCCGTCAATCGAAAGATCCCCCATCTACAAGACGTTAGCGATGGCGGTTCGGTCCTAGTCTGAGACGAGTACTCACGAAGGGTCATGTCTCGGCGCGCACACGATCGCGATACTCTCCGCCATCTGTATCTGATACCCTCCGTGCGTATGCAGATCTCGACTGCTCATGAAACACGTCTGCGTCGGGTGCGTGTGGATCCACCCGAGGGTCATCAAGTCGTTCGCGTCACAGAACTCCACGAGAGTTTCTTCGTTGACCATTTCACACGTATCGGACGTGGCCTCCTGCTCAGGTATCACAAGGTGCGACACGAAGAGCGCGTTGGAGATGAGTCTGCCGCAGAGGATTCCGCAGGTTTCGAGGCTCCGGAGGGTATTCTGTTGGGCGATTTGGAGGAATCGGCGACGGAGGTCGGGAGAGATGAAGATTGTTCGGAGGGGCGTGCCGTTCTCGGCGAACGCGGAGGGTTTGAAGGTGTAGTCTTTCGATGCCGGCGCGGGAGTCATCGATCGGGGAGTAAGAGCGGCAGGAGGGGTATCTGTAACTTTTTGAGGAAGGGGAGGCGGGCTAGCCCGAATATCTTCGTGGATCAACTTCCGAGGTCGCGAGGGTGGGAGGGACTCCTTTCGAGGCAATACAGGAGGCGTGTTGAGCGATAGGTTGGAGAAAGAGTCCAATGGGTTTGAGGAGCCCTTCGGGACGGAGGGATATGGCATCGGCGCCGCCTTGAATGGTGCCGTTTCTCCCTCTCTTCCAATGCTCCGGTGAGCAAACGCCTGTTGGCTCCGCTTTCCAACCGCCGCGATATCCTGGGATACATCATCATCCACATCTACCCGGTCAACGCTCCGACGAGGTCGTTTCCATCCAAACTCATGTCTAGCTAACTTCACAGCCAAATCTCGGTGCTCCGTCGCATCCACTGCAAATTTCCGGTTGCGCGACCCGGATCTTGGGCGTTCCATTTCCGAGGATAACCGCTTTGGCTGCCCATGTTCATGCAGCCAGCGCTCCTTCTCATCATTCCGTTTCTTGGTCTGCTCAAGGTGACGTTCATATCGCGCTCGGATTCTCGGCTTGAGGTGCTCGAGCCGTGCGAGGTTGGATTTCACGGCGTTGTTCGCCTGCGTAAGGGATACTCTATTCTGTCTGGCTTCGGGATGTAACTGTAGCTTTTCGAAAATGAGAATCGCGTGTCGAAGAAGGAGGAGGTAGGCGTCCTGGTCATCTCCATCTCGTTCGTATGCATGCGCCTGGAGACAGCTTCATTAGCAACTCATGGATGTGCTCGGGACATTCTCGATATACCTGCTTGTTGATTGCATCCGCAGCCCGCAACCAGTACCTTAAAGGCACCAGAGGCTCATATTCGAAATCTGCGGCCTCTTTGGCCAGCGATTCTACGCTGCGCGGTGGTCCGTGGAGATCGTTCGACATTGTAGTGGTGGAGAGGTTCATGGTGGTGTGCGCCAAACACAGGAAGTCAGGAACTCCCGTTCTTCTGCAGTGTCATTGCAGCGCCTATGGCAAGTTTGCCATCAGACACAGTTTAGCCTATGCTAGGGAAACGTTGAAAACTAGATACAACTCGGAATGAATTATTTGCGGCATTGCGGAAGTGGGATTGGAATGGTGATGCCTAGGGTTCTGGTGTTCTGGAAGAAAGAGTACGGGGTACATCACCTGGGGTTTAGCCGTCGAGGGAATTAAGCCAGGGGCCCAGGGGGCATATCGAGGGGTATCCGTGCCCCATGGCCGCCCCACAACCTCTGGTTGTGGGTGCTCCCACACCAAAAGTCAAACCCACGCCAAAAGTACAATTTTACTACCATCATCTATATATCAGAACTCAGGATGTAAATCGATAAAAAAACCGAGATCCTCCGTACTAGTAGGTTGATCGAGTACAGGAGATGGTTCCTGCTGGTTTTCCTGTTGTTTTTCCCGCCGCCAGTCCCGCTGTGCCTTCCTAATTGCCGCCTCCCGCTCCTTCTGACCACGCGCTTCAACGTAGCGCTTCGCCTCACTAGCATATAATGATCCGGTCTGGCTAAGTCCTGTTTTAACCTGGCGGCGACTCTTTTTGGTTTGCTGGCGTTGTGTGGCCGAAACGGACCCCTTATACGCCTCGATCTCTTCGACTGCCTTGATCAATGACTCCGTAGCTTGGCGAACGCGACGTTGGTATTTCCGACTAGAAAGTAGGGCCTCAGGCGTATTTATGATCTTCTGTTGTCTCCGGCGTACCGTACGGATGGTATTTGGTGGAGATGCACTCGGTGTTGCCGTAATACTTGACGTTGGTGGCGTGCCATTAAATATCCGAAGCTCCTCTGCCTCTTGGTCAACCTGTTGCCGAAGGGTTGGTAAAATCTGCTCAGGATCCCATGGCCAAAGACCCCTCTCTTTAAAAGCGTGTCGAATCGTACGCGATTTGAAGGCGTTTTGGCGGATTTGGGGCATTTCTGTAAGGAATGAGGCCTTGTCCGCTGCGTCGAATCCCCACCGTGAGATATGCGTATTTGTCTGCCGGAAGTAGTGTTTCAACGCAAGAAACGGCTTCCCATCGAGCGGCTGAAGGAAATGGGTCGTATGCGGGGGAAATGGGAAAAGAATAATATCAACTTTTTCGCAGAATTCAATGAACTCATGGGTAAGATGCGAAGCGTGGTTATCCATTAAGAGCAGTCGTTTCCCCTTCTCAGCCCGGTGTCTTGTATACCGATGGAAATGCTGGATCCAATCGAAGGCAATAAGGTCGTTTGACCACCCAGACTTAGAGATATTGATACAGTAATCGTCTGGAATCTGGCCTTCGTACCATCGTTCAAGATGGTTCTCGCCCTTTAGGATAAAGTAGGGTGGAAGAACAAAACCATCAGCAGCGATACACTCGATATCCGTAACCGATTCGCCTGACTCCGTACTAGGACTGCCTCGTTTTGCCCCCGGTCGGAAACTGACTACTTTTTGGCGCTTCCCTTCACCAAGGCGGAAGCCACTTTCGTCGAAATTATATATATTCCGGGCCTCGATTCCATGTTCTTGAATCTGCTCCTGAAGGAGTTGAAACCAATGCTGTATATGTCCAAGATCCTCAGCACGTAGGCGGTCGTCTTTAACTGGTTTTTGGTCGATAAGCGGAAGGGTATGGCGCTTAATAAACTTGTATTTCCAGTTCTTGCTAACGTGGGGTGGTGGCTGGGTTGTATCGAGCGCGTTTCTTCGGAGCATAGAGTTGGCGCACGCTTCGATTTCTGTAGGCGTAGGAGGCGCTCCCCACTCATCAAGCTGGTGGATCCAAGCTAGGAGAGCCTTTTCTTGTAGCTGATCGAGTTTGGTCGCTTGTACGAACGGAGAACGGTTGGAATAGGATGTTTTCCCTTGAAGGCGACCTCGAAGGACGAACTGGCTGATTTGGAATTCACGCGCTAACGCTGAAACGTTAACCGATTTTCCTGCTTTTTTTTGCTCTGTAGCCTTCTTGAGTGCTTTCTGTATAGTCTCTTCTGGATATTTGACGCGTTTAGGCATGTTTGGTGGTATAGATTTGAAGATGATGGTAAAATTGTACTTTTGGCGTGGGTTTTACTTTTGGTGTGGGAGCACCCACAACCAGAGGTTGTGGGGCGGCCATGGGGCACGGATACCTATCTCCATCACGGCGATGGAATTTCGGGTTCTACATGTACTACCTTCTACTTCTTCTATGCTCAATGCTTACTGTTCATGGTGGAACTTGACAGGCACACATTTATAGTATTTGATCGCATCTCCCTTGTCGCGAATATAGACCCTGGGCAATGGATCTTATCAAACGTAGGTAGACTCCCCGTACCTAGCACGACATGATATCAAGACATTTTCTCTCTATTTTCGTTAATATTGTACAATACATTTACATGCGTACAGGTAGACTCTGGTGCGTAGATTGGGATCAATCGCTGCGTATGCTGCAACATCAAGTTCTCCGCAATCCAAGGCAAGACCATATCCACTCTCTTAAGGCGCTCCCTCGCCAGTTTTGCACTTTCTGATAGCAAACACCCTATGAGCAGCGTATAAGGACATCGTCTTCATTCGCAAAAGCGGCTAGCCAGAGTGCCGTCTCACAAGAAAGGAAAAGCATCGTGGTCATGCAATACACTGCCCTCAACTGTCCTCAACTAGCCTTTACTTCAAAGCCTACTTTTTCCCCTCCTTTTCAGCTTTTGTAGTAGGGGTCTCATCTGATGCCTTTCCCGATGGCTGTTGAGTGCTAAAGCTCCTCATGAGATCGAGCAGGCTGTCTTCGGAGGACTCAGGTTGCTCCTTCGCGTCGGTAGCTTTTGTAGCCTTTCACATCGTTAGCATGAGCCTCATCAAGAAATTTCCGTGATCCGAACCTCATCTTTACTGATGGTACCCTCTGCATCCCATCCTCGTCCGAATCGTGCGCGGAATGCCGCCAACCGTCCGGCTTCATCCTCTTCTACGCTCAGGAGTTTCTGACTGGAAGGATTCCACAACGGCGAGTTCTTCGCATCCTTGGTCGAGCGGTATACCGGCGTAGGAGATGTCGTGCGATGTAAGAAGGTGCTGCCGTCCGAGAGGGTGACGAGCTGGGTGAAGGTGTAGGGGCGTTTGGGTCGTCGGATCAACGTCGCATGACGAATCTGGGTGGTCCACGGTTTCGATTGCCGAACAAAGAGACCACCATTGGGTCTCAAGGAATTGACGGACATTGCAGCATCATAATCCCCTCGATGTCGCCGGATTAGAAGAGGTTTGTCGCGTGAACGGGCTAGATCATGGTTGAGCGCTGAATTGCAGAAATGGCGAAGGTCGGAACCCTGGGCCTGGCCGCCTGGGAAAAGTTTAGAAGCTCAGACCAACTTTAGAGGGTTCTCTGCTCTCCTCTAAACTCCGAGTCAATGAATCCTTTGTTTTCTTGCGATTGAATTGTTCACGTCCTTATTTACCGAATTCCTAGTGACAAACACCCGTAAAGTCCATTCTCTTACTGCTTGACGCTTGTTGAAGACGAGGTACTCTTTGAATCCGCGAGCAACGCCTGGTCGAGTCCGAAGATGGCGAAGCGCATGGCGACACCTATCAACCCTTACAGCTCGTTGAAGCTATTGCAGTCATTGTCCAAATATTCCTCCATATGTCGGAGTCGCTCAATATGTACGACAAATCAGATGTGCTTGAATCCGCAAACGGAGGCTGATTTACGTCTCGATAGGTACTTCTAAATACTCGACTTCAAGAAGCATCGCCCAAACCACCCCATCCCGACGATTGCTCTTCACTTCTTCAACAAATCTTCAAAATGCACCCGACGGAACCCAATCCAATCTCACGGACGACAATCATGCAAGTGACGCTGCGCAGAGAGGATTGGCACCCGAAGACGAGACCGACAGCCCTATATCAAAAATTTCGATTGAAAAATACCCCGTTAGGTCACCCGGCACCCGGTCTTATTATGAACTTAGCGAAAGACATACCAAGCCCGACCTTGTACGCACGGCCATGCAAAGCATTCCACACCCTGTCGTGATAGTGACAGCCTATCGGGACAATCTCCTCGCCGTCAAAGACAAGAAGATCCCTCTGGAATCAGCGCAGCGGCGCTTCGCCGGCATGACCGTATCGTCCTTCTCGACGGTCACCTTAGACCCGGTGCCGATCGTCACCTTCAACATCCGCAAGCCATCGTTGACGCTCGAGTCCATCGTTCGAGGCCACCTGAACCGCAACTCCTTCTTCGTCCACCTCCTCTCCCACAACCACCTCGCCCACGACCTGGCGACGGAATTCACGAAAGGAAACGGCGAGGGCAAATGGATGTCGGTGCGTGGGAAGTATCCCGTCACCGTCACCCCGAAATTCCCGTTGGTCCTTCAGAACGACCAGGCGATACCGGCCATTTTCGAATGCCAGCTGCTGCCGGCCAAGTGCATGGAAATCCATGACCATATGATCGTCGTTGCGCAAGTGTCGAACGTGATAGTGCCGCCTCACCGGGTGACTGGGAATGAGATCAACTCCTTTAAGGGGATAATGTATGCTCGCAAAGCATTCCGGGAGTGGGCGGATATAGATCGGGGCGAGATTATACGGAAATATACAGTTAAATCACGGAGGGGCTCGGAAGATCCGACTCTAGCGGCAGAGGAGCAAAGCAGCCAAACTCCTGTTCGAATATTAGGTACATAGTTGTGCGGAAAGTGGATTGCCACTGATATCCATCCGAACGTCCTGCCTGGCCTTTCCGTGACAGAACTTCCCGTGATCAGGTCGATTGTCCACCAGCGGACTCTTCCACCTTCGCCTCGAGTAATTTCCGAGCCTCTTCAAGCAATTCATTCTGCTTGGCTTTCCCAACATCCGAAGCCCGCGCATTGAGGACGCCGATATCGAAACGACCCATTCCACCGTTTGTAACCCCCTCTTCGGTCTCGGTCTTTGCCGCATCGCCCAACAGAGTCCCCGAGTCCTCGAGCTCTTGCGCTTCCGTCTGCAATCGCTCACTGATGGTTTTGACGAGCGTAAAGAACGTCTTTGATTGGGCGCGGAACTCGGCTTTTCGACCTTCAAGTGTGTCCAGGGATGCATCACTACCATGGTTTGTGGAACTCGGCGGTTTCGAGGTCATGGCGCTGATTGCTGAACCGGCAGCTTGGAGGAGTTCCGGAACATCCTTCGATCAGAATCAGTACCCTGATAGCAAGCTATTTTGCTTCAACTTACTCGCGCAATGTCGTTCAGCGCATTGATGTGTCCAGCTGCTTTTGAGGGGTCTTCGCTCGCCATATCAACTGATCGTCCGTAGGACTGCTCCCTCCACCACTAAGGTTATGACATGATACGGCCAAATAGATTTGCAGCATGCCAATATAAAAGCACTCCCGATGGGCGATATTAAATCGAATATTGACAGTAGCCAGAAATGGATGAGCAATGCTGCGGGAGGTGGGGGGGATCAGGGTATGAGGTCAATTGAAAGAATGCATTTACGGTAGCTATCGTCCGTCGAAGCATGGAGATCCCGCAGAGCCGCAATCAATTGTAACTTCATATGAGCTGCATATTCCATTGACCTCACTCTTAAATTCTTGATAATTGACTTCAAAGCCGTTCAAAGTCATCTTTGAAATATCGCCATAATAACACCCAATTTACAAGAATACATCGACGGTATCAAGCGGAAACATACCGGTCGAAGTGACAGATATTGAGAATAAGTGCTCTGCGACACCTCGCGATCGCCAAGACGTTGTCGATGATGGGACCGTCGCATTGATATTCTAATCTAGCGCAAAGTGAATACGCCCCCAACTCATTTGAACGCATTTGAACGCATTTGAAAATGTCGAACCCACATCCTGGATTGATAATCCCGCCCTCTCGCAGTGCCAGCATTGCAAATGGGCCACCCAGCGGGGGGATGCCCCCGACTCCGATACAATCCCATGGACCAGGGCAGAGCCCAGGAACTCCTTCACAGCAGAACCTGAACCAGATAGTATGTGTTGCCTTCATCAGTTCTGCCTTTATCGCCTGTACTCCCTTAATCCCTTGTCTTTGATTGCTCTTACTTCCTCTCACAAATGCCATCCATATCCCCCCGTCCAAGATGGCGTTTTTCCAGGCTTTGGCCAAGGACAAGCGGTTTCAGACATTTACACCACATATGGTCGGAAGGGCAGTGGAATGTATTAACGCTAGACCTTACCAGGTGCTTGAGTATCTGAACAAGAAGGGGTACAGCAGAACCGAAGCTACACTGCGGAAAGAGTCGCACACCATCGATGGTGGAAATCGCGAAAAGCCACGCGTTGACGATCTAGGTGGCGAGAAGTACCCTGCTTCGTTTGGTGAGTAGCTTTCAAAAGATCATCGCGTGTAGATCTAACGTCTGGTCTAGAGCTCTTCAACACCTGGGTCACAGACAGCTTGGAGCTGTACAGAGTCGAACTCAAGCGGCTGCTATGGCCTTTGTTCGTCTATTCCATCCTCAGTCTTTCTCTGGAATTTTATCCGAAGCAGTGTGGAGAGTTCTACGACAAGTTTAAGGAACTCTTCGAGAAAGAGCATGAAGATGACCTTCGTCAACTTGCTTTGATTACGCTCCCAGAGCACGTGGAAAACAACAACCTGGCGAAGGACTATCGCAACAACAAATACCAAATTACCATCACCGATGGCGCATTTCATCCACTCATCCAATTTTTGGAAGCAAAAGAGGCAGAGGGAGGCTCGGTCATCATGTTCCTCATAAGCACCTACATGACTATCCGTCACAGGAATCGAACTGAAGCTGGCCAAGAGCGGAGTCTTGCCGCAATGCTTGCGTCTCGAGGCATCGACGACTCGTTTCCACCAGAAGACGAGGGGATTCCCGGACACATGGCCGGGTCAGCCAACACCGATCCGAACGCGCCAAACGTGCTGCCTCGACTGCAACTGGGACCATTGCCAATGGATGATGATGCCATGGAAGATGTTCGAGCAGCACTGCAGGATGAAGATTCACGTGACCCACCAGGTCCAGGCGAACGATCCTATGTTGATGAGTTCGAAGCTCACATCAAGCGCGAACCTACCGAAGATGCACCTCCGCGAACAAAAATCCCTCTACCTCCTCCGTTGGCTCGGGACGTCGCAATGGAAGTGCAACGAATCAAAGAAAACCGAGATCGGTTCAAGATCGAGGGGGTGACTGGTGGCGTTGGGCCTGGAGTTAGTGTCATTATGTACACTTTCCACAACACTTTCGACACGTAGGTTGTATCAAAACAACTCATAGCAACTGAACTGACATCTACAAGAACTAACTGCATCGATATCTCGGGTGACTATAAAATGGTGGCTGCAGGGACTTCCGAGTCTTACATCCGAGTCTGGTCTCTTGATGGCAAACCACTTCCATCTCTCGCGAGCCAAATCTCCGGCGAACAAACCAAGCCATCCGCATCTCAACGGTTAGTCGGCCACTCCGGGCCAGTCTTCGCGGTCTCCTTTTCACCATCAACCGTCAACCCTAGCACCGATGCTGAGGCTCCTACTACCCACTCACGCTACCTCCTTTCCTCATCAGGAGACGGCACAGTCCGACTGTGGTCCATCGACGCCTGGGCATGTCTTGTTGTCTACAAAGGTCACGCCGGGCCGGTTTGGGATGTCCGATGGGGTCCGTACGGGCACTACTTCGCGACCGCCTCCCATGATCGTACTGCACGACTTTGGGTGACAGATCATGTCGAACCGCTCCGGCTCTTCGTCGGCCACGACGACGACGTCGACCAGATCGTCTTCCACCCGAACAATGTCTACGTGTTCACCTGCTCCAGCGACAAGACGGTGCGCATGTGGGACATCGTCACCGGGCGACCGATGCGCATGTTCACGGGCTTCACGGGGACCATCACGGCGCTCGCCTGCTCGCCCAACGGCCTCACCCTCGCGACCGCCGACGACAGTGGTACGATCATGCTCTTCGACCTGCATAGCGGGCGACGCGCTCGACGCATGCGCGGACACGGCAAAGGCGGCATCTGGAGCCTATCCTGGAGCGTGGAGAGCACCGTACTGGTATCCGGGGGTATGGACGGCACGGTGCGGGTATGGGACTGCGTGCAGCGGGCCGTAGACAACACCAACTCGGCGGTGGTGAACGGAAAGGTAGTGCCGGTCGACGGAGCCACGGGCGCAATCAACGCCAAGATCGATACGGCGGCTACACCCGGCGCGGGCCCGGGGGCGATTACCACGTCGAAGAAAGGCAAGGGGGCGAAGGACACCGTGGTGACGAGCGATCAGATCAGTGCGTTTCCGACGAAGAAGAGCCCGGTCTACCACGTCATGTTCACAGGGTCGAACTTAGTGATGGCGGCTGGCGCATATCTTCCTTAAAGTTTGGGACCGCGTGCAGGAGAGGACTTCGGGCTTGTCCACCGAACTTAGGGCTCGACGGGCGAAATTAAGTGCGAGGTATACGACGGGCCATTACACTTTCCAAGACGAATTCATCGGAGTCGGCTGCTTTGGAGTTGGCTGCTTTGGAGTTGGCTGGGAGGTTGGTGGCGAAAGCGACACGTTGCTTCTGAGTGTTTAGCATACTGGTGGGATTACTTAGTCTTCGCCGAAGGGATTTGACACCGCATGACTCTAAGGACTAATACCGGAAAAATTTCATTCAGATCCAAAAACTGCCGTGTACTCTGCAGGAGGCAGCCTCGAGGTTGCCATGCTGCAACCATTGCCTATGTTGCCTTTGTCTGCGAACACCACCAATGTTTCGCTCTGACTTCTTGCCTACAGTCGTGACCATCCGAACCGTGTATATGTGTTTTCCTATCATGATAAATGCGATAGAAGCAGCAGCCATAAAGTGTGCAAGATGTTTCGTGTGCTCGTCAAGGACTGACGTGTATGCTTAGAGTCCGGAAACAAGGAGTGAGCTGTTAGGAGATGTGCACACCTCCTCTTAACCAGTGGATAATATAGGCGCCGGCGCAAAACTCATGAATGTTTCGTGAAACACAACCATGCCAGCTCTCGGCATCTGATCCACCTCTCGGTAGTTCGCATCGGTGTCACATTGCCCATCTGTCACACGAGTTTAAACAGTGACGATGTGTGTCTGAAGATTCAGGAACTGGAACTTTCTCAACCAATCGGCGGGGAGCTGTGGTGCCTGCCCCTTGCAGAGCGGGCACTCTCCGCGCCTCCCCTGCCGATCCATGTTCACCAATCACCCCGCGGTCATCGACTGATGTTCAACATCAGCTTCCCACAGCGGCCGCCATGAAACGTGTTGAATTTCATCCCTGAGCCGATTGGCACCATGGACATAAAGATGGGCGTGTTAATGGTCCACAAAGACTACCGCCTTCACTCCGCAGTACACGTACATGTTCCATCACAGTCAGAGGACTCCGATCTACCGAGATACTCTCCGCACTGCACATCGTGATTCACTCGGATGACCTCGACAGCCGCCGAGGGATAGGCCGAGAGGGTCTATCCACATCGAAGCTGCAACAAAGCCAACAAAATACAATGGAGCTCGCCTGGGGTCGCAGATGGATGGATCACAGCCCACCATTGTTTCGATGGTTAAGCTTTGCTTAGCGATAGGCTGACGGGACAAGGACCCATCACACGACTCCTGAATATCGGAGACTCGATCACGGCTAGCGAGCCAGTTTCTGTCGATTAATATGTGAAACTTATGGACTCGGAGGGAACACGCGTGGGCAGAAACAAAGACGCGTAGTGTTGGGGGATAGGCAAGTCAATGTACGAGGAATAAAGAGGATTGTTTCCCTCCGTTTCCCGAAGTTCCTTTGTCTTCCATCCATCACCCTTCATTTCACCTATTGTGTCACCTATTGTTCAGGAAGTGCAATATTATTCAGCCTGGCTGCTGTCATTTAAAAACACTGGTTGTCTTCAACGGTCCTTACCTACCTGAGGTGTTGCTCGCTATATCAAAGCTTCATCATCGCTCTTACCTAGCAGGCCTAGGCTACTTTCCTTTTCAGAGCCCAAAATCTCTTACAAAACCTCACGCTCCTTCAAGCAAATTTCGCAAATCTACACGACCAACTCGTCGATATGGCCCCCATCAACTCGCTCGCCCTTGCGGCTACCGCTCTCCTGAGCTCCATCGTCTCTGCCCACATCAAGCTAGAGAACCCGGTCCCCTTCGCCAAAGACAAGCTCGATACTAGCCCCATCACGGCAAGCGACTTCCCCTGCAAACTCACCAACGGCTTCGCCATCTCCACCATGAACACCATGCAAGCCGGCAGCCAGCAGACAGTCAAATTCGCCGGCACTGCTGTCCACGGTGGCGGCTCCTGCCAACTTGCTATCACCCTCGACAAGGAGCCAACCGCGAACTCCAAATTCAAGGTCATCCACTCCATGGAAGGTGGCTGCCCCGGCGTCGACGGCGGCACGACGCCCTTCCCCTTCACGGTCCCTAAGGAAGTCCCCAGCGGCCAGGCGACGTTCGCGTGGACGTGGTTCGCCAAGCTGAGCGGCGCGCCGGAGATGTACATGAACTGCGCGCCGGTGGAGATCACGGGCGGCGCGAGCGACGCTAGCGGGTTCGACAAGCTGCCGGATATGTTCGTGGCGAACGTCGGGACGGCGGAGTGTACGAGCCCGCAAAATTTTGATACGGCGTTCCCGAATCCGGGGGAGTCGGTGGCGAGGTCGTCGAATGTTAATGCGAAGCCGCCGACGGGGTCGGGGTGTGATGCTGGTGCTGGCTCGGGCTCAGACTCGGGTTCGGGATCTGGCTCAGGATCTGGCTCGGGCTCGGGCTCGGGCTCAGACTCAGGTTCGGGATCTGGCTCAGGATCTGGCTCGGGCTCGGGCTCAGACTCAGGTTCGGGATCTGGCTCAGGATCTGGCTCGGGCTCGGGCTCAGACTCAGGTTCAGGATCTGGCTCAGGATCTGGTTCTGACTCCGGCTCCGGTGCTCCAGCTTCGTCAGCTCCTGCTGCTACTCCTTCTACTCCAGCAGCCGTTCCCGCTAATCCCGGTGGTATCCTCGCTCCTGATGCGTCCACCGCACCCGCTGCTCCCACCTCTCCTACCGGCACCTCTACCCTCACGACACTTATCACGAAGACCTCCCCGGCCGCAGGCCCTACTGGCAATGCTCCCGACTACTCTGATTTAGTTCCTTCCTCCCCATCAGCCGCTCCACCCAGCGGATCCGGCTCTGCGTCCGAGTCCGCCGGCGGAAACAGCGGATGTGGAACCGAGGGCGCGATTGTCTGCAGTGGAACCGGCCAGTTTGGCCTGTGCAATCATGGCAAGGTGGTGTTCCAGCCCGTTGCTGCTGGGACGACGTGCCAGAACGGGAAGATTCTCAAGAAGCGGGGGTTCTCCGGACGGTATGCCAGGGACGTCGTTCGAAGGAATTAGATGCATGAGGAACAGCGAGGAGAGATGAGAGATTGATATGAATAGGAAGAATGGATTATATGGAAAGAATGTGGATTATGAACATATGATTGGAGGATGACCAGGGTGATGCTCATGGTGATGGACAAAGGATGTGTGCCTTGTCTTTTTCAATTCATGTTCGATACTTTTAACACTGCGTTGGCATTCCTTGGCAGGAGCTTAACGATCATGTATGATTTACGGCGTTTCAGGGGCCACGAAGGGACGATACAGGTACACATAGAAGGGCACAATGACCACGACATGATCAGAAACGATGACCAAATTTTAGCTCTATACTTTGCCTAACTATGAAAGACCAATGATTTCCTGCGTTTCCAGCGCAGGTCCTACCACATATTGAGGTGAAGACTAATTACTATATAACTATCAGGGAGTCAGGGAGATGCTGTAGCGGCAAAGTCGGCAGTGAAAGGAACAGTGGTGGTTCTAATATGGGGTGATACACGTGATGTGACGTGAATTTATGCCTCAACAATGCCTTAATGCCTAAAGTGGACCCGCAGCCGCAACCTTCTCGACTTCACCTTCACAGCAAATCGCTCCACCGACATCACCTTGACCACAATTCACTCCAACCTCAATCGAAATTGTACTTCTACTCACTCTCTCCGATCCTGATCCTACTTTACCATTCTTCACACCTATACGCTCACACAAGGAACTGCAAACTCTCCATACGCAAACTCGCTTCCACTGCCAGATAATAGCTCAAGCGAGCCAGACAAACCTCAGCTCTTCACCACCACTTCTGAACAGCCTGAAGCGATCAACTTGACTTCACCTTTAGGCAATTACCCACCACTGGGGCCCATAGTCACCATACTTGACACCTTGAAGAAGTCCAGGAACTCTCATCCGCATCTCGAACAGGCGTTCAACTCATACCGATTTCAACTCACTGTGGAGGCGCTTGACATCATCCTGTTAGCCGAGTCGGTTCACCATTGACAGAACGAGAAGCGAAGCCAAAAATTTGCTTCCAAAGGGAGCCCAAAAACATCAATTGGACCACCAATCACCTCTCTACTGAAAAGAACATCCAGTCGCTATTGAGACGAAGCGTCTCAAGCCTTCACCATGTCAGCCGACCTTGCCTCTGCCATGCAGAAGGCCAACTTAAAGTGAGAGCTGTCGTGGCATACGAGAGATACGTGGAAACTGACATATCAGCTCAAATTCATCCTCTCCGGGGACAATACAACAAGGATCATCCGATGTGTCGAATCTCTCAGCTGCCACAGCCGCGAAAGGTTCCGATTGGAAATCGGGACTCAAAGCGCCGGCGAAAGACACCCGACATCAGACTGAGGTGTGAACGATCAACCCGATCTGATTGGAATTCGTACTGATCCAAGCCTACAGGATGTCACCGCCACCAAAGGCCTAGATTTTGAGGACTTTTACATCAAACGCGAACTCATGATGGGAATTTTCGAAGCAGGGTTCGAGAAGCCCTCTCCCATCCAGGAAGAAGCGATCCCCGTCGCCCTGACGGGCCGCGATATCCTCGCTCGCGCCAAGAACGGGACCGGCAAGACGGCCGCCTACGTGATCCCGACGCTCGAAAAAATCAACCCTAAGAACTCCAAGACGCAAGCTCTGATCCTCGTCCCCACGCGAGAACTCGCGCTACAAACCTCACAGGTGTGCAAGACGCTTGGGAAGCATTTGGGGATCAATGTCATGGTCAGCACTGGTGGAACGGGCTTGCGGGACGATATCATTCGTCTTAGCGAGCCGGTGCATATTATTGTGGGAACACCGGGAAGAATCTTGGATCTTTCTGGGAAGGGCGTAGCAGACCTCTCGGGCTGTCAGACCTTCGTAATGGATGAAGCGGATAAGCTGTTGTCCCCGGAGTTTACTCCTGTCATTGAGCAGTTGCTTGCATTTTGTCCGAAGGAGCGCCAGACGATGCTGTTCAGCGCTACCTTCCCTCTTGTGGTCAAGTCCTTCAAGGTATGACCTACATCTCAAACATGAATTGGCGTGTTTTGCTAACGATTTGCAGGAGAAATTCATGAACACCCCGTACGAGATTAACCTGATGGATGAACTCACCCTTCGCGGTATCACCCAATACTACGCGTTCGTCGAAGAAAAAGACAAAGTCCGCTGCCTCAACACCCTTTTCAGCAAACTCCAAATCAACCAGTCCATAATCTTCTGCAACTCCACCAACCGTGTCGAGCTCCTCGCCAAGAAAATCACGGAGTTGGGCTATTCCTGCTTCTACTCACACGCCCGCATGCTACAACACAACCGAAACCGAGTGTTCCACGATTTCCGCAACGGCGTCTGCCGCAATCTCGTCTGTTCCGACCTCCTCACCCGTGGTATCGACATCCAAGCCGTCAACGTCGTCATCAACTTCGACTTCCCCAAGAACGCCGAGACCTACCTCCACCGCATCGGTCGCTCCGGTCGTTTCGGCCACCTGGGTCTGGCGATCAACTTGATCAGCTGGGACGACCGCTTCAACCTGTACCGCATCGAGCAAGAACTCGGTACCGAGATTCAGCCGATCCCGCAGGTCATCGAGAAGCGCCTGTATGTCTACGAGACTCCCGACACCGTGCCCCGTCCCATCTCCAACGCGCCCGACAACCGGCCGCGTGCTCCGGAAAATGGCAAGGAGAATCAGGGCCAACTGCCGCGACAGCCCGGTGGATATAACACTAGCTACTACCGAGGACGGGGCGGTGGGAATATGCGGGGTGGTCGTGGAGGCGGCCAACAGAGGCATAATGGCTTCTCGGGCCCTCCAAGGCAGCAGCAGCCGCAGCAGCAGCACCCTCAGCAACACCCGCAGCAACACTCGCAGCAACACCCGCAGCAACACCCGCAGCAACACCCGCAGCAACACCCGCAGCAGCGAGTGACTCCTCAGGCTTAGACGTTTGATGGCGCGCTCCCGTTATTGCCGGCATTTCCTAGCTTTCATTTACGTTAGTTCGTTTCCTTTTTCGATCGATGAGCATGGACTGTATAGACGACCATGACCCCGAGTTTTCCTTTTCCTCTTTTCCTTTCCCCGCGGCAACTGGGCGCCGGGCGGTATTCTCGTGACATTCTTCTTCCAGCGGTTCTTTGACAACGGATAGTCGGGAAATGTCGCCACCGCGGTGCCTTTTCCCCGGAACCGCTCCATTGATAGACGAACCGCAAAAGTCACGGTGCTCTCTCTCTTTGTTCTCCCTCATGACGTATGGATGAGCAGGAAGAACGACTGCGCTATTTGCTTCTTACATGGCACCATGGCTCACACTGGCGAGCTGGATATCCTGGCGTTCTGAACGGTGGAATGGCCGGGAAGCACGCCACTTCAAGGCGTACTGGGAGTTCTTGATTCCGTCTATAGGTGCTTGGGCGTTTTACTTCTTGTACAACATCTACCGCGGGATTTACTTCGGGTCGTGGAGAAAGAGGAGAAACGATGGTTGCGACTCTTTTGACGAGAGATTGGCGGCTGTGGTCCTCGAACTTTCACGATCTCCTTTCGACCTACCACGCCATTACGATCCGGGGATGAGTAGGAACGGTCGGCGAGATACTTCCATCTCGCTTTGCTTAGTCTTCTCCGACGCTCCTCGACGTATATGTCTCTCCTCTTTCTTCCCCCTCAAACGACCCCACCTCGACGTACCCTTCCTTTCCCCCGCAACAACGCCCGTGCAACGATTACACCACCCTCGTCTCACGCCTCTTTATCCCCTTCTCCCTACGTTTCCTGATGACAGGCTCGCACGTGGATATGCCTTAACATCTTACTTATCGTCAACCCCCAACTCACGTACCCCTCAACCACATCCAAGCGTTATCAACAATCGACCTCCCACGCCGCATACCCCATCCCTTTGAAGTTGGATTGCCAAACCGCCTGTCCCCTCGGTCCGGGATCCGAGCCAGCAAAGTCGCCTCTCCGACGCCCGAACCCTCAACAGACGCGGTGTGTCAACTGTACGATTGATTCAGAGCAAGGGGCAGGAACAACTACCACAGAAAACAGATAAAAAAGGGCCAATGTTGACTTGTCGTTCTTCGAGTAGGTCGGTGGATCCTGCGTGGGCAGATTCACTGACCGGACATGGTGGATAGACAATTCAATGACAACTTCTCCCGCCCATTTCGATGATCGATCGCTGAATGTGATGCATTTTCCAACTAACGATAAACCAAACTTCATAAGCGCATCGTATATGTAGCAATTTTCTCCGCTACGTATGCACCCTTTCCTGTTCTGCAGTGCATTCAACTCCTGGATAATGCAGCCCCCCCTTCCCCGCCCCTCCCATTTACCCCCTCATCCGCCGTTATTTATGTAACTAGATTACCCATAATAGCTGTTCCACCCCATCCCCCGTCCCTCCCCCCTCATCCTCATCCTAGGTCAAACATAAATACAGGAGGGAGAAGCCCACCTGCATGGACGACCCGATCGGCTCGGCATTGAAAAGTAGCGTTAAAACGACAGAAGATATGAAAGAAATCGAGCGAGGGAACAACAAGATCGAAACTCAAACGAAAGCAAATTGCAAATTCAGAAAAACATCTCAACACCTGCGCTGTGTCCGTGGGTCATCTCGTGAGGCAGCCGTGACAGCGTGACAAGCGGTGGAAAGAACGGCGAATGATGAAAGAAAAGGGGCAAAGAAATCAATTAAAAAGCAGGACAATGGCCACCAGGAATAGGGGTCTGTAATCTCTAGTGGGGGGGTTTCAGGCTTTTGGTTCGGACAGAATAACCTCCCAATGTCGCAGAAATATGTTTGAAGTCAATCATTAGATAGGTTCGATGTTCGGCCGTGATGTGGAGAAAAGGATCAGCTGGGTTCGTTCGTTTCGTGCGAAGGTGGAAGAGGGGGAAGTCAAGGGATTCCGGTCGGATCGGGTCCAGGGGGCGTCGGGCGGCGTGGAGGGTTCACGGCGTCCTCAGGCTTGCGGCCCCAGACGACGTAACTGGGACAACTCAGTCAACCAACCCAAGAAAGCTCCATCTCGAAAGCACTTACATCTTCTGATACGCATGCACCGAGCGATTATGGAACGCCTTCCTCACCGGCACCAAATACACCTCAATCTCCTCCTGCGTCCACCCCAGTCCCCGATGGAAAAACGCCATGGAGATTCCCGCGCACCCCTCCAGCATGACCTCCTGATGAAATTTCCCCAGCATCTTCCACTTCGGATCGCGCGGCCACGGGCTCAACGGCACCTTATACACCTCCTCGCGCACGTCTACGAACCCGTTCTGCTCGTACCAGCGCTTCAACTTGTTCCCAATGCGCACGGGCTTCCCCATATTCATCGCGGCCTGGTCCTGCATGCGCGCCCAAGCGGCGACGGGCCAGTCGGGCGGCATGGTGCCATCGTCGCAGTAGACGGTGGGGTAGAGCTCGACGGACTCCATGTAGCCGCCGGGCTTGACGTAGCGGAAAGCGCGGCGGATGATTTGGCGGAAGTCGTCGAAGGAGCCGAGGAGCATCTGCGTGTGGATGAAGTCGTAGCTGTTTTCGTTGATCATCCAATCTTCTTCGTTGGCGTCGTCGATGACGAATTTGACGTTGGGGGGGATCGAGTCGGGCTGGATGGGGGAGAGGTCGGTGCCGGTGATCTGGGGTGGGTTAGGTGGGGATCGGAAGGGACATAGGACTACGGGCGTACTTCTGCATATTCGAACTGGTTGGCTGGAGAGCGGTTAGTCGCTATTGATCACAGTAATCGAGGCTGCACTCACCGATTTCAATGGGCCACTTGCCCGTTCCTGTACCGATATCCAAGATCTTGTGGGGGTTGTGGATGGGAGCCTTGAACAATGCGTTGCCCATCAGATTCCTGAGAATCTCATATTGCAGATCGAGGCGATCGATCTCCGACTGCCGAGCTGTCAGTTCCGTCCTTCGCTTTGAGGAGATCCGTGCCATACTTGGTCATTCGGAAGCAGATAAGCTGGTTGGCACGTTTATATCAGCATCAATGACCAGATTCTCGACCTGATGACTTACTGCCAGCCTGATACGAATGATACGTCCTTCCATTCTCCCTAACAAACTGGAATACGCTCTCTCTCGCCGATTTTGTCGATCTACCAAACTTCTGTTAGTCGGTATGATACGCTGGGGAGGGCAATGACTCGAAGGGACTCTCACGATTGAAAGCTGCCACAGTCGGACTAAATGGTTGTGAAGCGTTAGCCATGGTCCGCCTTTGCATTTTGATGCCAGAGAAGACAAATTCTCCTGGCGAAGTTCCATAATGAGCGACTCACACCTGGTTCTATCATATACCCCGTTGTCCCTGAACCCGATGCCGAATCATCTGTGACACTCTCAGCGTAGGTGTCGTAGGACACATGCCGCTGTGGGACAGCCATTGATTTCCCAGAGTACGACGGATCTGTCATTGAACGCTATGGTTTTCGAATCTAGCGTCCTCGACACCAATGGTTCGTGAATCGACACCGTGAGATCGGTATTTGCGGAGGTGGCGAACCGTCGGCGGGTTTCCTGGACCTTTCGTCTCGTCTGGTCTCCGACCGGTCTCTAAACCTTCTTCCCAACGACGACCGACACCTGAAGGCTAATCGCCCGATACTCAAAGCCAGCGACACGTCTCCCGGCAACGGCAACCGCGGAATACGTGCGCGACGGCGAAAGCGGTTTCAATGAAGAAAAATAAAAGGGAAGAAAAAACGAGTTGGATGGAGTAATACAATTGCTGGAGAAAAAAGGTGTTGGAGATTTGACCCAAGGGGGCGGTTTTGCGTTGCGGGAAAACGCCCAAGGCCACGGATCCGGGAAAGAAGGATTGGATAGATTGGATGGAACTGCGTGCGGCCCAGCGCGGGAGAACGCGATGATCAGGGTGAAATCTTAATTAACGTGGCAAGAATCGAATTTTGAAACCATTCGAATGATGCAACGGGAATCTCAGCTTGGACAACTGACGGGTCTGCGCAAACGGCGCCTATTTTATTAGCCCTTTTCCAGATGATTTCCTATTCTCCCGACCTTCTGCTTGGGCGAGAGCCGAGATGTGATCCTGATCGTCCGCGAAAGGCGAACCACACAAGCCCCGACTGGCTACGATGGACCCACAGTCGATATGTTCCGATGCGCTGAGCCGATTGCTTGGCCAGTCTGCAACTTTGTCGGCTCGGGACTTTGACTTTTGCGTTCAGAGTTGAGAATTGAGACCAGAGACCCTGAGAGACAGAGCGAGTCTCCTCGTCTCCTTAGATCGGAATGGATGCTTGATGCTGTTATTATTGTCCGGGATTCCTCCTTAGTCCTTGCTTGCTCGCCTTCCCGCCTTCTTCCCGCCTTCTTCCCGCCTTCTTCCCGCCTAGCCCCAGTCCGTTTCATTTCACGAGCTGGGAAATGCCGGCCACGAAAGCATCCTGCAACAAAAAAAAAACAGAGGAGTTTGTGGAACCCTGGGACACGACTTCCTCTGCTCTTGCAAACTCCGTGCTGTATGAACTAGGCAAGAAGCAAATCGAAACATCTAACCTTGCAACTGCAGCTTCACCGACTCCATTCCATGCGGCTGCCCGGAAACTTCTTCCGTCTTACCATAGGCCTATCAGGACCCCAAGGGCGGCGAATATCGGCCAGGATGAGCTTGCCCTGAAGGTCGTGAACGCTGCCGATAAGCAAGGCTAGCTCCAGCACCACGATATTATTAATATCGACCAACCGTAAACTAGGGAGAATACTCGCCGTTACGTACGCTCGCTGTGATTCCACGACCGATCCCAACAACCAGGACGCAGGACTTCCAACCACCAGGGTGGCACGCAAGGCCGCAACCCCGATGTGAAATCGAATCGTAAGGTGTGTTCTGGAATTTGGGCAGTCAGGCTCCCGCGATCTGCGATCTCATTGGGATCCAATGACCGGAACCTGCCCGCGCCGCTTGCACCGTTCTGGTGGTACTACTGCTGTCACTGCTTCGTGACAATTGGACCGTCCAGGACGATCGCCCGTATCATTCTCCTGCTATTCAACGTGGCCGATCCGCTGTTGGGGTAATGGGGACCGATGCTGCACCATGGGCGAATGTGGCGTTCATCATCGCCGCAAATCGCTCCAGAAACCGGATCCCGATGACCTGGACTTGGAGTGTCCCAGACGATTACCGTTCGTTGGGAATGTGAAGGCCGCGTCGGCCGTCGCAGCGAGTGCCAACGACGGAGTTTCGTGATACCGAAGGCGTTTCCGTGCACCTGATGCGGGCGGGGGACAACGAAACCGGAGGGTCCCACGGCAGAGAACAGGGAGGGGACGCAATAACAACGGAATTTGGTAGAACTAGATGAAATTGATGAAATTGATGAACTTATCAATGCATGATACTGGAGAGAAGAGCTGAGAGGCCCTAGATTTTTATTTATCTTCTTGTTTGCTTTCCGTATAATTGGGACAGCTAACTTCTCCGTCCCATGGTATACATCAAGCCGTGGATTGATCATTGATTTATCTTCATCCTCGCACGTGATGATCATAATATATCGGTCAATCGGTGGGGGAGGTTGGATGGAAATCCGATATCGACCTCACAACTCATTACCCACAACTCTACTCACCTTTCCCTGCTTCTCCCATCCTCCATCCGCTTCCTTGCATCACCATCCCCAAGCCCAGGAAACCCCGCACTCAGCTGAAGAACCCCGTGCTCCTCACCTGCATTCAATCTCCGGCTTGGAAGCGGCATCGGTCTTAGAATCGAGCTCCCTGATCCAATAGTTCGAACTTGAAGCTCTGCAAGAATGGATGCATTGAGCTAGTCTTGCCTTCTCCAAGACATAGCAGACTCCTTCCTGCATATCATCCATATTGACGTGCATGGAAAGGCTCCGTTTCGTGTCCGTGGCTGCCCTGTCGATTCTCGGGAGACGCAAGCAATCTCTTCGTCGTTGGTGGATTCGTGTAATCTCTATTGGGTACGGATACCTACCTTAAAATTGGTATCAAAGTCAACTCCTTGCTTTGGGGAACCCTCAACCAAGCGTACTCGACTTCATCGGGCACGAGAAAGTCGGCGATCCACTTCTTCTAATTTCCCGATCTGCAGAACACCTTGTCCCTGACGCCGCCATATCCCTACCGGCCGTTGCCTTCCTTCTACCCAACTTTATCGGATAACGACCTTTCTCAATCGCCCCATTCAACATATCACGCCATGTCCGCATCCTCCTTGCTTTACCCTATGCCCTCCGTGGTCGCTCTGAAGAGCCAGTTCGTGGGTCGCCATCTGAGAGATGTGGATGCGCCCGCTGCGGTACTGGATCGGGCGGTCGTGATCCGAAATTGTGAGAGGATGAGGACTGCTGCCAGTGGGGCGGGGGTGAGGTTTAGAGGGCATGTGAAGACACATAAGGTATGTGGTTTATGATGTTCTGTACTTCTGTATGGTGTTCGGTGCTTGTTATGCGAGTCGATGTTTTCTTGTTCTCTTGCTGCCTTGGCCAAAACCTCAGCCTTACTGCAGTGCAATTGCTGCTGGATTAAGTAAGTGCACATTGGTGTAGCGGTTCTTTGGAGTAAGGTATATTGCTTGCCGTACCAATTCTGAGTACGCTCGCGATATCTAAGGTCTAGAAATCCATATAGAACTGCACACATTTATTCTGGCGCATTATATAGATTTCTTCATACGTCATTAGATATAGGAGACAAATGCGAAGCTAACCTAGGATCCAACTCAGACTGTAGAAGTAACCCAGCTTCAAGTCGGTGACTCGAAAGAAGTGCGCCTCATTGTGTCAACCATCGCCGAACTTGAACTCCTTACGCCGTGGCTCCTAGACTGCAAGCGACAAGGCAAGACAATAGATGTAGGTCGCCCAAGAAACATATCGCATCTCCATCGCTGAACACTTGGAACCCAGGTCCTATACGGCGTCCCTGTATCCAAGTCCGCTCTTCCCCGACTCATTCACTTCGCCCAACTCCTTGAACGGGAACTTCCAAGTACTCCCCAACATCCCTCCACTGACAACCCTCTCTCCCTTCTCCCAGTCAAAATCATCATCGACACAGTCTCGCAATTCACCATGATCAAAGACTACCTCCTTTCCCACTACCCCCCTCAACTCCTCTCCTCCCAACGCCCTCCTTTCCAAGTCGGCGTCTACATCAAGATCGACACCGGCTACGGCCGCGCCGGGATACCTCCACAGTCCAATGAATGCGACACCTTGCTCCAGTATCTCGCTGCGAACGAAGAGCCTGCTGATTGCTATAGCCGGTTTGTGCTCGAAGGGCTATATAGCCATCTAGGGTCGAGCTATGGGGCAACTGGACCCAAGGAGGCGATGAGTGGGTTTAAACAGGAACTGACCGGACTGGTCGACGTGTTGTCGGTGGTGAAGAAATCGTATACTCAGGCCCCTGACAAAGCCCTCGTGCTTTCCGTCGGTGCGTCCCCCACCGCTTTGGCACTGGCTTCAGAGCTCCCCGATGGTTCATGGGACCACAGCGCCTCCAGCACTGTTCGGGCGATGTTGGAGGATGTGATGGGAGACAGTGAGGCGCCGAAGCATATCGTTGAGGTACATGCCGGCGTTTACACGACGCTTGATATGCAGCAGCTAGCGACGAAGAGCTTCGGGACGATGAGGACGGAGGATATCGCAATTAGAATACTCGCGGAGGTGGCGAGTGTATACACGGGGCGAGAGCGTCCGGAGGCGTTGATTGCGGCGGGGAATTTGGCGTTGGGGAGGGAGCCGTGTAGGGAGTATAGCGGGTGGGGGGTGGTGACGGGATGGCGGAGCGAGGGCGATACTCCAGGTGAAGGGAATGGAGTAAATAGTTCAGTGTATGATTTTGAGGGGAAGACCGGGTGGGTGGTTGGGAGGATCAGTCAGGAGCATGGGATTCTGGTGTGGGAGGGGGATAGGAGTCAGCAGAGGGAGTTGAGGGCCGGGGAGAAGGTGTTGATTTTGCCGAATCATTCGTGTATCGCAGGGGCGGGGTATGGATGGTATTTGGTGGTGGATTCGAGTCGGAGCGGAGAGGAGAGGGATGTCGTGCAGGATGTGTGGGTAAGATGTAGGGGCTGGTGATAGCAGTGGCTGGTTGCTTTTCGAGGTATTGAGGAATCTCAACCACTCTGCTCATGGGCGCCGATGGCTTCAACACTTCTGGGTCGAGGTATCCAGGTCCGTTTTATAGTGATTGCTTCCGGACCGTTTCTCCCAGACTTTGGCACGACCGCCTTGTACAACCAGTGCTCGCCTACGAAACGCCGATTATGCGCGACCGCAGCCTCGAGGCGGAGGAGCAGGACGATTGTTAGCATGGCCAACGACGCTGGGGTCATTTGAATTTCCCTTGAACTAGAGATTGGTCTTCCTAAAATCCCAGCTGTCACGAAGCGGGTGCTTCTGGCGACTGGTCCACAGTCTCGTGCGGAAGTTCTCCTGGAAGAAGTTCTCCTGGAAGTACAGTATCCCAGCACCTGTGGCCTAGACTTCAGCATCGATTGATATAGCGAGTCGGGAATGTTATATGTATCATAATCGCTAAAAAGTGTACCATAATCAGGGCCCACCATCTCCTCTTCAATATCTGAGTCTCTAGGGGATGCGGTTGCAAGGATTTCTCGGTGTCTAGCTACCTCTAGGACTGGATCATATCCTGAAGTGAAGCCTTGTGCTTGCCTATCTTGTCTGTCATCTGCGATCAACCCAGGCGGTTGAGTCTCACCAAGTATCGTGGTCTGCTTGAAGTCCACCTCGGAGCCGTCTTGATGGATCGAAAAGTCGTGGCAGGGAATGAAGTATCTCTTCCCCAAGTGCTTCCAGTCGATCGCTGTCCTCCTTTGCAACCTGGTCGGCAGCGAGCTTAAGCCGGTGGTTTCCTAGTATCCTTCCAACATCTTCCTCCAAGTCTGAAAACGTCTTGTCTCCCCGACGTGAAAAGGCCCAGGCACGCCGCTGCAGCCAGCGAAGGGCACCGCAGAGATTCCCTTGGCCCCCACACAGCTTGCATTTCCTGCAGTCCATGTAAAGTGATCTTGTGCGAAAGTCCGTTCACCTCTAGACTTCTGTCTATGTAGTCGCGCAAAAGCGTTTCGGCTTCGTCCCATCGATGCTGTTTCTGATAGACCAAAGCGAGGGGGGGCTGCCAGTCAAGCGTCGTGGGATCATCAGCACCAAGGAAACGCCTTTTCTCGTCGAGAATGGCTCTGCGCAGTTTTTCGGCTTCATTCCAACGTTCCCCGCGGATCGCATGATTTCTCAGAAACCCCATTCCTTCCCAGGTCTCGGGTCGAGTCGTAACGAATGTCCGCTTCTCGAATAATTCGCGATAAAGATCGAATGCCTCCGGGCGGTGGCCTTGATGCATACACATTGCAGCAATGTTTTCCATGGTGCTCAATGTCTCAGGGTGACCATAAACGTTATTGTCTCTTCTGATATCGAGACATTGCCGGTATAGTACTGAAACTTCACCCCAGCGTGATTTCGCTTCATAAATTTGTGCAAGATGGTCAGTGATGCTTAGAGTGCCTGGATGCGCTTCACCCAAAATTCGTTTGGAGGTGATAAAAGCCACGCGGTAGAGTTCTGCGGCATCAACCCATGGTCCTTCTATCTCATCGTCAATAAGGCCTGGATTGATTGTCCGGACCCAAGAGGTATTTCAAAATCGGTGTCACAGCCGTTTAACAATCCCTAGCTCTTCATTTACTCTGGGATGCTTGGGCAACAGATCAACCACTTCTTGGTATCCCACTTTAACAGCATAGTCTAGAGCCGAACGTCCTTGCGAATCTCTCCAGCTTGGATCAATGCCTCCGTCGAGGAGGTACCGGACCGCAGCCTCTTGTCCACTCTCGGCAGCGTGAGATATGGTGCTGCGACGATCTGAATCTACCTGATCAAGGTCGAGTGGTGCATGATTCAATAGAAAAAGAACAATTTCAAGAATACCCACTTGTGCTGCAAACGATAGTGACGCCCCTCCCTTAGTGTTAAGTTCGTCCAAAGTTGAGCCACGATCTATAACCAGCTTGATTATTTCTTTGCCTGCTGGTGACTTAGCGGCGAATGACAATAGCGCCTATCCATAGGCATCAAGTACCTATATATTGACAGGGGGGTCGCTTTCTAGAAACCTAGAAACCATAGCCTCATTTGGAGCTTTTGAACTTGCTGCCCATGATAAAGGAGCCCGCCCATGAGGACCCGTGTGACGGACATCGGCACCACGAGCGAGCAGAGGCTTGATGATGCCCAGGTTAGGCTTATCCGAATCCACGGCCAAGGATAATGGTGTCAGTCCACCATTTGTGGTATTGACATCGGCGCCACGATCGAGAAGACTTCCGGGTCGCATATTCAAGATCTTATTCAAGGAAACTACGGGTTTCTTATGAACCAGATTCCTGACCCAAGAGCCGAAATGACATTCAGTGGAACGGAATTACGAATGAGGTTCCTGTGATTTGGCATTTGATTCGAGTGTTTCGAGACGTTGGGGTACCCAGTATTATACTCCACCATTTGGCGAGATTTGGGAAGCAATCGGGCGAATCTAGCCCGTCGACGGCGGGGGACGCGATCCGGACCCATGTGGCGTGAACAGGTCTGGTCGTGCATCTGGAAAGCTAAAACAAAAGGTAAAACTTTGTTGCTTTTCAGTTTCACACGAGCGGAATGAGCCAGAGCTGTGTGACAGAGCTGTATTTTTCATCCATTCACCTTTCACCTTTCACTTTCTGCTATCACATCTCAGCCTCACATCACCTTTCCCACTTGCCGCTTCAATTCCTTACCACGATCGTTTTGTCACTCGTTCATCACCCTGGCCTTGTTCTCTCTCCCTGCTTAGACGTTGGAACCCTTACACGGAGCCTATTGCTGCGACCAACGCTAATTGGCTGCCAACCTCTACCCTGCGGAGCGAGTCGATCAACCTTGACAGGGACTCGCTGGCGGACGGAACTCCTGAGGATCTGAGCTGGTGGAAGTGAACCAGCTTCGTGATCGAAGGCGAATTGCCAACTTTAGGCTCCGTCGCATCTTGACCTGGGATGGTCATGCTGCCGATCTCTGTGTGATCTCAAACCTCTCTCACTCCCTCTCCGTTTCGAAAACTCTTATATTTGCGCGTTCTGTTCCTCTGCTTCAGAGCCCGACATTCGTTTCGAGGGATACCCCGCGAGAGCTGTGCAGCCACTGTACGACTCGATTTATACCAGGATTAATATCCACATACCCCGTCTCTAAGAAAATCTCCGAATCGCTCCTACCTGTTTGGACCTCCAGATTGGAACCATTATCACCATGGCGCCTGGTCGAAGCGACCAATTCGACGATGAGCCCGACGAGCCCGTCGTCTCACAGGCCAGCGAACCACCCACTCACCCCCTTCCTGCTATGCAAGGACCCTTCGAAGAATCCATTGTCGAGTCAATCGAAGAACCGCGTGAACCAGCCGACACGAAGTTCGACAACGCGAACCCCAAAGAGCGATGGATGCGAACGCTCGAACGCGATGACTGGAACGGATCGTACAATTTCCAATGGCGCAACAAGTCGAGTCGGCGATACCATCCGCTATGGAAGTTGATGGCGCAGATCGTGTTCGGGATCCACCTTCTACAAAATCAGCTGGCGAAGAGTGATGATGAGGTCCTAAAGATCCTGCAAGTGCATTTGAATGAGATCGACATGTTCATTGTGCGCACGACGGAGGACTTTGAGACGGCCGCGGCGGATATCAAGGAGAGGGTGAGCTTGTTGAAGCTGCCTTTGCAGCATACGGGGATGTTTGACCGGATGCTGGATGACCGACATTTCCGTGCGTCGATCATTCGGGGCAACGAGAGTATCTACAAGATTGTGGACCGGTCTGCGAGGGCGATGAATGATTTGCTCGTGGATGTGAACAACGGGCTTGAGGCGACCAGTGTCCTGGCAAAGTTTCTGGAGCAACTTGGCGACGACTGGCATGGGAATGATGAGACTCTATTGGAGGTATACACGTCTATGTGCGGGAATGCGGAAGGATGGTTCATGGCATTCAAAGAGCTGGAGAAGGCCGGGAATGGTCTGGGTGTCTTGCTGGTACAGCTGGGAAGCCTTGTCAACGAGATGTCAAAGCGTGTTGGTGTCGCTAGTAGGAGAAGTATTGTAAGTGTTTTTTTGCATGTTTATATCCATTGTTCGTATTTGCTGATCATTACAGTTCTCGCATCGCTCTGGTTCGGATGGGAACGCTAGCCCCTGGTCCCAGAGCTCACCTCCGCAATCTCGAGGGACTAGAACTCCAAGCTACGACAAGCCACTTCCCCAGAAACCCGACCAACAAGATAGCGCGGTTCAGAACGCTCACCCCGTTCGCAGGGATTCTATCCCTTTGGAAAAACGATTCGAAAATCCGCGAAAGCAGCCCCAACCCCCCGAGCGCATATCGTCAGCACAACAGCCAGGGCAAGAACTAGCCCCTAGCCCTCAACGGAACACCAAAGAGCTGGTTGAATTCTTCCGTCCCAATGCCCTCGTTCGGGGCCCCGGACATGCGCAGCGAGAACCGCCGAAAACTGCACCAGAACGTGCAGCTACTCGCGACGCCCTTGAAACGGGTCACGAATCCGATACACCAACGGCAAAACCCAAACGAAAGCCATCAAAACTTCGCAAGAAATCCCATGACATGCTTCGAAAGGTGTCGCAACGCAAGGCACAAGTGCCCCCAACTATTGCTACTGCCACTTCTCCTACAATTGCCCCGGATTCTGCATATTCGTCTGGCTCTGATTATGCCCAAATGCAGGCAATCGCACGAGCGAGTGCCGAAAGCTCAGCGCAACTAAAGAATCCAGCGTCACCGCCGGCGGCGAACAAGTTGGCGAGCCCTTTCCAGCCATCGTCTGTGCAATCCACGAATCGCAACAGCACCAGTGCGACGCCAATTGCACTCCACCCCGCGAACACCACGAACAACACGACAGCACAGACTTCCCGCGCTGTCTCTCACGCCGAAGCCCCAGCTCCAGCATCCTCTAATCAAGACAGCAATATCTCCAATAAGCCCCCCTCCAACTCCTCCCGCCCATCGACTCCCACACCAACCTCACAACCGGCCCAGGCAAACCAACCAGACCGCTCGGCCACTAGCTCCCCTTCCCCAAGCCAACCCTACCCCACACGCACCAGCAGCGTCCGTGTTCCTCCTAACCACCCCATCATGACCCCCCCATCTCCCCACGTCACCGCGTCCGCAATCGCGAGCCCACAAACCACCCGTCCCGCAACACCCAGCACACCCCGCCTTGCGCTATTCCCACGCCCCTCCACGCCTCGTCGGACGGTTAGCCAGGATAGCACTTCGGGGGTGGCGACGACGCCGAGGCATGAAAAGGCAACGGTCGGAGGAAGTGCGTTGAGGAAGGAAGTAGGGAAGGATAGTCCTGGCAAAATGAACGCGAGAGAGGAGTCTGGGACGAAGCAAACGCAGTTCGATGACACGCTGTTTGGGAGCATGACAGCGACGGCGGAGCCGGGATCGCGCGCGGTATTCCAGGAAGGTGGAGCGAGCGCAAATGGGAGTGGGGATAGAGGCGGGACGAGTCCGGTGATTGGGTCTAGGAAGGATAGGAGTGGAATTGTGAGTAAGAATGGTGGGAACGCGAGTAGGGACGCGGAGAAGAGCGCGACGAACGGGTACGAGACGCCGAGTCCTAAAGACGCAGGGCACATGAGGAAGAGGGGCAGCTTGAGCTCGATCAAGCGCATCTTTTCTAGGAGGAAGAAAGAGGAGGTTGTAGGCGGCGGTTATGGAACGGTGGGGAGGGGCATCGGGTTGGATGAAGTGGCGGAGGGTGTTTGAGGCTTCTTTAATTCCTCCTGAACGCCATGTCAAGACTGTTTTGATTGCTAGGGGGGCTTTTGGGAGGGACGGATCTTGTTTCCACCTCCCCGATTTTGGCCTGTCCTATCGACGCCTTTGTTTCTCTATATGCGCGCTTGGACATGATGGCCGAGTTGAACGAAAAGCGATGGTTTTTGCTTCAGCACTTCCTGGGGGTTTCAAGTCGATTTCTTCTCTTCTCAGTCTTCTTGTCCGACTATACCCCCTATTGCGTTGGCGTTTGTTCTGATGAATTGGAAGACCCCTGATGATGTCGCCGCTATGAGCGGAATGAACCACGCAGCCTCGTTAGCTTTATATGAGGATTAGGTGTTCAACGATCCATCACTTGATTTCTTTTTCGCGTTTCTCAGTTGTCATCGTGCCACGTGATTTTCGTCACCTCCTTCCTTCATCTCAACATCGTGCCTTCCAGATGCAGAAGTTGCGGTACCTCCGTCCTAAACCTTAATTATACTTCCTCTTCATGCCTCTTTCTCACCGCCACATCAATCTTCCGAATGAATTGTGTCGTTCACACTGTAAACTAACATCACGGTGACATTCAAACTCCGTCCATCTCGACCTTCCGAGCATAAGCAATTTGTCGATTGATTTGGCTTTGAAGCTGACGTCTGGTCTACATGATTTCATATGGTGAGTGTTCTCCTCTTCCTCAGCTCAGACTCCGGTTACTCACGGGCCTGCAATTCTAGGTATCCATACTTGCTGTTCGTTGTATCGAAGGCAGTGACTCCTCGCAGCTGTACTTCTTCAGCGCTCAGAATGGCTTTGGTCGAGCGTAATCCCAATACCCTCGGTGGCCGTAACAGCTATGCCTCTGACTTCTCAACACAAGCGAAAGCTGGCTCTCCTGTGGATGGCAGCAAAGGAGACACTCCATCCTTGGCCCCGGCCGTTCTGAACATGCTCACGACCTCCACTGGCATTGGAGATCTCGATGGTCGACTTCCAGGGACTTCACGGAATTCACACCACGGTCATCATGCTTGGCTCTCCACATCCTCTGCTCCTCTTTTTCAACCGGAATGGAGCCATTCAGCACCGGGAAGCCGATCGATGTCCCCGACGACCAATATGCAACGATCCTCCACAGCATTGTCCAACCCTTCTTTGACGAGTTTAAGTGATCATGACCCGATCCCGAGACAGACGTCTCCGTACCACTATTCGACGAGACTCAAACGATCCGGATACCGTCCTGCTTCTATGACCTTGAGCCCACACGAGCAATACCAAGAGTACAGTGTTGACAGGAATCAGCACAATGGCTTGAACGACCAGCAGGGAAATTCATATCAAATTTCCTCAATGGACTACGAAAACCCCAGTGGCTACGAACGTACCCCTCGCCTTGTCAGAGATGCTGGAAGCAACTCGTGGACACCCAAATCCTCGGCATCTCCGCACACTCCTGGAGGTGTGATGCCACGCCGTTCGCTGGGGCCACTCAGGCGAACGAGAGTCATATCTACACCGATATTGCCTTTCCACTCGTCCGGCCAAATCAATGAATATGGCATGCCAAGCAAGAATACCGCCAACATTAACCCGCCGGAGTACTACGACTACAGCGAGCAGTTCGAAGGATGCCAAGAGAAGGTTTCGTCCTGTGTCAAGGACGAGCTAGTCCCTTCGCCAACTCGACTAGGTGATGGAATGCGGACGTGCCAGATTACAAGGGACAAGATACTCGAGGCTATCGGTGCAAGCCCACAGCTTACAAGCACTACCGAATGGTGTGGACGTGCACTCACAACCGAAACTGAAGCCAAAACTGATCGAAGTATAACCAATCAGCCCACCTCTTGGTCGAAAGAGTCAAATTCTCAAGAGCAGGCCAGACCCGAGGGGCTAGCTCTTACTCGATCTGCGAGCTCAATCTATTCAGATGATGCTCCGACTGCCTCTTCTAGGTTTAGGTCATCGGATTTCGACGCAGTTTTCGCGCCTGTCCGACAACATGACATTCGAGGATATGTTGCGAGCTGCCCGGTGCCTCATTCGCCTCCTGGTCCCACAATGGCTAACGTGGAGGCTTCTCGACATCCGGATCCGGCAGCTAATGAGAAGGAAGTCACCCATGTCACGCCTGGATCACGGAGTTCCAGTCGTGCTGCTTTTGCGAGGAATTGGCACCAGGAAGAGAACATCGATGGAGGCACGATGTCGTCAAGGTCGACCATGCGTTCTGCGAGACCATCCGAGCCACAGAGCAATCATTACGATAGTGTGGAGGATATTAGACGCGACAATCAATCCCCCGGCATGCACTCACACCGTCGTCACTCACCCGAGTTGGCCAAAGAAGTTCGCTTTTCTCATAATCGAACCCATACGGCTGGATCTGGTCTGCCTCGGATCAAAGAGAGGCCCAGTATGGAGCTGGGCCTTGTCGGCGGGAGTAGCAAATCCACGAACCGCATTTCCATTGCTACGATGCCGGAAGTTGTTACTCAACTTCATGAGACAAGACAACGACCGAGGCTAGGCGTGCGGCCACCACAGGGGCAATCAGCCTTTCGTCATTCTACGAGCGGCATTGATGACATGAAACCTATCCTTTCGATGGAATTCAGCAATTCAAACATAATGACGCAACTCAAAGAAGAGTTTCAACTCCGGACTCCCCGCTCGCTTGATGAACTCGGGCTGAATTTCGATGATATGGGCAAGACCACAACTGGACCTGACAACAAGCCAAAAACCCAACACGAATCTGTTTGCAGTTCTGAGTCGATCCACGAGAAATACAAAAGCTTCTTCGCCGGACTTGAGGAGATGGACACATCTCTGGGAGACAATAGCTCTATCTTTGACTCCGCACGACTGGACCAAGGCACAGAGGTTCTGAGGCTTGAGGGAGTTGGCAGGGCCAGGGAGCCAAAAATCAGCACTGAAATGAGACCACGGCCATTGAGTCTGAGGCCCATCATGGGCCCTGAAGAACTGATTTCAGAGGTCAGTCAGGTCTCCATTCCGTCAGTCAGCGACTTGACACGGCGTCTTTCTGAGGTTTTGCCGTCCTTGCAGAAGTACCTGACCGATGTGGAGAACACCTCCGAAGATGAGGTCAACAAAACCATTCAAGAGATCAAGGCAATCGGAGACTCTGGACCAAGCCACGAACCCACGAACCCAGCAAGCTTGGCCAACGGACGGAAGAGTTTGGGGACAGATGTCATCGAAATGAAAGAGCATGGCAACATGAGTGATTCGCGTGAGAATAACTTCGAGGATGACCTTTCCCGGACTGCGTTTGCTCGCAAGACACCTGTCGCCGAGCTCGAGGCTACTCCCCTTACCGGGCACGCTGCAAATTCATATGTCCGCACAATGGCTGCTCATCGAAGCGACAGGTTTGAAGATCCTGATTCACACCTTAATAGGCCTCAAACAAGTTCGTCGGCACCTTGGAATAATGATTCCAATTACCCCTGGACCGAAAGCGCCCCTGATATTAATGTCTGTCTCCCGAGGACACCACCGGAGCTCACAACTCACTTCGGGACTCGAGCTCAGCTCCACGGTGTTAACATGATAGAAGGCAGCACTGTTGAGAACGAAGGACCATTGGCAGGGACCGAAGAGGTGGCCATGAGAAATACTGAGCACGGTATCTTCCATGCGATCTCTCGTAGACTCGGCCATCATCACCCGCAGGATATCAACGCCCACCATGCCATCACTCCTACCGCTGGCCCTTCCACTCCTCGTCCTAAAGTTAGCAATGCCCCCATCCCACTTGACCACTTCGACTACAGCGGCTATGGAAACCGCTCAGATGCCCTCTGCATCGACGATCCCGGCGTCGATCCAGGGGATCGCTACCCCACCACAAGCCTCTCCCCTCCCACCGCCACCAACCTAGATGATGTGCGCTCCTACTTTTCCGACGACAGCGAACGTCCCGCCAAGCACCGCAGCTCCTTCCGCAAGCGTTTGTCCAACTTCCATCCCCATATCTGCTCCGGCAATGCTCGCCGTGGACCTGCGCTCTCTGGCCTAGGAGCCTCCGCTATCAACACCGGTCCACAAAGCGAAGACATCCCAATGGAGCCAAATGGGAGCGCCATGAAAATTGGCAACGGCGGACCAGATAAGACGACGATGACGGCACCGACTGAGATGGTTCACATGAATAATGGTATTTCTAAGGCCGACTCTCAGCCACGCAAGCTTGAGAAGGGACTGAAGGCCATGTGGCGTCGTAGTGGGAAACTAATTCGCAGCATGGGTGGAAAGTTGAGGAAGGAGCGCATGGAGGATCATGCGTGAATCCGGCCGCATGCCACAGCACATCAAGAGGAGGACAGTGTCGCAAGGTGCCCCTGTTGATTTCTAACATAGTACTGCCACGCAACATTAATTTCACTGCCTATTAGGCTATTACCCCTAGGCTAAGCCTATATCGGACTGCTCAGTCCTTTCCTATATTTACATATCTTCAACTGTTTCGCCAGCGGGATCTCTTTTCTAGACAATGGGAATCGTCAATACCAATTTGCGTTAATTAGTTATGACTCTACAGTAACTGAGCTTAAGCAGTGAATGTGCTTAATCATCACTCCCGCTATATGCGACACCTACTTCGTATTAATGCACTGCAGGGGCGAGACTTGGGTTTTCTCCCGCCGCCGCACCGCTAAGGTGCAACTGCGAGATAAATAGCGGTTTCGCTCAATCAGGTGATTAATGCAGCGACACGGTGGGAAAACCCCGTTAGATCCCAAAAGAGCGTAGATCGATTGAACTTGATCCTGCAGAGCCGGATCCTACGAAAACAGGCTGTTCCTGCAGCTATTATATATGGTTTACAATGGTGATCTATTCCCTAAAAAGGGAAAGAATAGGGGTATAGAATCGAATACGGAATGAAGCCGTGAGGAAACGCCAAGAAACACGGATATTCTGTGACAGGAGAAAGTCCGACAAGTCTCTCGTCTAGAAAGCACACCTGACCGCTCGGCTATCTTCAGATCCTTCGTCATCTTCATGGTCCGATTCGTCGTTATCAGTTGTATCTGAAGCGGCAGCCAGATCCGGCTCCGCATCTCCACCCCAGCCTGAAGACCACCTGGCACTGGCCTCCATGTCGTAGTTGTTTTCATTGAGCATACGATATCCATCCTTCCATTTACGAATGTTCATCGCAAAGACACGGTTACGTGTTCGCTCCCAGTCAATTTTTCCAGCAATCTCGAATGTCCCGAGGCAGTCCCAGTACATGTTGCCTCGAAAGGTACCCTCGTCAAGAAACTGGAGCTCCATCTCGTTCTCTGAGTTGTAACTGGACTCGCCGTCGCCCGTTTGTCGACCGCGCCAATGGAATTTGATCTTACCAGTCGGTGGTTGTGGTAGTGTTTCAGATCGTAATTTGCCAGTAAATATACCGAAATCAAAGTCACCCCAAATGTGACGCCCGCTTTGAGATTGACAAAGGCGAATCCGCAAGGTGTTTGGTACACTCCAGCCTTTAGAGATTTCAGGAGCAATAACTGTGAATGCTGCACCCCCAATAAGCTTTGTTGGGAACTTCTATTTTAATCGTTAATCCTAGCCCTTGATAGAGCGGCCGATTGGCTCCACAAGATACTTACAAGCAGTTCGGATTTCTTGGGCTTTTTGGTAATGGTGTTGAGGATCTCGTCTTCATCTCTCTTGCGCTTCCGGTCCGCTTCCTCATTGGCCTTCTTTTCTCGAGCATCAATATCGGCTATCTTTGCGTCATATTCAGCTTTCTTGATTTTGAATTCATCTGCGAGCTTTGCTTCAACCTCTATAACTGCTGATGGTATAATGAACTTGTCGTCGTTAGCTTTCGCAAAAGCAAGCAATGCCTTCTTTGCAGCGGCCTTATCAGACTTCGATAGAAGGCCATAGTGAATGCATTGTGCGCTATAAAACCTCTCCGTTTCATCATTATGTGGCGGCGGCTGATGGACTCTTGGTTTGCCTTTCTTGGTGAGAAGAGGGGGTGGTTGAACGTAAGTTAGCAGGTAGAGTAGACGGTCAGAGTCGCAACGCGCGATGCCATCAACCTCAAGATAGCCTCTGTTGTCCCATGGCTGGATATATTTAAATGGACCAAATGAAGGCTTCGGAAAACGTAGTGCTATTCGTTCCCTATAGAAGTCCATTGCGTTGTTTAGGGCCTGACGAGATGCCAAGAAGGTTTGTTATGTGGACTTGCGTAATAGAAACTTTTTGACGTGTTGATAGCGGCTATTCCTTGGCGAATGCTCAGCCAAAGAGAAGAAAAAAAGGTTCTGAAGAATAAAAATAATTAGACAGAGGTCGGTGATAGTATAAATTAAAAGGATTCAAGGTCAGATAATCGTTGTCGAATCGCTATTAACGAGCAAGGAGAGAAGAGGTGTCACATGATCCGGGATATCTCTCCTCCATCACCGAGACGCCCAGTAATGCCTTTCTCCATATTCTCGTATCGTGCCGTCTCTTTGTACGACTGAAGGACTTATCTACCAATTACCTCCAGTTCCTACCTTCTATCTGTCTATATGGACTTATTTGCTTCGTTATTTCGGTATATCTCGAGGTCCCTACCTCTGCGAGGTCTTCAAAAGAGAGATCTGTCCAAGGGAGAAATCTCACCAGCCAATTTTATTTCCTTTTCGGGATTTCGCTTCGGACAACTGGTGTTTTTCTATTCGGCAGAATTTAATGGGAATATGGGAATTGCACACATGGACTCCCAAGGGGCATCCTGAAGAGCATGGTATCGTGACATACCTGTACTTAACTAACTTAGGGGAAAGTATTTATTATTGAATCGTGAAATGAAGCTCGAGTGTACTGTAGTTACTTGCATTAAGTTAACTTAGTTAATCAAATGAGGATCCATCAAGAATGGCTGTGCTCTCAATGGTGTCCCATAAAAATCACGCTTTCCGAATTCCGAGACCCTGAGGTCCCTCAAAACGTCATTCCTCACACAATACCCTCTGCACTCATGGTGATAATGCTCCTGACAGAAAGATCCTGGTTACGCTGGCAACGATGCTTAGGAGGGTCCAATTGAAAGCTGCGCAGATTAGAGCCCCCTGTCCAGGTATCTGTGATCATCCAGTCAGGAATTCACAGACAGGGAAATTCGGATTGTTGATGAACATGTGGTGGAGAGACTGAGAGTGACACATTAGATGTCATAGATATATATACACTATGATAGCTATAGAGTGTGGCATTCTTCCGTAGAAAACACTGCCGATGTCCTCGGAAATGATTACCTTCGCACTCGACTGTGCTCTTTCTGATAAAAGCATCCCATTCAGAAGCCTTGATGCCTGTTTCAGCCTTAAAAGACACTTGATGATTTGATATTCTATCAGCTCGGCGCCATGGTGTCGTCAAAAGATGGTTTCTTAGGCCACTTCCGCCACAGCTTTGCGCAACTCGGGAGATCGTACGAAGAAGAGCCATCGCAGTCAGATCAAGTCTCCTCCAGTTCCTCCACACAATCCTTGCCTCTTTCCACTTCCGAAATACCCCCCGCGTTTCAAAACATTGACTACCGAGCTTCCATATCTTCCAACGTGCAACGTTACTCCGACCAGAGTTCCGCTGTTTTCAAAAAAGCCAAGGCTTTCTACCACCGCAAGCACATTAGTATCACCAGTCGCTTACAGCAAGGCACCGGAGCCGACTCCGATGACGAACTGACAGACTTGAGCGACCCTACACGCGCTGGAAGCGTGCAAGAACCCGAAACACCATCTCAGGATAGCCGGATAGAGCTACCAAGGTCGGCAACATTTCCCTCTCCAGCGCCCAAGGATATTCATGGCCGAGAAGATCAACGACCAACTCTGTCCCGAAGAGATACACTCGCCAGGCTAAGAAGACACTCCCATCTTCTCCCCGGGCGGTCATCGCACAGCTCAGGAGACTTGCGTCGTTTGCTAAATAGGCAATCTGACGGTGGACTAACTGGTCCGGATACGACGATGCCGCAGCGACCTCAACCACCTGGATTCGTCGTGCCGCGGAATAGGGATCGGCGGCCGAGGCCAACGAGGCAGAAGACGGAGACACAGATGCGTCAGCGGGTGGATAGCAAGTTGGCAATGTCACCAGAAAGGCCTCCTGTGGAACTGCCCACCCGGGCGTTGTCGACATCGTCACTCAGGCTCAAAAAGCTTCCTAGTCTGGGGTTCTCCTTCGAGCCGAAATATAAGAAATGGTCGATAGATGGAGGGCCGCTTAGCAAGAAGAAAACACGGTCGATGAGCAATATGGGTCATGAGCGTGTGGCGGAGCAGGAAGGATTGTTTGAGGAGTCGCTGGGTCATGAGCGTGTGGCAGAGAAGGAGGGATTGTTTGAAGGTTCGTTGGATAATATGTGATAGTCTAGAACACTGCGCCGCCGATGAGGAAGAGGCGGTTTTCTTCTTTGCGGACCCAGCTTACCAACCGGCTAGCTGCTTGCGCGAGAGCGGTTCGTGGAGTGTGGGCTGGCGCGACGGCATACAACTCGAATGTGGGGGCGCTCCAGGCCAGACTGATGTGGGTTGGAGTGATGGCATGATGAATTTTTGGATGGGTTGGTTTTGTATGAAGGGTTGCGTGAAGATGGGAATACAACGTATGAAGCCTGTTGGATTATGTGAGTACTTTAGGTACGATTTATGGCCGGAGATGGACACGATGGACGTACCTTCTTTTCTCGATCTCGGTTTCAAAACTTGGCTCGTACGATGGCATGGCGAATTGGACATTGTTCTTTGACTTGTAGAGAAAGTGCCTTAAGACTGAGCCAGGAAGGATATCGGTGCACGATGGTCTTCCTCTTTGAACCGCTTGTCGTATCACCTCAAGACTGCCATTCTTTCTCAACTGTTCCACGAGCTCATGGCGCATGTCCTGCAGGTCAAAGAACCCCTCCTTATTCGCACTGATGAGGATAATGGCCACCTCCTCTTCCCCGGAAGACGTTGAAGGCCGTTCAGTGACGTCCTCGGAGAATTTGTCGAGGTTAAGGAAGCTGACGTACATGTATAGGTAGCCGGTATTATTAAAACCTGGAAGACAAAGGGGGATCCAGTTTTCACCACCTCCTGCTTTGACACTTCCGGCTTCAAACAGCATGTTGAAAATAAGCTGCAGGTCTCCGGGATGCAGGGAGTGTTTTTTCGGCCGTACAACGCTGACAAGCCTCCCACCAGCTACAATCAACCCGTAGAGAAGGCTCGAAGAGCGACTCTTAAGAAACGTGTTGTTGATTGTAGTTCGATGAGCCTTGCGCATCCGCAAACACTCTAGTGCGGAAAGCAGGGTGGAGGGCGAGCCTCTTGTGAAGCCATCGGCGAGAGCAGAGAGTAGCATCTCTGTCCCTTGAAGGGGTCTTCGTAAGTCGGTTGATGGGCGGTTTGAAAACATGCGCTCCATGTTCGGAAGGGTTAGTGTCGACAGTATCTGCATATACAGCGCCTCGAGCTGGATCCTTAACTGTGAGTCACTTTCTCCAAGCCGACTTATTGCGACGAGGTTAAGGTACCCCTTCGAAATGATCACAAAACGGACATCGCCAGCCGTGAAGCTCTTGAGGACATCGTTCGTGCTCTGGTAGAAAGATATGATGGTTTGTATGACTCCGATATTGCTGGCGATGAGTTGGCCATCTCCATGGCGGCTCCATATCGGTTTCCCGGCAGATGAGAGGATGAGAAAGTGTTTGAGCTTAGAATTCCATTGTTTGATGACTGCATCTATATGTACAATCAGAATCGTGTATGGCAGTCTCAGCGCATTGTTGGACCAACCTCCATTCGAGCCATCGGATTTCATCTCCTCAAGTTCCTCGAACTCCTCCTTAAACGCCTTCTCGAAGTTTGCATCTTCCTGGAAGAGCTCATCCGCCGAGGCACTCATACCGTGAGATTCCAACAGCTTCCAGGTTGTGTTTTCCCTGCCCGCTAAGACATCACCTAGTAGACTCTCCACGTCTTCCGCTTCTAACGTAGGAGCAACGCTCCATGAGCTACGGGTACTCTTCACGCTCCTTATGCTGGCGGTATCACCAAAATCATTGCTTCCATGCCTTGAACTTGGCAGTGTTCGTGGATCTAAGTGTGATTCGCTGTGGATATCCACCGACGAAAGGGCCGTAGTGGCTTTAGAGGATAGAGAGGGGCGGGTGCTGCTCGATGTCGTTCGTTGAGTCCCGGGCGGGGCATCGTTGTGGAGATCGAAGACACGCTTTGCACGAGGCGGAAGTGGTGGAGGTGTTCCTTCTCTTGACGTGTCTTCGTGAGAGGATGGATCGCTCCCTTTCGATAGCGAGCTCGATGCATTATCGACAAGCTGGATCTTCGAATTGCCTTGCGGCAGGTCGGGCAATCCGATGGGAACTAGCTGTTCTTCTGCCATTGAGGATCATGTTCACAGGCTCACCGAGATACACTCCTGGCAAGGACAGTTGTAATGCATATTTGATGCTTCGTATCAGTTGTGATTGTGATGGGCGTATTGTCATATCGAGATGAGGTTCAAAGGTGGCACGTCATTGGTCCCTTGATCCTTGCACTGACGTCGCGTTCAAAAGTCGCGGCTTCGAATTCCACGATACGTCGCATCTTCACCTCAAGGCAGCCAAGTATAATGATACTTATTGAACCCTGAAGTTGTAGAATGCTTCTCGATGCGCTTCACTACATATATCCGTAATGTCTCTTGACCCCTCGGTCAATCAGACCCTCCATACTCCACCGACATCGGGAAGGTCGTCCCCGGTCTTCCCTCTACCACGTAGAAATGTCGAGGACGGTATGTCGTTCGGGCTGTGATTTAGTGCTCACAATCTAGGTTTGCTAACGATAAATTGAAGGAGATTGGAGGAAAGACAAGGCATTCCGCCGATATGCCTCCGGTGTTGACCGTGCGCTCGCGGTATACGATAGCCCGCAGCAAGAATGGGCGGACTATATATCATTCCTGGGGAAGCTGCTGAAGGTATTTGTGTCTTGATATACCGAAGGAGAGAAAAATGAGGCTGATTTCCCCCTTCCGGATGAGTGACAGGCATTGCAAGCTCACCCACCAGGAGTCAAAGAGGTTGCTCATAAGCAGACTCTTTCGTCGAGGCTTGCACTATGCATGAACCCAGCATTACCTTCGGGCGTGCACCAGAAGGCACTGGAAGTGTACGGATACATATTTGCTACCATAGGAGTATGTATGATGGCCACTCTCTATAGCAAAGACCTAACGGCAAATAGAGAGACATCCTCGCACGCGACCTCCAGCTATACCTGCCAGGAATCGTCGCAACTCTTAATTTCGCCTCTCTAACAGTCAGACCCCTATTTTTATCGCTGTTTGAGACCTATATCCTTCGATTGGATTGCGAGGCAATCAGACCGGCACTGAAATCAATCATCCTCAGCCTACTTCCGGGGCTAGAAGAGGAGACTAGCGAAGACTTCGATCGAGTACTGCGCGTTGTTGACGGTGTCAGGAAACGGCTCAGAGACTCATGCGATATCTCCGAAGGGGAAGACCCTAATTCGAAAGACTCGTTCTTCTGGCAATGCTTCTTTCTGGCCACTATAACTTCCACGTCGAGACGGCAAGGCGCTTTGGCCTTTCTAGTGCGCTTTCTCCCGAAGTTCCAATCGAAGGCCTCACAAAATGGGGGAGCTCAGGAATCGGAGCTCACCCAGGCGGACCTGTCACCAGCGGCGCACGCCGTCATTTCGCCCGAACCGGGCTTGTTGGTACGGTGCTTTGCCGCAGGTCTGTTGGATCGACAGCTCCTGGTACAGCGAGGATTCCTTGACTTACTCGTCACGCATATTCCGTTGGACTCCCCAGTCCTCCAGAAAACAATCCAGAAGGAAGATCTCGAGCGACTGGTTATGGCAGCAACCAATGTCGTTACCAGGCGTGACATGAGCCTTAACCGAAGGCTCTGGGCATGGTTCCTCGGACCCGAACCGAAGCCTACTGAACAAGAAGGTCGACCAATGTCTCAAGAGCTCAAGAAAGTCTCCTCTTTCGACCCTGCCGCACTCAGCGCGGCGTACTTCGCACAATACGGCTGCCAATCATTATCCAGCGGGATTCTCAAAATGATTCGACAGGAATCCTCATCTGCCACAGAAAAGGCACGACCTTTCAGGATGTGCTTATCGCTCATGGATCGGTGGGAGGTCGGCGGACTCCTTGTCCCTGAGATATTTCTCCCCGCGCTTGAAAGCGTGTTAGAATACCACTCAACGGCGGAGTCAGAGCAGCTAGATGAGGTGATGCGAAGCGCAAACGTCTTCTTCGATGGCGTAGAAAGCGGTCTCATTTGGAGCAAATTGTTTGAGCTTATTCGCGACGCTTTCACCAAGTCTGAACTCAGCAAAGAGGAGAGGCAGCATAAATTGGAACTTTGCCGATTTGTCGTACACCGCTTCAATATTCGCGAGGAGGAAATGCTGCTCTACCATATACCTATGATCTGTCTGGCACTGCTTGTTGCCCTCGAAGATACCGATCAAGGTTCCGCCATTGGTATCGACGCTGCGGTTTCTTTGACCGGACTCAACATTCTGGATGCCCTGATAAATTTATTGCCAGCTAGGGCATTCACAATGAGCGACAAAAGTCAACTTGACTCCGATACGATTGGCAAGGTTGTAATCCTTAAAGCCATATCATCTTTCTACGACGAAAGCCAAGGAAACCTAGAAGTTGCAGAGAGTCCATTCAGCGGACTGTTTGTCGGGAGCATGCTATTACGCTACGCATGTGTCGTTTACATGAAGTTTCTATCGAACTCGGAAACAGGCGACCTCGAGATTCCGACAAGAGTCCTTGTGTCACTGGTCCAAAAAGTGTCCAACTCATCAACAGCGTTGCGACGACTTGGATTCGCAGACCTTCTGCTGAAAGCATTGAAACCGGAAATATTGCATGGGCTGTCTTTGAATTTACCGTTCGCGATCCTGAACTCAGTGTCTAATGCCATCGCCTCTCTACAACGACCGGCTGTTGGAAACGCTTTCTTCCAGCCGACAGAACTAGTACCCGTCCTGGAGTCCTTGCTAGGGCACATATGGCGCTATCTTTCTCCAAGCAACCCTCGATACCACGTTGAGGCAGTTCGGTGCTTTTGGCAACTCGAGAGCGTAACCTCCGAGGAGCGTTACGTCGAGGCAATCTTGACCAAAATATTGTGCGATGGCATTAGCCATTTCCATGACGCGGATCACAGCGGATCGGAGAGTGCGAAGCGACTGGCCACACTCTGGACTCACAGTGTACAAGAGAAGGGCGACAAATCGAAGTCACCGATGATCCGCAGGCCGAGTGGTATGAACCTGAATGGGGTTTCAATGCTGAATGTTGGTTTCGATTCGATGTTAAGCAGGCCAACCTTGATCTTGCTCGATGCCTTGCGAGAACCGGGCTCAGACGTCTGCGTTTTTACAGAAGATTGGTTGCGGAATCTCCCGAATCTGGGGAGAATCTTTGACCTTCTGCTCTCTGGTTTGAAACAGTCCCTGGAGTCGATGCAGAGCAATGGTCCAACGGGCCCTGGAAGCGGCAAGAAATGTCTGTATTACTTGCAACACGTCTCCAACGTCCTCAAGACTGCTTCAGAGCACACCTGGATGATTCTAGCCGGCGAGAGCTTTACGGACATTGGGGACGACTCGAGTGGCCCTGAGGAAACCCTCCAAATCTTCACCATCAAACGATGCCTGGATGTGCTCAACTATAAGGATGGCTCTTCGAATATCAAATCAGACAGCGAAGAACCTATTCTTCAACTACAGCAGACTGCACTTGGCGTCATCCGACAGATATCGCGAAGTCCCTTCTCAGGGCCATTGAAAGAGCTGGAACTTGAGACCCCCTTAATTGCTTTGTTACACTCCTCCCTAGAAATGATGGATCCGCTTCTACAAGACTCTCTACTTGAGACCATCCTCACTGTTCTACGTTTGCGAAACTGGAACCCCCAGGCCTCAACAGAGCGTCGACCACACAGCCGCAAGACATCCAGAGAGCTGAGTATCACTACCAGGATCATGCCAGCGCTCTCTGGAGGTGAAAAAGAACAGCGCCAAGAGCCTGATTGGGTCCCTCCGCGTCAGCTGGTGGACTGCATTCGTCGTGGATTTACATCACCTGCAAGTCGCGATGTACTGGACAGTTGGGTCAAGTTCCTGGCGGAAGTGCTGCCTTTGCTCGCCGAAACCATGTTCCAGAGTTTGATACCGCTCGTTGATACGCTGTGCAAGGAGATTACGTCCGTGTTTGAACAGCTCCGATCTACCTTTAGCAGCCCATCCAAGGTTGTGGACATTGCGCCTGAACCGACGTTGATTAGCCTCATGAACGGCCTTGAACAAATTCTAGCAAGGGCACACGACAGGTTATTATTCGAAGAGTCAAAGCCAACCCAGGCAAAGTCACCGGAGCAGACCCAGAGCTTCTTTGGAAATGTTGTCGGCGTTTTCGCTCCCGAGACCAACCAGCAGAGATCAGCAACGGCAAACTCGAGGCTAACCGTCCTTCTTTGCTTCCAAGACTCTGTCAAAGTCGGCTATGCAATCTGGGCTTGGGGCTTGGTTGGGGCGAAGGAAGTGAATCATCCCACCTCTGCCGCTTCGTTCCACTATACATCATTGCGGATGAGGAATCGGGCCAGACGACTTCTCGAGCATCTATTCACCGCGGAGGCGCTGGAATGCCTTGAGACCCTAGCAGTCGTTTGGTGTCAAACGCCTGTTTCTGGTCCAGATTCAAGGCTGGTTCTAAATCTGCTTAATGTGCTCAACGGCTCACGACCTCGACACACGATCCCTTCAATCTTCAATGCTCTATACAGCCGCACGAATCCGAATGCGCTTGACCCTATGCGTATGTCTACCATGACCAGTGATCTCACTGATATGGACCTTGTTAGCTTCCTTGTGGAGTACACACGGTCCATCGACGATGATGCAATGGATGAGATATGGACGGACTGCGTTGCGTTCCTCAAAGATGTCTTGACAAATCCAATGCCTCACCGGCAGATTCTGCCGGCTCTGATCGAATTCACGGCTATTCTCGCAGAAAAGTCAGAGAACACCAACTTTGGGGAGCAGAAGAAGATGAGGAAAGATCTAGTGGTAAGTCTGGCTATCATGACCAGGAATACTACGATACTGACTGGCGTAGGATGTATTCATTCGACTCCATACGGCCGTCTTTACATCCCGTCCGATGGGCGTTATTCAGGAATCGGCATCGCCGTCGAAAGTTGGGATGCAGACGAATCGATCTGCCCGCTCTTTCGATATCCTACCGGTCCTGTCCTCTACCGTACCAAATCTTCAAGTTATTCTCTCAGAGAACGAGAGAATCGCAACTGTTATCTCCGGAATTTCCACTTCCATAGTCGGGCCGGTCATCCGTGCGAAAGCGTACCCTGAAAATCTCAGCAAGGACTTTATGAACCTTCTAACGCAGATCTCAAAGTCGACTCCCGCCGCAAAGTCATGGAAGAAGGACATTACCGAAGCGTTCAGTGACCCCCGATTCTTCAATACCAAGCTCGACTACATTAAACCCTACTGGCTCTCGATCATCAAACAACTCTGCGTGGTCGACAAAGCCCTCGTTACCGACCACCTCTCCAAAATCTCCGCCCCTACTGCCTCCGGCTTGGTCTTCGGCGTCGGCGCTACCTCTGCGCGGCAAGAAGCAGACCGGAAGACTCAACTCGGTCTCCGACGTGGCGCGCTCTGCTTCCTCGCGAACCCCGACGACTCTTGCATTGGTGAACTCCGCATCGTCGAGGAGAAGATCGTGGAGCTGTTCACCGCGACCATCTCAACCGCCCCATCATCGATCACCCGCGCCGATATATTCCTGCTCCTGCGCGCCGTCCTCCTCAAAACTTCCGCGTCCCACCTCGAGCCCCTCTTTCCGGTCATCAACGCCGAGCTGCAGCGCGTGATTGCCTCGGTGTTGCCTCAAAGCGAAGACACAGAGCTATACACTGCTGCATCCGTCTTACAGGCCTGCAAATTCCTCGACACACTAATCACGATCGCACCCGATGAGTTCCAGCTGCACGAATGGATCTTCGTCACGGACACGATCGACGCAGTGTACCGACCACCAAACCGAACTTCGTCGGCGCTGGTGGACGAGTTGGCAGAGGTGATGGGGAATGCGGACCCAAGCTTTTCGGCGACGTCGCAGCGAGCGGATGTTGGGACGTTCGGGGCGCGGGAAAAGAAACAAAAGAAGCAGTCGTTCTTGAAACTTATCATTGCGAACCTGCGGGAGAGTAACAGCGGATTTGATGTGAGGAAAGTGGGAAAAGCAGAGATGGCGCGACATGTTCTGCAGCCATTCTTTGGGCACTTGAGCATCGAAGCGTTTGAAGGGACGTATAGCATGCTGCCTCCGGATCGAGAGGCATTCTTTGATGATCTACTAGAGGACCTGTTTGCGGAGGAAATAGTGTCAACAGGATAGCTCAGCATTAATTGAAATGGAAGGTGCACACCCAAAACCACGACTTTCATCCCTATGTCTATGGTATATTACACGCCTCCTCGGTGGATGAACGCCGCTGAAACGACCGGAAACAAATGCCAGGTATTCGTATCCACTACCTATAGAACTCGAACGCATCCTTCTCCCCACCAGCCTTCACCTGGCTCGCATACGCATCCTCCAGATCGCCTTGAATGATATTATACCGATTCTTCCTCACCGCCCTCAATCCGGCCTCCTGCATGATCGCGGCAATCACCGCACCACTCAACGGATCGTTCCGCACGATCAGCGAATCCAAATCCACCTCCGGACTCAAACTCATCTTGCTCGCAATCGTGCTGAAAATCAACCGCCGCTCCCGGCGATCCCGCAGGCTCGGGAACTCGATCTTCCTATCCAGTCGCCCGGGCCGCAACAGCGCGGGATCCAGCGTGTCCGCGCGATTTGTCGCCATGATGACCTTGACGTTGCTCGTCTGGTCGAATCCGTCCATCTGATTCAACAGCTCCAGCAAGATGCGCTGCACCTCGCGGTCGGCGCCGGTCTGCGCATCGAAGCGCTTGGTGGCGATGGCGTCAATCTCGTCGATGAAGATGATGGCCGGGGAGTTCTCGCGGGCCATGCGGAACACGTCGCGGACCATGCGCGGGCCCTCGCCGAGGTATTTCTGGACGAATTCGGAGCCGACGACGCGGATGAAGGAGGCGGTAGTGCTATTGGCGACGGCTTTGACAAGCATGGTCTTGCCGGTTCCGGGGGGGCCGTAGAGGAGGACGCCGCGTGGGGGGTCGATGCCTGTGTCACGATGCGGTTAGTTGAATGTAGACGATAAGTGAACGAGTGAAGGCACATACCGATTTGCCTGTACAAGTCAAAGTGCGTCAACGGCAACTCCACCGCTTCTCGAATTTCTTGCTTCTGCATGTCCAGACCACCGACATCTGCGTACGTCACATCAGGCTTTTCATTGTCGCCGAGCATCGCGATGCTCGAATCGGCTTCAGGAGGGAGGATGTCGACCAGTGCGTTCGAGTGTCGGTGCAACGCCACGCTACTGCTCGGCTTCAACAGCTCGCGGTCCAGCGTCGACAATACCCGAACGACATAGTTCGACCCAGTGGACGACTGCACAATCCCGGTGTTCTGATCGATCGCCTCCATGAACTGTCCAATGACCAGCGGCACCGACTGGATCCGCTTGATCTCCTCCTGGGCTCGCACCAGCTCGCGCTTGAGCGACCGTTGCTCATCTTTGATGTACTCTTCTTGCAGGTTGATCCATTCGAGTTGTCGTTGCAGCCGCTTGAAGGTAGAGTACTGGTCTTTCTCTTCGGCGGTGGTGCCTTCGAGGGAGTCGATGTTCGGTATTGATGATGGAGAGAGTTTCTTGTGTGGTGCGAGGGTGTTTACCGGGTTTTCAACGGCGGCGGAGGCCATGGTCGAAGGTAGGTGTCGATGTTTGGAGAGAGGTCTAGGTCACGATTTGCCGCTCCCTCGTGTGTTGTTGCGTGGCTGTCAGCGGCGGAGATGGACGAAGGGATTTTGGACACGACACAAAAGTGAAGGTATTGAGGCCAATAATGTGCAAATCAAGCAAGGAGATGACTGAGGAGAATATGGTCACAGAGTGAATTCATATGGCAAACTTGGGAGCTTCAAAGACGCGGAAGTCGATCTGTTGTCGCCGTCGAAGCTGCTGGCGACATCAGGGGCACGTGACAGGATTCACGGAGCGTGAGTGCACGGATGCCTTGGACTATAAGGAAAATATAAATTACATAAGCTACGCATTACTAAGCTCTGGACTTCATAACAACTCAGGCATCAAGGCAACAGGGAGGCTGTTCACTTTCTCACGGAATTTCCCATTGGGCAACTGCGCCAATCACCCATCGCTCCTCCCCCAAACGGATCGTGACCTTCTCCTCCCTCAGCATCGCGGAACTCCCGCCAACCACCGACATCCCGCCCATCTCAGTTCCGGTGAATTTCCAAAGGTTGGCTATTGTTCTCTCTCTGAATAGTCCCCTCATCATCCTCCATCGCCATTATACCCCCTATACGACCGTCACGCGGTTAGCGACAGCTTTCTTCAACGCGTCTGCCTGTTCGGCAACCTCGCGACTCTAGCCAGAAAACAATCCCCCACGTTCGCTGGTTCGAGTATCCCATTCTATACTTGACCTGGCGCGCTCGCATCCTCATGCGTACTTGAATGCGAGTGCGAAAAGATCGTCATGAATCCATGGCCGGACGCGGGAGTGAATGGCACGACTGATGCCAATGGTGTATATCCATTTGGCACTGCCAACCCCCAGATGATCGATGGCTCCATGTTCAATCCGAATGGCATCGATTTGGGCCAGATCCAGACGCCGCAGCAACAGCTTCCGCCGCAGGGGATGCAGAATGGAACGGTGCGCAACGATTCTCCTGCGTTTAATACTCCTCAGGCGCCATACAACGTCAACCAAGTCGTCCCATCGAAGCGATCGCGACCCGGCGATGAGAACATCGCGCAATCCCCTCGCCAGCATCCTCATAACGTGAGCCTTTCGCGATCGCAAACCCCTCAACAACAAACAGCGCATCCTCCGTTCCCCAACAATCAGTTCTCCGGGCAGAATCTCCACGCACCTACCCCATTTCAACACCTCCACCAAGGCGGATCCAACAACGCGACTCCTTCTCCAACCATGCAGAACCAGCAGTTCCGTCCGCCGGGGAATCAGCAACGCATGCAGACCATGTCCCCCAATCCATTCCCTGGACCGCCACAACAACCGGGTATGGGAATGTCGCCTACTCCGGATCCAAATGCTGCGAGGATGGGGACACCCCAAAACCCCCAGTTCCAGCAAATAGGAGGAGGAATGACTCCCAATCAGATGCCGCAAAACTTCGGCCAGAACTTTGGCATGGCTGGTCCGGGTTTGCCCAACTTCAACGCTGCGGGCATGCCGACTCTTACTCCCGGCCTCCAACAACAACAACGAGAAGCTCAGCGGATCTACCAAATGAAATTTGCTCAACACCAACATCAATTGAACGCGCAACAATCCCAACAGCGCGCGGCGGCCATGATGAACGCGGGAATGATGAACCCGCAGGCGATGCAGAACATGCAAAACATGCAGAACATGCAGATGAATCAGGCTCGACCGCCGACCCAGATGGGCATGAACAATGCCCAGCAGCAGCAGCAAGCAATTGCGGCCACGAATGCACGACAGTACGAGCAGTTCGTCCGCCAAGTTCACAGCTTCAACCAGGGCCAAGGTCGACCGTTTGACGTAAACCCCAACGTGGCGGGCAGACCTGTCAATGTATATCAGTTGTGGATGTGGGTCATGAAGAACGCCCGAGGCAGTCGAAACGTCAGCAAAATGAATATGTGGCCGCAGTGCGCGCTTGGATTAGGATTCAACCCGGCACAGGCTCCTCAGGTGGGCGCTGAACTGAAGGCCATCTATGAGAGGAACTTGGGCCCATATGAGCAGATGTATCTGCAGAGGACTAATGCTGCGCAGCAGCAGCAGCAGCAGCAGCAACAACAACAGCAACAGCAACAGCAACAGCAACAGCAACAGCAACAGCAACAGCAACAGCAACAACAACAACAACAACAACAACAACAACAACAACAACAACAACAACAAAGAGCCATGTTGGAGCAGCAGCAACAGCAGCAAGGAATATCAGGTTCCCCTCCGATGGGCAGTCTGAGAGGTCAGATGGGAATGAGTCCGACCAAACAGCCCGGCGTGTCTATCCCCGGACAAGAAGGGTCGCCCGCACAACTGCAAACTCCTGTGAGGAGCCAAGTTCCTACTCAGCCGCAAGGACCACCTCCAGGACAAGTGACCCCACAAACAGGCGGTGCTGCGAATGCAAATGGATACATGCCGCCAGCGCAACCTGCTTTCATGGACGGAGCGATGTCGGGAAGCGCAACCCCGGTGCCGATGCAGAGATCACAGGAGCCGAAATCCGGGGTGAAACGGACCCCGTCATTAAAAGAGGGCTCACTGCCAGTGCAGCTCCCTAATGGCAACGATGTTGTCGATCGTCCCACAAGCGTAGACACGCAACCCATCAAATTCGGTCCTGAAGACAGCAAAACGTTTATTCCGAGTGTCCGGAAGGAAGTCGGCGGGTATGGTGGCATCTACGTTGAGGCATTCAGCAGACACGGCGAAGAGATTGCAAAAGAGAAGCCGAAAGTACCTCGATGGGAAGAGATCGGCGCAGTGAATATCCATGCTCTCTGTCTTGCTCTGCAATGTGGCATGATCAGGGAAGAACGCTGGGCCCTTGACACGCTCCTCAGGCTTAGCTGCGAGAGCAAGGTGACCATTAAGCTTGATGAAGCCTATGGTCTCGTGGACAGCCTCCTTGATTGTGCCGAGTCGCAAATCGACGAGCTGGATGAGGCAGCCCAGGAGGTGAGCGATGAAGTGGAGCTCCCTTGCTATGAAGAGATGATGCGAGTTGCTCGTTTCGAAGCGGAAAGCATCCAAGATGTCCCTCTCGCTGGATCAAAAGAGTGGGACCTAGATGGAAACGCGGCACGTTTACTTTCGATCATCACCGTCCTCCGCAACTTATCCTTCTTCGAAACGAACGCCCCGCAGCTCGCAGATGAAGAAGTCCTCAAGTTCTGTTCCCAACTCATTCGTCTAATCGGCACCCGCGAGAAGTTTCTGAGAAGCCCTCTCTACACCCAAGACGTGATGAAAGACCTGGTCATCTTCCTTTCCAACATCGCCGACAAAGTCGAGCTACCGAGCAAGGAAGATGCTCACAACATCCTCAATTTCATTCTTGCATTCGCTCCCCAGCAAAGCCCGACCTCGACCTTCCCGTTCCATTTCGAAATCTATAAACCCATGGTCCATCGCTACCTCCCACCTGCGGTGGATACCCTAGCGAAGTTCCTCGCACGCGATGAACCCAATAGAGGCTACTTCAAAGAGCTCTTCTCCGCCGAAGGCTACGGGCCTCATAACGAGCTACTCGCTGGATCCCAACAGAGTCCCATCACACGCAAGCCTCCGCAACTCACCGTTGGCCAAGAGCTCCTCACCCGCGTCTTCGGCATGGCGATCAGCGTTATCCCCGTGCGCGATAGGCCCATGAGCCAGCCAAGCGAGCGAACCCTCTGCGAAATGCGGAAGCCCCTCATCGCGCAGGGCATGCTCTCCGCCGACATCCTCTCCAGCATAGCCCTGGAACTCGCTCTCGTAGCAGCCAACGCCTCACCCAACCACAACGACGACGCGACCACCTCCAACCCCCTCCATCGCGTCACCGGCCGAGCCACGCCCTCCCAATCTTCCCCGCCCCTCCCCCGCCTCTGGCACACCTCTGCGGACGGGTGGGCCGGACACCTCATCCGATTCGTGTGTGTGCGCTCGTCGCAGCTCGCGGACGACCGGCGCAAGCTCAAGGTCATCGAGATGCAGCTGGCACCGCAACTGCAGGGCGGGGGGCGCCACCAGCGGAATACGCAGGCGCTGCAGCAGTTCAACATCGATAAGATGGAGTGCGAGGACTGGGCGAACACGATCCGGAGGGCGATGGGGGTGTTGTTGAAGGTGGCAAGGGGAGCGAGGGTCGGGGAGGAAGATGAGTATAGTGGGGTGGCGAGGGCGGTGAGTAAGGGAAAGGGAAAAGCAGTAAGTCAGGAGACGAATGGGGAAGTGATTATGGAGGAGGACCGGATAAATGGGAAAGTTCAGAATGGGTTGAACAGCGATGGTGATGTTTCACAGGCGGACAGACCTGATGTCGCCAGCGAGGATGCCGATGATGATGTGCACAACGCGTCGGAGACTCCGTTCCAGCGCGTCGCGAGGAAGTACGGTGGTGCGTACGTGCATAGCGACATCTGGCCGCGGAAAGAATGGTTGCTGGGCGCGCAGGGCATGGAGTTTCTGGATCCAAAAGCGCTGAAGATGCTGGAAGAATACGCGGATTTGGAATATACATAAAGCTAGCCCGGTGGTGGCTGCTTCGGATGCTGGTGGCGACGAGTTTGTGTTCCGATAGCAGAGCCGTTACCTACCCTCGTGTGCGAGTTTGTTGTCGTTGATTTGTGGTTGATATGGATCCAGCGAAGTGGATTGATTCGACATTCGAACACTTTTATGAGAACAAGGGGGCTTGCAAGAGGCGCCTGATGATGGATCGGAGAATTCGTGTTTACATTTTCATCTTTTGCGGGGAGTTGGTGTTCGTTGGCAAAACCATGTGTACGCTTGCGATTCTGTACAGTGCAAATAAACCCTATTCGACAAGTTTCCTCGTGCCAATTCCAACGGCTATGGTTGTGCCTATGCCACCTGCTCTTTAGTCTCATGATCATCGTTTACTGCCTCATCGCCAATCTCCATGTCCATCTCCACCCTATCCTCCTCACCATTTCCACCGTCCTCTGCTTCCTCCTCCACCTCCTCCTCCACCTCCGCCTCCTCCCCCTTCCTCAACGCCGCCCTCTTCCTCTGCGGAATCACCTTCAAAAACGCCTCCGCCCAATCCCCGGTCTCCAACCACCGTAACATAATCTGATTGACATGATTCGTAGTCAGCACTTTCCGCGAGCTCATCTGCAGATAGTCGCCAATCGGCAAGCGGGCGGTCTTGATGCCCTTCTCCACCGCGGTCTTGTAGCAGAGGCCTTTATGCCGGTTACGGTCGACGAGTCCGCCGATGATGTACGTGCTGTTGGGTTTCAGCTCCGTGAGCGTTTCGTCCGATTCGCTGGAGAGATAAATGACTTCTCCTTCAGGAAGAGTTCCCCGTCCCTCACCCTTCTCCGCTGTCCGCCCTTCCTCTAACTTATCTCCTTCCTCCCCTCCCTCCCCCATCTCCCACTTCTTCAACGCCCCCTCATACTTCCCCCCCTTCATCCACTCCCTCGCCATCCCCACCACCTCCTCCACCGGCTCCTCCCGAAACTGCATCCCCTTCCACATCTTATACTGCGACTCCAACACCCCCTCGAACCGCTCCTGCAACTTCCCTCCCCACGACGCCACCCCCAAACACACCCGGTACTTCGCCTGCCGATTGTCCGAGTAGCACCGCGTGATCTGGCTGCCCAACGACTTCAGCTCGTTCTCCGTCATCAGCGGCTCGAACGCGCAGTCGAACAGGATCGTGATCGGGACAACCGTCGGCTTGCGGCGTGGGGGCGGTCGGCTTCCGGGCTGGGGAGCGGCGTCCGCGGATTCCGGTGCGTCCGTGGAGGGTAGGAGGGCGGGGGCGGAGGCTTTTTCGGCGCGTTTGCGCTCGCTGCGGCGGATGCGCTCGAGTTTGCGCTTCACTTTGCGGGCGTCGCGCTGGGATTCCCAGTGTTCTTTCCGGCGAAGCTTCTTTAGTTGGTTCTTTGACATGGGCTTGGAAGGGTCAGCGCCGGGATCCTGCGATGGATCGGGCATGTTTTGTGTGGTTCCGTCGGGGGTGGAGGCTAGGGATGGGTGCTCTGATGGCTCGGGGGAGTCATGGTGGGGGTTGTCGACTGTTGGAGTCATCGTGTCGAGGATTGCGTTGTCGGAGGAAGAAGGGACAGAGGGGCCCGATTCAGTATGAGAGTGAGCTGCTTGTGACTTGGAGGAGGGGGAGAGTTTGCGGATCTTGGTCGGACGTTCCTCTTCCGCCATCTTGTTGGGAGTCGGAGGAACAGCGGTTGCTATAGACGGGGAAGGTACTGAAGTCAATTATCCCAGAATCGCCCCGGTATAAAGTACGGAGAACACTGTGACCAATTACGATGCGATCGAAAGGGCACTCGGTCTGTCTAGTGGACGCAAGGGGGAAAAGTCGATGAGATAGTAAATGAAATTTGCATGAAGTTCGTTCTGGTTCTGGTTGGATCGCGAGGCAACAAGGCCAATATCATGACGTTCAGTCATCGTACAAATATTAAACCGGAAAGCTTCAGGGTCTTGAAATCTCCCACCACCATCATAATAAATATCTCAATTGATTGTTTCTCCCTCCCCTCAGCTGCAATTCTAGCATTCGCTTTTTGGGTCAATTGCGTCACAAATTCACCATGCCTACAGTAATCAACATATCGACACAACGGATCCCTCTTGAGCCTCTGACTCCATCCGCATTCGCTCCCTTCGGCACCGTCATATCCAATCCCTCCCGAAACAAAAGCAATGGAACCAGTAACGACACGAACCCCAGCACAAGCAACGTAACCATCCCGTCCCCCGTCTCCGCCAACCAAGGCACCGCCCAAAAATTCCCCCACATCTCCCCCCTCACCAACCACTACGCCCTCGCCCCCTCCACCCGCTCCCACCCC